AAACCTTCCCTTTGGTTACGAGTCTAGCCTAGCTTAATCAAATTTCGGCTGCATGGGGGAAGTGTCAAGGTCAAAACGACTAAAAAGCTCAAAAAGTTTGCATCCAAAAATTGGACTAATGCCTAGGTGTTGTGATCCTGGCACCTAGGCATCAGCAGGGTGGCGTCTGCTTTCCTGTTGTTCGGGAAAAGACAATTTTTTAGGCATTTTGGGCTCCTGAACTAATGACTAGGCTCAGGTTTGGCCTGAAAACCCTATTTTTAACGTAGATCATCCGACGGAGGGTTTCTTCTATCCGTAAGCTATAGGTGCTCAGATATGACTGAAATATAGTCTCGTAGCTTCAAAATTGAGTATTTTGATCGGCCATTTATCAAGGCAATCGTCACCAACAGTCGTCTCGAATTTTTGTTCAAACCCTAATTTTTGTCCGGATGGCCGTAGGAAGCTCCTCGCCTATCTGAAAGGCATGGAAAATTACATATTGTTAGAGTACGACGTCGTAACTGAAAAATGAAAAATGAACATTTTAGATGTTTTAAACCGGGATTTTTTTTTGGTCGACGTGCGTCTCGGACCCCTGCGTGGATAAAATTAGTCTGAACTTGAATCTGGAAGGTATTTTGGGAGAGGGTTATATGAATGGAGATAACCTAGAGTATTTTTGCATGATGCATATTTTGTTAGTTGTTGCTTCTTTCCTTGTGGTGTCCTAGCTACGTTTAGGATTGTGGGAGAGACAATCTACCTCTCGAAAAGTATATCATATATCATCATTGTATCTTGCTCGTGGTGTCCTAGCTACGTTTAGGATTGTGGGAGAGACAATCTACCTCTCGAAAAGTATATCATCATTGTATCTTGCTCGTTTTTTTTTTTCGTAAGAACAGCCCTCATTTGAGTTTTTTCCATCTATCTATTACTATTTCGGCATTATTTGCTCGTTAATTTTGGTTCCATAGTGTATCCGTCCAGGTTTAGTTTTATGGGTGTTGTGCATCAGGACAGTCGCCGGCATCTTCCCTTCACGGACTGTATCCTAAGATTTTGGGTGGTGCTTTGACTACATCTTTGTCTCCAGGTGGTGTTTATCTTTCTCTAACTACTCCACACCTCTCCCACTTAGCTACCACTCATTTCTCCTCGCTGTTGGCTGCCTTGACAACAGTCATTTTGTTGTTTTCCTGTAGTTTTCTTACTGTCCAGCCCTTTTCCTTGCTGCCCCCGCCCAAGACAGCCTTCCTTGGCTGCCCGGCAGCCCACTGCATCCCGCATCACCGTTTCAGCCCTCCATCCCCACTACCATTGTCATCCTGCCCTCCCTTTCCATTTGCTGCCACTGTTGTTCCAGCCCTCTTCATTTGCTGCCACCGTTGTTCCAGCCCTCCATACCCGCTTCCATTGTTGTTCCAACCCTCTATTTTCCTTGCCGTTGCTGGTCCTGCCCTCCCCATTGGCCGTCATCTTCCAGGACAACCATGTGACGTCGATATCTGTCGCATATTTGCTTTCCGAAACTGGGGAAAACATTGCCTTACAGTTTTCAGCTTGCCCACCACCTCGTCCACCATCTCACCACCTTCCAAGCCCCTGCCGATCACCATAACTATGCTGAGATCCACCCTAGTTTGTGTGTTTATGTCTTGTATGTTACTATTTCAGATTTTCGGGTGCCGTGTTGTTGTATTTTCCTTTTCAAATATGTTTGTTGCAACCGTCTATTTACTTTCAGTAATAATATTTGGTTTTTCTATTGTTTTCTCGGTTAACTCTCATTCCGCTGGTTAGGAGATTCCATTATAGTGTTATTAAAATTATACAAAATGTAAGAAGGTTGCTTTAAACCAAATCCTCCATTCTTTGTTGGTTTGAGATCTTCTTGAAAGTGATATATTTGATACTCAGAACCAGATTTAGTAGTAAGTTGGTTTGTTGAAAAGCGAATTAATATGAGAGATTTTTTGATGTGGTGTGACTCCTTAATTTTTACTTGTCTATCGGATTTTTCCATGTTAAATCTTGTTTTTTTTTTTCTATGGTTTTCTTATTTTGTGAATTTTTGTTCAAAATTTTGCTTCAGAGCTAACATTTTGGTGTGAAGTTGTTGAGGAGTCCAGCGCCCAGGCGGATGTGGAACTGTGACCCGCACACGATACTTCCTGCGACCAAAAACATATGTCTTGCATGTTTGCTCGGACCAAACCGGTCTAGGTTTACTTCTTTTTGAGTTGTTAGTTAGTCTTCATCGGTAACTTCTACTTATCCTCTTATTATGTATTTGCCTTCGTGAGGGTCTAAGTTTAGTTTTTGTGCATTGTGCATCGAGACAGACACTGACGTTTTTTCTTCTCTTCGAGGACTGTATCCTAAGATTTTGGGTGGTGCTTCAGCTATATATTTGTCTCCAGGTGGTGTTTTTCTTCCCCAACTCCTCCGCATCCCTCCCACTTCCTGCCACATATTTCTCCTCACTTATGGTTGCCTTGACAGTAGCCCTTTTGCTGTTTTCATGCTGTTTCCTTACTGTCCAGCCCATTTCCTTGCTGCCCTCACCTAGGACAGCCTTCCTTTGTTACTTGGCAGCCCACTGCATCTCGCATCACCGCTCCATCCTCCATCCTCACTGTCATTGTCATCCAATCCTCCCTTTTTGCTGCCACCGTTGTTCCAGCCCTCCCCATTTTCTGCCACCGCTATTCCAGCCCTGCATGCCCCGCTGCCATTGCTGTTCCAGCACTCTATTCTCGCTGCAGCTGCTGGTCCAGCCCTCCCCCTTGGCTGTGATCATCTCGGACAGCCGTACCACGTCGATATTTATCGCAAACTTGCTGTCCGAAACCTAGGAAACCATTGCCTTGCTATTTTCATCTTGCCAACCACCTCGTCCGCCATCCCACCACCTTCCAAGCCCTGCCAATCACCATGAACCCCCGAGATTCACCCTAGTTTGTGTGTTTGTGTCGTATATGCTGCTATTTCGGATTTCCAAGTGTCGTGTTGTATTTTCTTTTTCAAATGTTGGTTGTAAACGACTATTTACTTTCAGTAAGAATATTTTATTTTTCTATTATTGTTCGGGTTAACTTCGATTCCACTGGTTAGGAGATTCCATCATAGTGCTATTAAAATTATACAAAATGGAAGAAGGTTGCTTTAAATCTAATCCCTCAATCCTTTGTTGGTTTAAGATCTTCTTGAAGGTGATATATTTGATACTCTGAACCAGATCTAGTTGTGATTTGGTTTGTTGAAAAAGAATAAATATAGTGGATTTTTTAAGTGTGGTGTGTCTCTTTTATTTTTTTCTCATTTTCGGATTTTTTCACGTTAAATCTTGTGTTCTTTATGTTTTATGTGGTTTTCTTATTTTGTGTGCTTTTGTTCAAAATTTTGCTTCGGAGCAATATTTTGGTATGAAATTGTTGATGTGGGGCATCAAACACCCAGCCGGATGCGGAACCGTTACCCGCACATGGTACTTCCCGTGATCGAAAACACACGTATCGCATGTTTGTCTGGACCAAACTGGTTTAGGTTTACTTCCTTCTGAGGATTCAGCTTGTCTTTTGGGGTCACTCATAGTTATCCTCTTATTATATATTTGCTTTCGTGAGGGTCTTGGGTTAGTTTTTTGTGTGTTGTGCATCGGGACAGCCGTCGGTGTTTCTTCTTCTTTTGAGGACTATATCTTAAGGTTTTATGTGGTGCTTCGAATGCATGTTGGTCTCCATGTGGTGTTTATCCTTTCCTAACTCCTCTGCATCCCTCCCGCTTTGCTGCCACACATTTCTCCTAGCTGCTGGCTGCCTTAATAGGAACCTTTTTGCTTTTTTTCCTGCAGTTTTCTCACTGTCTAGCCCTTCTCCTTGCTGCCACCGCCCAGTACAGCCTTCCTTGACTGCCCGATGGCCCACTGCATCCCGCATAGCCGTTCCAGCCCTCCATCCTCGCTTCCATCGTCGTCTAGCCCTCCCTTTTTGCTACCACTGTTGTTCCAACCCTTTACATTTGCTGCCACCACTATTCTAGCCCCTCATACCTACTGCAATTGCAGTTCCAGCCCTCTATCCTCGTTGCCGCTTCTGGTCCAGCCCTCCCCCTTGGCTGCCATTATACCGGACAGCCTTGCCATCCAGAACTCGGGAAAGCCTTGTCTTACTGTTTTCAGCTTGCCAAACACCTCGTTCACCAACCTTGTGCTGTGTATTTGAAAATTAGCCCTAAGGCATCGAGTTTTGAATTCACCCAAATTGAACTAATGGACTAATTTCAAATACATCAAAAATTTATACTGCGCATATTTTTTATTCAATCAAATGTCTATAATTAGAAACCCCTCATATTTATTTTGCATTACCCCTAGGTTTTTTTTTTTATTTTTATTTTTATTTCTTTGTTAATCCCTTTTAGAGTATCCTTGCTGCTTGGACTTTTATATGAGACGCTTTGGTAAGGTTACTTGTTGAAGTCTTTTCGACTGTGTTGGTGGCATATGCTAGTGATATTTATCATTTGTGATGTTGTTAATAAAAGTCATATAATTGTTATTGTCATTAAATGGGCACTATTCTTTCAATTGGGCATTTACATTCATATCACCCGATTCCTATTTATTTACATATCTAACTTCTAAACTTCAACTTTTTACATTTATACAACCCAAAACTTTCATATCATATTAAAAATACCATCATTTTAAATTTCATAAAGCGAATACAGATTTTCATGCATGGGTAAGGTGGTATATACGTTCAAATTGAAGTTTAGGTGTTAGATATGTAAATACATAAGAATTGAGTGACATGTATGTAAATCTTCCTTATCAATTGTGCCTTTCTGAAACATTTTTGGATATTTCTTCTTACTCCCAACTTTCCAATCTTACCTTCCAAACCATATTCATCACAAATGCTGTTGCAGATCTACCCTTAACATTTTTTTGCTGTCAATCACAATCTTTTTCAATTTAACCTGAAGCCTGTAGCGAAATTTGAATGCAGGCCACAGGTATCAGGGGCCATCTCCGGACTACTTTTAGGAGAAGCTGCACATAGACTGGTGAAGAATTCCTTGCAGATCAAAGCCAACAGTGCAGGCCTGCTTGACATCCCACATAGCAGGAGAAACTCAAACTCGCATTTGGCCGTTAAGATGAAGCTCGCTCCCGCTCGACCTTCAGGACACGAAAGCGGCTTCCAAAACCCCAAGTATTATCAGCATCATCCTGCACATTCCCCCCAGGATTTCTCAAATCCATGGCCATCTCCCTCCTCTGAGATCCAGAATACCAGAAACACCCACAGAATAAATGAGCAGTTCAATCCTCATGATCAGTATAACTTTGGAAGAGGCGTTCGATCACAACAGAGAATAACACAGCCACACGTTCAGAGTGTTGGTCCGCCGCCTCCACCTCCTCCGACAAACTGGATTGGTAGACATTCGGAGCGAGTATATAGCCCGAACATTGGCCATGCATTGCCTTCTCTTTATATACAATCATCTCAACAACAGCAGCAGCAACAGCAACAACAACAATTTGTGCAGAAAGTAGCTTATCGGATTAAGCCTCGACCATCACAAACTTAGATTTTGCAGTAATCCTCAATGATTACAACCTACTTCTTGGTTCACATAATGTTGCAAAATACTCTTAATTTTTCCATCTCTCAGGCAGGGCTACCACAAATTAGTGTATTGTTAGGTAGGCAGTATTCATGCATGCGAAAAAATATTACGTTCGTTGGCTGGACGCACTTGCGTCCGGACAACTGCTACGATACAACAGAGGAGGGAAAAAAAAAGAACCTCCGCTGCATCACAGCCGTTGTCCGAATGTAACTTTTGTCAGGACAACAGACACAATATTTTCTTCATGCATGCAGAGTTCTAGTCTTTGTTAAGTGTTTAGCAAACATTTTAGTATGTTTTTTTCTATTTTGTATATTTATTTTAAAATAATAGGTTGAACCATTTAGAACTTTAAAAACACATATGTTTTCAAGTTGCTTGCACAAATAAATAGCCAATAAGTTTAAGAGGCCGTTTGAGATGATTATTATTATTATTATTTTAATTTTATTTTTGTTTTGATTTGACATAAAATGTGCTTATTTTATTTAAAATGCTTAAGAAGTATTATCAGTGTTTTTGAAAGCACATTGAACTGTTTTAAGAAGTAAAAAGAAAAATGTATGTGAAAAACATATTAAATAAATTTATTTAAAAAAATAAAAAATATGTCTAGAGAAGAAGCTTGCTGCATATCCTTTTTATATTAGTGTTTATTTATTTTATTTTATATATTTTTTAAGGGTATATGGTTTATTTGAGTGGTGGTGTCATGGGTTTCACTAGAGGGTTTTGTTATGCTGCCATCTTTTCATTAAATATGCAATCTTTATAATTTGGATGATTTTTATATATATAATCGTTAAATTTATTTATTTGTTTATTTATTAAACCCCTTGCACACCATATAAAAAAGTAGTTGGAAATGAAATATAATTCTTTCATGCTATGTTTTCATATGATTGAATTAGTAAGTCCTTTTCATGCTACTTTTGAATGTGATTGAATGATTAAATCCTTTTAAATATAACTTTTTTATGTAGGGGAGCAGTATATTAATCTTTTAGCAAATAACTCCAGTAACCATCTGATCAGATATCCCATATTATAAATATGCTGACATTGAATTTGAGTCTAATATGTTTATCGCTTAAAAATTACATCAAAATTTGTGCTAGAAGAAAAAAATTTGTTGACTCATGAATAATATCAAGTGTTAGATAAATATTAAACTTTAAAGTATTAGGTATGTAAATACATAAAATTCAAGTTGTTTGTATGTAATTCTCCTAAATATAGTGCTGTTGACTATTCTTGGAATGAAATAATTTTGTAATTACTTCACATCACATTTTCCTCACTTCTTCTACTCATTTTATTCTCCTTGACGTTGTCATCTTACGTATTTTTTCCTTAAAAAAAGAATGTGAACTTGAAAACTACTTTATTGTTGGCTTCTGTGAATCAGTTTGTTCGGATAGGAGTAATTTTGTTTGTGGGAATCAGTTTGTTCTGGCATGACTTCCCATCATTTTCTTGCATCATTTTTTGGCAATACAATAACACAACCATACACAAGAAGACGAGGAACAAGATGAAGTCGGTCATGACCTTGGGGATCATCCAATAAAGAGGTCTAAATCTTTATGCATGAGTGATGGACATAATACCCACAAAGATGTTATTGTAGCACTATATTAAAATTTACATAAAGAAGCATGAATGTTTTTATTTAAGAATATGAGATATTTAATTTAAGATTATTTTCTAAATATTATGGAATCAAAATTTATTCGTATTACCTACTATTATAATATATATTTAATTTTATAATATGATTTTATATTCTTTGGATAAGATAAAAGAAAGTTGTATTAAAAAAATTACTAGATATCAAATGGAGAAATGCATTAAGTATGGTTTATTTTGAAATACAAAAGTTAATTTATAATAAGAGTAATTTTGATTATACAATTAAAAATTAAATATTTATCAATTAATTAAGTATATTATCATGCAATAATTATCCTTCCTAATTGAATAATATCTAAAAATAATTAATAAAATCAAATTATATTTCATATAAGAATAAAAAATTTAAAGTATAAAAACAAAATAAAAAATAGATGTCCTAAAATGAAATTATAAACATTAAATAAAAAGGAAAAAATAAGAATATTAAAAAAATAAAGTATTTATATGTTTGTCCATATTAAACACCTCTTCCCGTGTTTTCTGTTCGGGCCTCACAGATGATCCCGACTTCACCACCGCCCGTATCTGTCCTGTCTATACGTCTTCCTTCATTCAGGTTATTACAAAAGATCATTTTTTTCTCGTATAAAAGAATTAAAAATGTCAATTTTAGAAACTGCGGAGAAAACGGAGACCGACCGAATCCATATTTGATATTTGTCGTCAACGGCCAGGGGCGGATCCATTGCTGGCTTCTGTTCTGGATAAAGATCAAGAGGTTTCTGTAAAAGGAGCTGCCTTTTACTATTTTTCCCAGCTTCAGGTACCAACAAATTCATTCAAACTGCCTGGTAATGTCGCCCAATTCTTCATTTTTATTCATTTTACCTGTGTTTTGTTTTCCTATTGAAAAATAACCTAGATCCGATGGTTAATTTCGTTTTAACTAACCTAATTTTTCCGAGTTTCCGGTTTTGTTCGGAACCCTAGGATCGTCCTTCCAAACTTGAAATAATTTAATGGGAAGAATTGAGTTTTTAGTTTTGTGGTTATGGTTTCCTCAGTACAGAGATAATCCACTGAAATTGGGTTTTTGTTTTAGTAGATTGTTGCATGACATGAAATTTAGTTGTAGCTGATGCGCATCTTTTGGAATCAAGCTCTTCTAATTTGGTTGATTTTATCATGCAGTGATTTTGGTGTGTTTTGAAAGCAAGAAGGCTGAACAATGGCTGAATTAGAACCAAGTATTGCAAAGGATGTCACTGAAGTAGGTTTCTGAGATTATTAGTTCTCATTAATCTTCTCCTTTTCTGTGTTATCTCATTATAATGACACATTTTATATTGTTTTGTTCATTGTACAGTTGATTGGTAAAACTCCATTGGTTTATCTCAACACTCTTACTGTTGACTGCCATGCTCGTGTCGCCGCTAAACTAGAGATGATGGAGCCATGCTCTAGCGTCAAGGATAGGTAATGCTCCCTCCTTCTTCATATTATGTACTGTATGTGATTGATTGGTAAAACCTCTGAAAATTTTGATTGATTGGTTTTTCATGGCAGGATTGGATATAGCATGATTACTGATGCAGAGGAGAAGGGTCATATAGCTCCTGGAAAGGTACGTTGAACTCAAAAAAATTATCTTTTTTTATATTTTTTGAATAAAAAGGTTGTAAATTTAATAAAAAAATATATCTTTTTTTTGATAAATTGTTGATTTGCTTGCTCATTTTGATACGTTGGTAGAGCGTCCTTATTGAGCCTACCAGTGGCAACACTGGTATTGGATTGGCATTCATGGCCGCCGCTAAGGGGTATAAGCTCGTGCTCACAATGCCAGCTTCTATGAGCCTTGAGAGAAGGATCATTCTTAAAGCTTTTGGTGCCGAGTTGGTCCTTACCGACCCGGTTTTAGGCATGAAAGGCGCCGTTCAGAAGGCGGAAGAGTTGGCGGCGAAGACTCCCAATTCTTACATTCTCCAGCAATTCGAGAATCCTTCCAACCCGAAGGTGCATTTCAGTTTTATCTACTGAGTTTATAGTTTCTTTATAAATTTGGGCTTATCATCATAATCATTAGCTTTATCACTACAATTTTTGTTTGGCTTTGTGAATTTACATTCTTCTTTCGTTCCCGTTAAGTGTTGTATGAGTTGCTAAATCTATTATACACAATTTTTTGGGGGAAATTACATACACAACATTTCAAATAATACTATTTACAAATCTAGCATGCTCTTTCAACCATTTTTTAAATTCTCAAGCAAATGTATCATAATTCATCATAAAACCCCCGACCCATATTGTTCGTTTTTGTCAAATTATCAATGGTTTGGTCGTGACACGCATAATTGCATCGGTTTAGTAGTTTAAAAAATTATGGGGGAGCTGCTAAACTTTTTTCCAATTTATATCTATGTTGGGCTTGCATCTTATGAAAGTTAACTAATTTTAAATAAAAATAATGATTAGATTCATTATGAGACAACTGGGCCTGAGATTTGGAAAGGAACTGGTGGGAAAATTGATGCATTGGTCTCTGGAATTGGTACCGGTGGGACAATTACAGGTGCAGGGAAATATCTGAAAGAGCAGAATCCTAATATTAAGGTTTGATACATAAAATCAATTCTAATATAAATCAACTTAATCCTTCATTACATGATATGTGACCGATGTTATGTTTGTTTTCTAGCTATATGGCGTGGAACCGGTCGAAAGCGCAGTTTTATCCGGCGGAAAGCCAGGTGAATTACTCGTTGATTTCTTACTGTATATTTACATATGTAACACCTAAAGTTTTATTTTTTACATATATGCCGTCTTATCTATGCATGAAAATGTATATTTCCTTTTTTAACAGTTATAATTGTGATACTATTGATGTGGTATGAAAGATTTGTGTAGTATAAATGTGACGATTAGAAGTTTAGGTGTTGGATATGCAAAATTCATATGATTGGGTGGCATGTATTTAAATGCCCCTGTATTTTATTGATGTATTAATGCAGTACTTTACGTACAATTTGCGAACTTAATCAAGTCCTATGTAATATTGTGTGGAACAGCAGTGTCTGTTTTTCCTATCGTTCCTTGAATTTTCAAATTTTTAGATGGGGGATTTGCATACATACCACGCTCTTCTTATATATTGACATATGTAATACCTAATCATTAATATTTACTTATAGGAGCATTTACGTACATGCCCCTCAATTCTTATGCATTTACATATCTAACTCCTAAATTTACTTGTATAGTACTCAAATCTTTATCCTCACATGAAAGATGACATTTTGAATTACTTTTTTGAAAGCGCTATACACCTCTTTATGCACATGCTTTCATGTTTGTAAGACATGAAAGGGTTATATGTATAAATAAAAGAATTGTATGGTACAAAATGTTGAATTTTGCATGAGCTGCTTCAAATGAATACTTTTGAATTGTTAAATAGACTATGCAGATTTGCAAAGCAGATTCAAAATCTCCATGAATCCAAAACAAAAAGGATATGGATTTGCATTTCTAAATGTTTCACATTACGAATTTGTTTTTTGTGATTTGAGAGATGGAATATTTTGCATAAAAAATATGATTGTCGTTCTTTGCGGGCTTCACTCGAGTTTAATGTCCTTTGTTATACATGTTTCAGGCCCTCACAAGATACAGGGAATTGGGGCTGGATTTGTACCTGGAGTGTTGGATGTTGATCTTCTTGATGAAGTAGTGCAGGTTAGATAGACTTAAAGCCTTCATTTCACACTGTTTTTCTCAAGGGAAAGTTACATACATGCTACATAATTCTTATGTATTTACATATCTAACAACCAAAGTTTGATATTTACACTTGTAGAATCTTTGTGTCATAAACCTATGCATGAAAATATGTATTTTTGATGTGATGTTAGAGATTTGAGTTGTATTCATGTAAACATGAATGTTTAGGTGCTGGATATGTAAATACATAAGAATTGTGTAAATGCCTTTTTTTGAAATTATTTTATGAAAGTATATATAAATACCTAACTGCTGAACTTGGATTTTTACATTTATAACACCCAAATCTTTCATATCACATCAAACACCTACTATTTTTACTTTTAAAAAGTGTATTCACCTTTTCATGCATAGTTAAGGTTTCATATATGTAAAAATTGAAGTTTAGATGTTAGATATGTAAATGCATAAGAAAGGAGTGGGATGCATGTAAATCTTCCATTAAAATTTCACTTACCACTTAGTAAAGTTGAATGCAAGCTAACAGTGTAGCAGATAGAATATATTGACATATCTAACTTTCAACTTCATTCAAATCTCGAGTCCAAACCTACAAATTTTAAACCTCAAATTCAAATCCTGGACGTTCAAATCATTAACTTCAAACCCTCAAATTCAAACAAGAGAGAAGTGAGACTAAAGGAAGATATTACAGTTCTTGTTTCGACTTCTACATGTTCGTGAATTTCGACTCAGCCGTCGACTCAGATCGCATGCATCACGCTAGTTCACCTCAAGCCTGCCTTCCTAAATAGAATAGAAAATAGAGAATAAATAGAGTTTCATAAATAGAACAGTTAGGATTTACTCTTGATGAAATCACAAGCCTTTTTTTATAAACATTTCAAATGTATGAATCAATAAATATCTCTCTATTTACACTATGAAGGTGAAATAAAGAGATGCTTTTTTATTATATGATGTTTTTATATTTTTTATTGATGGAATACCAACTCCATTTTTAATAGTAATATAATTTTTTTCAAAGCCTAAAATAATGTGGGAAATTTTCATACATACCATACAATTCTTATGTATTTACATATCTACACCCAAAGTTTGATATTTACACTTATTGGCCACCTTGGTGTCATAAACCCATTATTTAAACTGCATATTTTACTTTAAAAAAGATTGTTGTGGTGGTATTTTTTATGTGATGTTAAAGATTTAAGTGATATGTATGTAAATATGAAAGTTTTTGTGTTAGATATGTAAATACATAAGCATTGTGTGGTGGTATGTAAATATCCCAAAAAACATTCATATGGCAATTAAACCTATTATTTTTCTCCCTCTCGAACAAATGATTCATGATTTCTAATGCTGAATGAATCTATTCAGATCTCAAGCGAAGAGGCCATTGAGACTGCAAAGCTTCTTGCATTGAAAGAGGGGTTGCTGGTGAGGGTTATACATCTGAAAAAAAAATCTTTTTTTTTTTAATGATGATTCTACTCCTCGCCTGATCTTTAGAGAATTCTATTTCAGGTTGGAATATCATCTGGAGCTGCTGCTGCTGCTGCTATCAAGGTGGCACAGAGGCCAGAGAATGAAGGAAAACTGATTGTCGTAAGTTCTGATTCCCTCTCCATATTTCTTAATTGTTTATTTTGAAAATTTTATATCCCTGGAACACAATTCTTATTTATTTACGTTTCTCACACCTAAACTTTCATATTTACATGCATAGCACTTCGGTGTTTTAAATCTATGCATGAAAAGGTGTTTTTCACTCCTGGAAAGTGGTAATAATGCTATTTTTGATTTGATATTAAAGGTTTGAGTGCTGTGTGTAAATATGAAAGTTTTTGTGTAAGATATGTAAATATATAATATTAGCTGCTATGTATGTAAATGCCCCTATTGTTTTCTCCCTCCACATTCATCTTTTTAATCTTCATGATATAGCAAAAAGAAAAGGTATCAAAGTATTTCTAGTTGGAATTGCTTATAAGTTGCATGAAACTATTTTGATTAAGAATATGATCAAAACTGTCCTCTGAAGCTTTGCAGGGGGTCAAAATGGTTGTATTTAAATTGGAGTAAAGTGCCAAAATAATCCCCGACTATTTACATGGGGTCAGTTTAGTCCCAGAGTTTAAAGAAGTGTCAAAATAGTTGTCATTTTTTTTAAATTAATGTTGAAATAGTCCGTATAGAGAATTAGTAGAGCTTATTTTTAAAATATTTCGGGATTATTTTGACGTCTCAATAAACTCTGAGACTAAAACGAATCCTGCCTGAAGGGAGACCACATTGGCTTATTACATAGTGGGAGATCATTTTGACCTTTTTACAGATAGTGAGTGACCATTTTGATTATTTTCTTCCTTAAGAATGTATCACATGCTATGAAATTATGACTAAATTCCTTGAACAATATTGATAAAATTTGTGTCTTTGTTGAACTATATGTATATGTAGGTGGTTTTCCCAAGCTTTGGTGAGCGTTACCTCTCCTCTGTGCTCTTCCAGTCTATAAAGAAGGAAGCTGAAAGCATGGTTTTTGAGCCTTGAATGTGACTTATGTTTTCTACAAATAAAGAAGCATTTCATGATAAATTTATGCAAGATTTGCTTTTGGTTGTTTTTGCTTTATAATTAGAATAAATGCATGTGAAAAACTCTCTTCTTCTTTCTCTCACATCTTCAGCAAGAGTTACTTTTGTAATTTGAAGTTTCCATTTTCTTGAGGGTTAGTGTATGGTGGAATCTACTTCTATTTTGATTAAAGTTGTCATCATGGCTTGGTGCTTAAGCTAACTAATGTCTCTGTAGCCTCCTTTTTCCTCCTATTTGCATACATGTCTTCTTACTTATGCATGAAGTAGTGCATGTCACTCTTTAAAAGATATGAAAGATTATATGAAAGATTTTATATGAAAGATTTTGGTGGTATAAATGTAAGAAGTAAAGTTTAGGTGTTAGATATGTAAATATTAGGAATTGAATGGTATGTATTTAATTAAAATCCCCCTTCAAATTGTTATATTTGATGCTTTTTTACACCCAGCTTTATATATTCTTGTATAGTTTATTGAGCTTAGTTGAATAATACTTTAGTTTCAACCGTTTTTTAAATTTTTGTTTTAATATAACATGTATTTCGATTGAGATTCAAGCTAATTATTATGATAATTATATATAGGGATGTAATAAAGGGTAAGTTTATCATGTATTGGCTTGGCTTAGTTATATTATAAATCTTCACATACATATGTTCATAATGGCTTTATTAGATTTTTAAATATAATCGTATTTGTGCTTGATTTGTTCAAAAGCCAAAATTTTGAATTGAGTATTTAATTTTTTACATAAAATTGTTATAAATTTATTTTTAAATGTTTATAAATTAGGCAATTAAAAACAATTTTGATTTAGAATTTAACTAAAAAATAGTATTTAATTTATAAGTATTTTTTTTACAAATAAATTACAAAGTATTTTAATGAATAAATAAACAAGCCAAAATTTTGAATTGAGTATTTAATTTTTTTATATAAAATTGTTATATATTTATTTTCAAAATTTTATAAATTAAGCAATTTTGAATTGAGTATTTGATTTTTTTATATAAAATTGCTATATATTTATTTTTAAAATTTTATAAATTAAGCAATTAAAAAAAATTGATTTAGAGTTTAACTAAAAAGATAGTATTTAATTTATTTTTTTTTTTTACAAAAAAACAACACAAGTATTAATAGATAATAAGAAAGAATTACCCTAAATTATTCGAAAAAAAGTGTATGAAATCCGTACATTTACTCTTTCAATTCTATAATATAAGTAGAACCTTATGCAAGGGTATTTACATAGATTTATGACAATAAAGTGTTATAAAAGTGTAAATATCAAATTTTGGGTGTTGGATATGTAAAAACATATGAATTGTATGGATGTATGCTAAATTTCCTAACAAATAATATACTTGCAAGGGAGTTATCATATACTTCCCAAGAGGGGGGGAAAAAATACTTAACAGTGACTGAAAATAAATAAAAATAAAATAAACTCAGAAATACTACATTTAAGCACAAACATGCCTGAAAACTTATCGCTTCTTGGAGACACCAACGGTCTTCCCCCTCCTCCCAGTGGTCTTGGTGTGCTGACCGCGAACCCTAAGGCCCCAGTAGTGGCGCAGTCCACGGTGGTTCCTATAAATTCATGGTTATGGACGTATTAATTACAAAAAGGTATATTTACATTCATTCATGCCACTTTCTTATGTATTTACATATCTAACAGCTAAAAATTCAATTTTTTACATATATCCCACCTTACCTCTGCACAAAAAAGTATATTTAATGGTATTTTTTATTTGACATGAAAGATTTGGTAGTCATAGATGTAAAAAATTAATTTTTTGGTCTTAGATATGTAAATAAGAAATAGGTATGTATGTAAATGCCCCAAAGAATTACATTTATATAATCAATTCCAAGGTAACAACTCTCTTACTATTGGCAAATGCAACAAATATAAGTGGATCAATTTTTACATTAAAAGTAAATGAAATATAAACAAATATATACATATATCTGCATCTATATATCCGCACAATTCTTATGCATGACATATTTAACACCTAAATTTTCATATCTAGGTGCATAACACTTAAATCTTCGGCATCACACCTTTTTAAAAGTGAAATGCAGCATTTCATGCATGAGTTTATGACGCCAAGTTGTTGTAAGTGCAAATATCAAACATTGGGTGTTAGATATGTAAATTCATAAGAATTATGTGGTATATATGTAATTTTCCTAAAATATATTACTCCATCATCTCTAGACGTCTGAAGTACTAAAGCTAAATGGAACTTAATCAGTCTAATATTGATTAAATAAATTAATTGAAAATTAATTGGACAAAAGATTAGTTAATTAGACAACTGTGTGTGACTTTCTTCGATTTAGTGAATCCAACCAGGAACCATATTTACAAAATTTCATGCTTACGAGTCCCTCTAAAAGAGATTGCTTGGAGACGCATCATGCAGAAATTTAAAAGATTTAGTCCTAAATCCCATCAAACAGTTTATAGGAATCTCTCGATCAAAAATTTATCAAATACATATTAGATGGGGTTTAAAATATTTGAATAGATTAAGGAAGTTAATAAATCCAGCTCATCTGAATTTACAACAACAACAAAGCCTTTCTTCCACCAAGTGGGGTAGCTACATGAATCTTTTTTCTCCACTCTATCCTATTTAGTGTCATATTTTCTTTCAATTCTAATAGATTAAGATCATTTTATGTCTGCCTCTATCTTTCTTATCAAAAGTCAAATCTAGAATATATACTTTCCCAACAGGATCAACAAATGATTGATATTTAATGTGATCAAACCATCTAAGACGACCTCTCTAATCTTAATTGTCACCGGAACAACATCAACCCTTTCACGGATACATTCGTTTTGCTCGTCTCTGAGTGTAAAGTCACTGATCCGCCTAAGCATTCTCATCTCAGCAACACTTAACTTAGGGTCAGTTTGGGGCAGCTGCAGCTTATCCAACTTATGTTGATAAGCAGCTTATCTTGATAATATGATGATGACCAGCTGATCCGGATAAGTTGGCTGGTTGTTGGTCTGTGCGTTTGGAAAACAGCTGATTTGCAGCTGTTTCTGGATAAATGATCATTTTACTCATGCAGTAATATTATTTGCAATAGAAGTGTCATAGCAAGATATTTGTAAAAAAAAATTTCAAAACAGTAAAAAAAATAAGATGAAGACCTAAAAATAGTTATAAATAATAATGAATGATATCAAAAAGATTATAAAATGATTTTATATATATTTAGTAATTATTAGACATTGTTTATTATAAAATGATAAAAAGTAATATAAAAAATATGAATAAATTCAATCAAAATCCTATGTCGCGATCTTCTTCTTTGATCCTTCCCTGTTCAAGATTGAAGATTGCTTCGCCGCAATAGCGTCCCGCGATCTTCTTCTTCTCTCTAAGTCTTGCTGCCCTACCTCCCGCGATCTTTGTGTTCGCTCAACATCATGCCTCCCTGTCGATGTTCGCTTCCCTACTGATGTCGCGCCTCCCTGCCGCAACCCACGATCCGAACGAAAGAAGAGAAGGAGTATCGAAGAAGCCGAAGGCTGTGCGAGCTCGATCGCGAATGAAGGAGAAGGCAGCGGGTTCGATCGAGGGGCAGTGGAGTAATTTTGTGACTAAACGAAACGAGGAACACTGCCCGCGCGGGCGACGTTCTTCATAAAATAAAAATGGATTTTTTTAAAACGTGACCGAAACGCAGAAAACAAACAATACGCCGCCCGCTGTTTTAAACTGCCCCAAACGAGCCCTTAGGGTGTGTTTGGTTGCAGGAATGATTTAGTAATATAGTATTTAGCAAATCCAGATTTATTACATTCACCCCTTTGCTTAATTTATTAAATCCGGATTTAACATGATCAAAGTTAAAACCCGGACCTTAAATCCATGAAACTTGTGTTTTTTTTGTATTTGGTTGGATTTAGTAAATCCTGGCCATAAATCCTATTAACAGTGCGCTACCAAATATCCCTTTAGTTTTATGTTTTTCTTTTATAGACCAACATTTTGCACCATAAAGCATTGCAGGTCTCATCACTATCTTATAAAATTTTCCCTTCCAAGTTAAAATGATGCTTTTCTATCACACAATAGGCATGATGCATTCCTCCATTTCAACCATGCAACTTGAATTCTATTAATAACATCTCTATCTATATCACAATCACTTTGAACAATAGGCCTAAGATATCTAAAATGTTCACTCCTTGTAATGACTTATCAACTATTATTACAACCGCTCCATTAGATCCACTAGTAAAATTACATTCCATGTGTTTGGTTTTAAATCTACTCAAACGAAAGCTTTTACATACTAAAGTTGACCTTCAATATTCAGTTTTTTTCTGAACTCTCTTTCTAATTTTATCTACCATGAGGATATCAACAGCAAAACCCATACACGAAAGATAGATCCTCCTATTAAAGTCTAGTAATAATATCCATAATAAGACAAAAGGCTATAGGCTTAAAGTCGATCTCTGATGTCTTCCAACTAAAATAGGAAATACTTCGTCAATCCTCCACTTCAAACACAAGTAACATCTCTAGCATACATATCTTTAATGACTTGAATATAGGTTATATCAACATCATTCTTCTCTAGAACTCTCCAAAGTAATCTTCTTCGTATCTTATAATAAGCTTTTTCTAAACCAATAAAAATCATATGTAGATCCTCTTCTTATGTTATCTACACTTCTATATCAAACATCTCAATAAAAGTATAGCTTCTATAGTAGACTTGCCCGACATAGATCAAAAATAATTTTGAGAAATATTTGTATCGCAACTTAACCTATGTTCAATAGCTCTCTCTCATAATTTTAATGTATGACACATTAACTTAATTCCTCTATAATTTACACTCTTGTGCATTCGCTTTATTCTTAAAAATAGGAACAAAAAAACTCTTCCTCCATTCCACAAACATCTTTTATTTTTTAAAATAATAATAAAAAGTTTGATAAGCCAAGAAATTCCTAAATCCCCAAAACATTTCCCTTAAAATTAAAGGTATATAATTTTTAAAAAAAATTAAAGTCGTCAAATTATAGGTGTGACTTGTTATTCAAACAGAATAGGTATTGCATTTGTGAATGAATGGGGATGGGAATAGAGTAAATAATCCCAAAAGAAAACCTACAAGTTCAATGGAAAATGGGATTGGATAGAGTATGAGATGAATAACAACATATTACAAAAAAAAATATAATGTTCAAGTGGCATAAAAGCTTTTTTTTTTTATTTTAGAAGTGGGATCTCAAATAGAAAATAAGTGATTAAGTTTTTTTTCACTTTTTTGCTATTTTATTTCACTTTTATTCCCTTTGAATGGCATAGAAGTGGGATCTCAAAGACACTTTAATTCTCTTTTTAAAGCAATTTGAACCACTTCGCTCCAAAAAAAAAATTGTAGTGAATGCAAAACATTTTAAAATTACAAATGAGATAAGAGATTGATGATAGTAAATACGATAATTTTTTTAAGATGATGAAAGTAAAGATGGGGTCATTACAGACTATAAACCTCATGAAATATTTACAATGTAAATGAAAGTTTACTGGAATCAATTTGAAATATTTATTTTATATCAATATTTAAGATTAAGATTTGTGATTTTTCTTTATGATAATAAGCTAAATCAACATATGAATAATTTATGTTATATTTATGAATTACTTTTAATTTTATGATTTTTTTTTTTTGGAGCTTACACCTCAAGGCTTGTGTCCCTCCTTGCTAAGGCTGAAAGTCTCAGTTACCGATTACAAATTTTTAAACCTTTTTTATCTAAAATTTTGTGTAAGTATATATATTCAAAATAGAATTAGAGTATTCTTTGCACCAAAAAAAAAATTAAATCGCTAGATTACAATGACAAAAAATGCAGCCAAAATAACATCAATGTGCCAAATTCAACAGATACCAACCTGATTTTCTTCAGGCGTTCCAGATCATCCCTTAACTTCATGTCCAAAGCATTGGACACAACTTGAGAGTATCTTCCATCTTTGTAGTCCTTCTTCCTGTTCAGAAACCAATCCGGGATTTTGAACTGGCGGGGGTTCGCTACAACAGTCATCAGATTCTCAAGCTCAGCAGCCGAAAGCTCACCAGCTCTAGAAACACATTTAAGTGATAACATTAAACTCAGTAATCCAACTGGACATAAAGTAAAGGGCATGTACATACATAAGACCCAATTCTTATGAATTTGCATATCTAACAACTATATTTTACTTTTAATATTTACACCACCCAAATCTTTCATATCACATAAAAAATACCACCTCTTAACTTTCAAAAAGTGCAATACACATTTTCATGCATAGGGAATGCGGCATGTATGTAAAATTTAAAGTAAATTACATAAGAATTGAGTGGTATGTATGCCAATTTTCCAAAAATAAAACACATGAAAATAGGGTAAATATTAAAAAGGAGCATATTAAATGTTTATGTTCTTATAAGGAGCTTAATGCCAAGTGAAATATTACGTTGAAGGGTGTTTTCTTTTCACACCGGCAGTATAAAATATCATTCGTCCCAACATAATCTAATTTAAAAAAACTGGATTAAAATTTTTATTTTTTCACACCCATCTCACAATTTACTTATTATTGTAAGTCGCTTCTTATTAAAAATTGTAATTTGGTGTTATATTTTTTGGCTTGCAATCAAATGTTTGTAATCATTCATCTTCCTATTATTCATCCACATATAAAACTTAAAATGGAAACAAAAAAATAAACTTTTCAATTCAATCCCTTATAAATTAAAAATGCCTGGTCGAGGAGCATTTGCATGCTACAAATGTGGCAAGCAAAAAAACCCTCAAATAAGGTTACTGTCTACAATTTTTTCTCTAACATCAAGCTCCTCATACGAAGATAAACTTCTAATTTGCTCCCCCTTTTAAGAATTTCTCCCATGAAAATATAATTTTGCAGAGTAAAAGCTGAACAACACCAGTTAAAATGTAGACAACAAACAAAACAATTACATCAAAAATTCCTTATAATCTATCAATTATTTGCATCTGCTGAATTCTAGCAAAAATTGAGCTTAGAAATAATGCATTACAGAGTGTTCATCAAACAAAATATATGATCATTTAAAGTTTGCAAAATACCTTCAATCTACAAATTTAAAAAAAAAATTACTCGAGCCAATAATATATCACAAACAAGGATACAACCCTCTGCATTCCCTCTTTCAACCAGGACCAAAAATTAAGAAACTTGCGTCAGCAGCAGGACTAGGGAAGTTAAAGATATAACGATACCTTTTGTTCATGTCGACATCAGCCTTCTTGCAAACTATGTTGGCGAAGCGTCGGCCGATGCCCTTGATGGATGTAAGGGCGAACATTATCTTCTTCTTTCCATCGACATTCGTGTTCAAAACGCGAAGAATATGCTGGAAATCCTCGTTCGCGATCAGAGACTACAAGCAAGACATAACAAAGAATGATCAGAACCGATCATTTCAAGTTGCAATGGAAGTAGACGAAAGCACTCACCATGGTTTCTAGATTTTTTTTCTCTTTCAGCCTGGATACTCGCCGATAACTGCCGCTAGTGGTCGGCTGGCCGCGGGAATAGTGTTATATAGGCGATTCAAACCCTAAATCATACTATGATTAATAATGATGATGAATCCTTTAATTTAACTGACCAGCTCTAGATTTTAATGCACATGTGAAAGATTCATAGATTGTAAATTTTAATTTAGGAAATTTACTTTCATGCCACTTAAGATTTATGTGTTTGTTTGCTTCAATTGTCACATGCTTCAATTGTCACATATATATATATATATATCACATTCATATAAGTTTGATCGACCACTACATGTTGATCACCTGTTTTAGGACATGTCGATGACTCATTTTGAGTTTGATCGGTCCAGGGCTGATCACCTTATTTTTTGGGTTTTATAGACCGCAACGTGTTGATCACCACTTTGGGTTTGCTTGATCGTGTCGGGTCGATCATCCCATTTTTTTTGGTTTGATAGTTTGTTATATGTCAATCACTTGCTTTGGGACGTGTCGATCACTCGTTTTGGGTTCTTCGAACGTCCTAGACCGATCAACTTATCTTTTGGGTTTAATCGATCGTTGTGTGTGGATCAACCACTTTGGGTTTGATCGATTGTCCCGGGCCGATCACCCTATCTTTTGGGTTTGATCACCTGATTTGGAACGTGTCAATCATCCGCTATGGGTTCTATCGGCCGTCCCGAGCCGATAACATTTTCTTTTGGGTTTAATCAACAACTATGTGTTGATACCCCGATCTGGGTTCGATCAGTCGTCTCAGGCCGATCACCCAATTCTTTGGGTTTAACCGACCATCACATGTGGATCACCCGATCCTTTCGGTTCGATCGACCATCCTGGGTGGATCACCTACTCTTTTGCCTCTGATCAATCACGACTCTTTTTCGGTCCAACTGGCCACCACGACTCAATCGATTGACCACCTGCATTCTTATATGTTTTTTACATCATATTGCATGTGTTCATTTGCAAGTGCATGAAAAATCTTTTTTACTTAATGTCTACAAATTCTCATCCCATGTAAAAATGTTTGTTGTCTTTTATCCTTTGTACGCGACATGTTTGGGTGTCTCCCTGAGTATCCCTCCTCAGGGTGTCTCTTTGAGCGTCAGCACTTGTATGATTCTCTCTAGTGAGAACCACTGTTTTTTGGATTGTTGCCTTTACGACATACCAATTTTTTTGAGTCACTGCCTCTGCTGCATACCCATCTTCTGGGCTGCTGCCTTCAAGTCACTTTCATCTTTAGGGTCATTGCCTCCACGACACACTCATCTTTTAAGCTGTTGTCTTCACTCCGTGTCTTAGAATATTATATATTATATATATTAAAAAAATTATTTTTTATAGCATTTTTATAAGGGCTTTAAACTAAAATTAATGTTTTTTTTAAAATACTCCACCCCTTAATTTCATAAATTACAGTGCTATTTCTAAAATTTGCTTATTTATTTACATAACAATTTGTTGTGGTAAACAATGCATTAAAAGGTGCATTCCTCTTTTAAAAAATAACAATAATATTATTTTTCTTTAAAAATTTAGTGTTTGTGTAAATGTGAAAGTTTGGTTGTGAACTATGTATGTGAATACCCCTAAAATAAATAATTTAAAATATTGGCTTGCACCGCTCACCTACTTGGCTACATATTGGATTTACGTTTAATATGATTTGTTTGGATTGATCAAATTCATTATTGAATAAAGGGTCCACAAGTGACGATCAAATAAATTTGTCTCTCAATCAGATTTACTAAAGCTTCATTTGAAGTAGCACCTATGTTCAATAAATTTCGTTTAAAAGTCTCATTTGTAGAGCTGGAGGAGGTCAGCTACGATCTGAAATGGGAAAGAATTGTCGCACTTACGAAAGAACTTCAAGAGACATTCTGTTCTCACTGTTTCATCAAATATAAATAGAAGATTTTTTTCAGGCATCGTCGATGTTGGCTCGAATAAAGTAGAAAATTTATTACCTTATCAAAAGAAACCTAAATTCAAATTTTGATTTAAGAGAACCTTGGATTTATTATTTATTTATTTTTATGTTTAGTTGAATGTAAGTTAAATCTATGATTAAATATTAATATGCTAACAAACATCATTGTCGTAAAAATTCAATTCCGTTGGCGCATTCAACTGTTTCTCAGCCGATTGGTCCGGAGAGACATAGCACCGCCGCCGCCGCCGCCGCCTCCGACGTCGCCCCCGATTAATTCATCCTTTTCGGATTTCAGGTTCATTCCTCCTGTCTCTCACATTGTCTATTTGTCTTTCATTTTTTCCCCTGTGAATGAAACCCTACCTTTTTTCACTCCGAAACCTAGGATTGCGTCTAATCCCTTCTATTGTTTTTTTTTTCTCGTTTTATTTATAGTGAAACTCGCATTTGGGTTTCAATCATTGTCGTTGTTAGATTTGCATTCTCGTTATCGATTTTTATTTGGGATTTTCATTTTCTATTTGGGGTTGTTGCACAAGATCTTTAATGCCTGGAAGCTGGTGGGAAGTATCATTACTATATTGATTTGTTGATGTGAGACTAGGTTTGAGATTACTGGCAGTTGTTTGAGAAGATTAGATGAATTCTGAATTTAAAAGTGGAAAATAGTGGAGCAAAATAGTTGAATCGACGCTTTAGCTGTGCTTGCTATGTTCCGTCAGTCAGTAAAGATGCGGAGGTTGAAAATTCCAAGAGCGGAGCTGCGGTGGAGACCCATCGGCATAAAGTAATGATGGGATTGAAAATTTTGAGAAGGGAGAAGCGTGTTAGGGCTTTAAGCTGGGTTAATTGAAACTTCATGACATGTTCAGGATAGGCCCAAACTTGACCAGTTTGATTTACTGCGCATGCATGCCATGAGTTCACATTATATGACCTAACACAAGTTGGATTGAATCACATAGAAAAAATGCAGGAGGAGGGGGCAAAGTTATGTGGGTTTAGGCTAAGGTATTGTTGACTCTAGAAATGAGTGAGAGAGTTGAGAGAGAGAGAGAGAGAGATGACTGTAGAAGTGAGGGAGAGTTTACATTCCATGTAAATTGTTAGTTGGCAGGGATTATTACATTCTGATCTCAGTTGGATGGAGCTGAGGAGTTCTAATTTCTGCAGTTGTTATCGATTCATTAGGAAATGTATTGGCCACTACTTGAACCATGTGTAACACAGCTGAACTGATTTTTTTTTTTTTTTAGTCAAGATCAATGCAAGCTTTTGTGTTTGGTCATAACTTGACGCCCTAATGAAGTCCTCCGTGTCTTTAAAAAAAAAAAGTCTCCTGTGATTAGAACTCCATTTAAATCCTTCATAATATTTTTCATAATATATTCAATGCTTCAAAAATCTTTTAGATTTAATTGCCCCTTCATGAAGCTCTTTGTTTTTACCCACAAGCTACAAAAATAAAAAACACTTTCCTAAGTTCTATACTTTTTTGTTTGGTCACTCTTGATCGTTGAAAGCTTGAAGTGAATGGCTTCAGATGAACCAATGTTCTCGAATGCTGTTATTTGTTTTGTTAGCTCATAAACTTCTAAAAGGAGTTGTTGATTCTTGCTGACATAGTTTAGGCTCACTGCAATTCGTGCCAAACTCATCCAAGTTTGTAAAATATAATGGATTTTTTCCTTTGGGTTCAAGTATATTATTATAGCACGTGCTTTATGCATATGTTAATTATTATTTTTTCCATATTTTCTATCCTTTGGGGTTTTATTTACATTTTATGTATTTATACTCTAGTGAGTTACTAGTAAACATTGTATTTTTATGGTGTGTTGCAGATGATATAAATGATAATGAGTAAAATATGATGGATTTGATATTATAAATATTATGCTTGATTTATGGTTTTTATGAAAGCATCCTTCCTGTACAAGTATATTTCATGTTTTTTCATAACTGTTAATGAATTTAATCATGTTTCCTGATGTTTAATAATAAAAGCGGCGCTTGCCCGTTCAAAAAAAAAAATCGAAGTGAAAATTATGCTTGATAATTGTGGGAATCACATCGCTATAAGAAAATTAATTTGTTCTGCTAAAAAATTCAATATGAGAGATTTTTTCACTATGACAGTTGCTGAAAAGTTATAAAAAATAATTAAGATGTGTTGTTATATTTTTTGTATTGATCTCTAGAAGGGATATGATCTAAGTAAATAAATAAATCTTTGGCGGGTATTTTGGGGATGAGGCATCTTGAAAAGATATATTGAAGGTGATAAAGATATTTATCATGAAGAAATAAGTAGATGATGAAGAAACATATTTGATAATGATGTAACCATTCTTCATCATCTATCTCCTTGTCATTATCTATGATGTTCTAATGGGACATGGATGTGACAATAGTCTTATTAGAGCTTGATCATACAAATGAAAATTGTCTTTTTTTGAGGGAGAGCGTTTGGTATGTTTCCGACTATATACAAATAAGGATTTAGATAATTAACAGCTGAAGACCTTGCTATCATTGGTTGCTTTTTGACATTCCATGAGAGAAAGTTAGAGCCTATAAAGGAACAATATTCGATGATGGACCTTCTATCATGCAGATCACTGGCCCAGCTTGCATCAACATAGGCATGAAGAGTGATGGATCTGGATTGAAATGGGAGTCCAAAATCAGTTGTTCCATGTAGATAATGGAGGAGACATTAAGATGTTGAAAGTGAGATTGAAGTGGCTGTTGAAGGTGCTGAGAGAGAGAGAGAGAGAGAGAGAGAGAGAGAGAGAGATCACTGCTACCATGATATTCGGTTTGGTGAGAGTAAGGTACTGTAAAGAGCCAAAAAGCTTTCGATATAACAAGGGAGTAGAAAAGGGCTCAGAGGAGTTAGAAATACTTTTGATAGAGACATTTTGTGCGGTGGGAACTGTTTTACATGTGGTCATCCCCGTACGACACAAAATTTCACGGACATAGCTAGTTTGATTGAGATGATAATCATATGAAGTATGAATGATGTTGATCCCAAGGAAAGTTGTAACAATATCTAAAAAATTAATGTAGAAATGATGTTGTAATTCTTATTGAAGTTTTTGTATCACACCGCACCGATGTCATTGCCTGTTAAGAGAATATAATTTACATAGAGAAGGAGATAAAGAATGTGAGAATTATGATGATGAATGTAAAGAGAGGGGTCTGCCGCATTTTTTATGAAATCAAATTTAAGTAAGTGAGTGGTGCAAGTAGCATTTCATCATCGTGGAGCCTGTTTTAGTCCGTATATAGATTTTTGCAATAGGTGGATATGAGTGTGGTTGGCAGGGCCTTGTTTCACTAAAAGTTTTTTGTGAGAAAACACAATGAACTATACTATAGTTAACGAAAAATATTGCAAGGCTTTATGCATAACCTTAATTATTGAGGAATATTATAATTAGTCTCATATGAACGTGGATGCACATGTGCTCAGTCCTAAGGAAAGCTCATAAGCATCTCATAAAGACTATTAAAAAATCATGTACGTTTGAATCTCTAATCATATTGAATTAAATTATATATCATCAGTATTATCTCGAGGATATATATTATATGCATGAATTGATTTATGCTTACAATATGAATCTAAATCTCATATTGATTATAAATTTACACCTAGTTTAGAACCTAGTCATAAACCTAAACCCATATTAGACAAGAGTTAGAATTGGAGTTTGAAAGTAATGTTTGGGATAAGATCTTATTTGAACCCAAATTTTTAATGTAGATTATACCTATACTTGAATAAACCATGTCCATTGTTGTTGTTAAAAAATGCATAATCCGAAAACTAACTCCCAATGAATTATCTAATGATATTATTCTTATGATTAGGGGTGTAAACTATCCGAGCTCGAGTGAGCTCAAGCTCGGCTTGTGCTCAGCTCATTTAAAAATATCATTATTCGTGTTCAACTCGTTTGTATATCGACACAAAAAATTTGTTCGTGGTCGGCTCGTTTGCTTAACGAGCAGAACACGAGCTATTCCTGGACGAGTCATTTTGAAAGCCCTAGTCACATAGCGATAGAATGTTGAGGGTAGGGGCGATATTTAAATCTTATTATTTATATTAATTTATTCATTTAAATAAAATTTAATATATTTTTATTATATTTTTTAATCAATAACTTTAATTGATTATAAATCTTTGCAGCCTTGTACTCATTTAAATTATTTAAAAACAATATTCATCAATTTTATATGTATATATATAATTTAATTATTTCAATTCAAAACTAGCTGAACATGTAATAACAAATATTTGATCATATTCGGCTCATTTATATATCAACAACAGCAACAAAGCCTTAATCCCACAACGTGGGGTCGGCTCGATTATATATCGAGCGCAAAAAATTGTTTATGTTTGGCTCGTTTGCTTAACGGGCGAATCGAACACGAGATACTTAACGAGTCGAACACTAGCTTTTCACAAACAACAAACCGTTTTGACAACCCTTCTTGTGATGGACAATCACATTGTTATTACTTTCACAGTTTAGTGACATAAGTTTATAAAATGAACCTTATGATGAGAGCTTACTGTCATCAATATTTTAGATGTTTTTTTATGATAAATATCTTTAAAGGAATTTAAAACGTAAAATTGCATTTCTCTCTGCAATCTTAAAAATTCATAATTTATCATTATTAATTTTAAGCCATTTAAGTTAGTTTTCTTTAATGTGGCCATTCATTTATGTAAGCATATTATAACTGTGTTGCTTGTTTATTTGCAATTTAGTGGCATACTAATTACAAGGATTTAGTAATATGTCATCAGTATCCCTTTGGATGCATATTTTTTTAGCATTTTGATTATTTGTCTTACGTAATTTGCTTGATTTAGTTGATGTCATGAAGTTTTTCATACAAGATAAATTCTTCGCCATGATAATTTTAAGCTTTTTATGGAGTTTAAACCTTGTAATAAAGTATGTAAATTTTTTATTTTAAAATGCTTCCGCTGGAACCTTTAAGAAATTAAATGCCAGAAAGATAGGGTCATCTAAATTTTGCATTACATTGAAATATGCCATTAAGCAGGATCAGCTTGATCCATGTTCTAATTAAAATTCCAAGTAACTAATTTGTGTAAAAATATGGAAACTATTGTAAGAGTGGGAATTTAAAAAAAAAAATTCAGATGAAGCACCATGTCCAACTTATATAGCCCTTCGAAAATCATTCATCACTAATCTTTTTTTTCTTCGACATTTGAACCCATTGCTTCAATTTTTATAACCTTATAATGTCTAATGATTGACAAACATCTCTTGTTTTCATTTTTTCCAGGATTTTTTTGTTCTTTTCGATGAAAAAAGGTACCTAATTTAAGAATCGAACTTCCTATTTTCTACAAGCAAATAATGATCCGAGTAACCGACAACTGTGTCTAAAAAAACCAAAGTATGAAGTTTCCCAAACGATACATTATTGTTGTTCTAACATTCTTCTGCACAAATGTTTGCTACATCGAGCGCATGGGTTTCTCAATTGCTTACACCGCAGCCGCCGATTCTGTCGGCGTTAATCAATCCAGCAAGGGTCTGATACTCTCCACATTCTACTACGGCTATGTTCTCTCACAAATACCTGGCGGATGGGCGGCGCAGAGTCTCGGTGGCCGCCGCATTCTTCTCTCATCATTTTTACTTTGGTCCTCCACATGCGCCTTAGTTCCCTTGGACCCAAACAGAATCCTCACATTGGTCATAGCTCGCCTCCTCGTCGGCATCGCCCAAGGTTTCATCTTCCCCTCCATTCACACTGTTCTTGCACAATGGGTCCCTCCTCACGAGCGATCCCGGTCCGTATCTCTAACCACTTCAGGGATGTATCTCGGAGCTGCGGCCGGCATGCTTTTGCTTCCAGACTTAGTAAAAAACCAAGGTCCCCAATCTGTATTTATCGTCGAAGCAGCACTGGGTATCGCTTGGTCCATCTTTTGGTTTAAATATGGGAGCGATCCGCCGCTTTCCGACCACCTCAGGCCGGCCGGACTGCTGCCGACAACCAAGTCTAAGGAGAAGGGAAGTTTGCCATATCAGGGCAAGGTGCCATGGAAGAAAATGATGTTCAGCATGCCAGTTTGGGCGATCGTAGTAAACAACTTCACCTTCCATTACTCATTATATGTTCTCATGAACTGGCTGCCAACTTACTTTGAACTGGGCCTCCAACTAAGCCTTCAGGAAATGGGATCATCGAAGATGCTGCCTTACCTGAACATGTTTCTGTTCTCAAACATGGGCGGCATCATCGCCGACCACCTCATAACTCGAAGGATCTTATCCATGAAATCAACTCGCAAATTCTTAAACACCATTGGATTCCTCATCTCTGCGCTCGCCTTGCTGGTGCTGCCGCGGTTCAAAACAGCCGCCGGCACCGTGCTCTGCTCTTCGATTTCTTTGGGTTTTCTGGCATTGGGGAGGGCCGGATTTGCGGTGAATCATTTGGATATAGCGCCGAGGCATGCCGGGATAGTGATGGGAGTTTCTAACACGGCCGGGACATTGGCTGGGATAATTGGTGTGGGGCTTACAGGAAGAATATTGGAGCTTGCTAAGGCTGTTGATGCTGATCTCTCTAGTCCTCAGAGCTGGAAGCCTGTGTTTTTTGTACCAGCTTATCTCTGCATTTTTAGTTCTTTAATCTTTTTGATTTTTTCTGGAGGGGAAAGAATCCTGGACTGAGAGAGCCAGCGCCTTGATGAACTTCTCATACCACACAATTCCTATGAATTTGCATCTTTTGATCCCAAAAATTTGATTTTTTGTATATTTATAATTCTCTAATCTTTCATATCACATCAAAAATATTAAAAACATGTGAAGGTGAAATAAATGTTTAAATTAAAGTTGGGGTGTTGAATATGTAAATACGTAGAAATTATGTGGTATGTAGGTAAATCTTTGTGGAAAGAAATGTTTTAGAACTGCTCTCTGAAGATAGTGATTCCTCATTGTTGAATTGTAAATTTGGTTGCAGGAACCTCATTTTAATTTGTTTACTTCAATTTATTATTAGTAATGTTTTTTAGCAATTTGTTTTACAGATTCCATGTGGGAAAATTATTATCATCATTGTTTTTGTAATTTTTTTTTTTTCGGTGTTGTATGTGATGTTGAATCTTCTGTCATTCCATGTTTTTGGGATTTGAAATTGTTGGTGACTGCTTGAAAATATGCGTATTACAGGAGAAAATATTACGTCTAGAGTCCGGACAACGAATGCGATGCACTGAGCGAGTATTGCAATACACTGGGCTAGGATTTTATTTTATCTTTTTCTTCTCTTCCTTTTCGCCGGTGAATCGCATCCGTGTTGAGTCCGGACGCAATATTTTGTCGCATTACAGGCCGTCATTATTGTTCAATATAGAAAAGTAAATATTGTGATAAGAAAAAAAAGTATAAACAGTTATGTATGAACAAATTATTATGAAGAAATAGCTTATATGAAGATTTAGGGTTGAATATCATTTGTGTGATGCTATGATGTGGATGCTTGGAGGGATTAGTATTGTTTTTAAATTTGTCAAATATCTTTTAAAGTTTTTTTTTGAAATATGGTGATTTTATTTACAGAGTTTTGCAAAAATAAAAAGAAAAAGAAAAAACTATTACGTACGACTAGCATTCATCACTTCTTATCTATTATTATTTTTTCATTAAATATCATGAATTATTTATTATGCTTAGTGGTAAGGAAGTCCCGTCGCCCGCTTCGGAAGAATGTTTTAATTTATATATATATTAATTTAAAAAAAATTTATGTAAACTTTACGTTTCGGACGTGTTCGCACGGTTCATTTCACGATCCGAGATCGTCTTGATGAATTCATCGCCGAATGAGCTAATTTGGCATCAATTTGGGTGTGTCGTGCAGAATGAGACGCGTTCGCGAAACTCCAACAATATGGGTGTCTTTCACGGACAACATCGACATTTTGGACGTGCTCGCATGGTCTGTTTTATCGTTCGAGATGGTTCGGTGAAATTTCATCGACGTAGGAGCCGATTTGGCTTTGATTTGTGTGTCGCGTCGAATGAGACCCATGCACGAAATCTCATCAATATGGGTGTTAAACCTAGGCAACATCGACATTTTGGATGCGCTGATGCAGTCAATTTCATCATCTGAGGTCGTCCAGACAAATTTAAGCCCAATTCGTGTCAAATGTAGAATATATCAAAAATTGATGCCAACAAAAAAATATAGGAATTAAGATTTGATAACTCGGGGATCGCAAATATAATTATAAAGAACAAGGAATGTTCAAGAATAAAGGGCTTGGAAGACGCTCAGTGTTTGGAACTCCCCAAGACTCAAGCATTTGGTGTGGTAGAGAATTCTAAGGAAGATAAGGAATTAACATGAATTATGATTTAACTTTATAGCATTGGGAATGTATTTTAATGGCTAACTCATAAACTGAGCTATGGCATTCATATTTATCTAAGGATATAAATGTAAAAATTAGCACAATTTTTGAAGAGAAGGGCAAAAGTTAGTAACGCTTCAAATCAATAAGAATATAATATATTATTATTATTATCTATTTTCTTCACATTTGTCTTTCAAATATACAAGAGAGTCAATGAACTAAATATATAATTGAAGACCCAGTAATATGAACTAAGAGTGTAAGTGAGATAAGCCAACTCGTGAGCAAACGATAAGCTAACTAGCCAAGTTCAAGCTAGTCACGTCTCAACTCGTTACCCCGTGAGCCATCTCCTTTATGAATATATTAATATAAACTACAAACCAAATATATTAATTTTAAAGACTTTATTTTTAAAGAATTGAAAATATTTAACAATTAATGTTTTCTATTTTATGTTAGTGATTTTTTATTATTTCTTTCTTAATTGTTGATTTTATTTGTCATTTTACTTCAACACTATCGATACACCACCAATAAATTTTCATCATCCAGCACGAATCTAAAGGCATGACACGAATTTTGAGCCAATCTTTCGGGCGAGAAAACATTCAAACTTCGATTAGGAGTCATCCAAAGCTTCGATTTCAACAAATTTATAGTTGAATTGACCAACTCGACGAGACCAACCCAAAGATATAAAAATTAGTCCAATTAAAGGCATATCAAACACAAATCAAGTCATTAAACTACTATTGAAAGATTTCCATACTATAAAAAGAGGCTTGTGAGAAATCTTGAAGTTTTGAAAATAAGTTGAAGTCCAGCTCCATCCCGATCAACATCGATTGTTGTCAACCACCGCCAACCGTTGTCAACGACCGACCGTCGTCGAGCATTACTGTCGTCTTCAACCACCCCTGACCGGTCGCTATCAGTTGACGTTGTAACTTGTAAAATTTAGTAACCCTTTTCTTTTTTATGGGACTAGGGGGTCTTTGTAATCATCAACTTATAGTGAATTTTTAACTGGGTAAGACCCCGTGGTTTTTTCTTTTACGGTTTTTTTCACGTAAGAACTTCTAGTGTCACTATTGGCTGTTTTCTTTTATCTGAGTGTATGCTGAATTCTCATACAACGCTAAGACGATAATTCATTACTCTTCTAACGTGAATATTCTAGCACGCATAAACTATATTAAATCAATATTTTTTTCTCTCTTCTATAATAAACAAGTTGGCTCATTAGTCGGCCCGAACTTATAGATTTAAGCTCAAGCTCAAATCGAAACCGGCTTGAGCTCGACTCGACTAAATTCGTTAGCTGAATCCAAAAAGAAATAGCAGTCCGAATAAATGAATAATTAACCACAACTAATAAAATAATACATTAAAAGTTGGAATTAGCTTCCAAATCTTTTATATCACATAAATAATATCTCTACTTTCATTAAAAAAAAAAAGAAATACAAATTTTCAGGCACATATAATTAAGTCACATGTATCTAAAAATCAAAGTTTTAAGTGTTAGATATGTAAATACATAGAACTTAAAGAAGTGTATGCATGTAATTTTTTAATTTTTTCTTTTGTTCCGTGCTTGCGAGAAATTTTAAAATTACATTTTTATCAATTTAACATCTAATTTTACTTATTTACATTTATATCAATTTAATTTTATTTTTATATGACATCAAAAACATTTCCGTGCATAGGAAAAATGAAAAAATGCATTTTACATAAAAGTATAGGTAAGGTGACATTTACGTAAATGCAAAGGAATTGAGCGGTATTTATGCAAATTCTTCCAAAAATTTAAAACATTGAAAATACAAAGCAATTGTAAACCCTAAACAAATAGCCGCCGCAGGGAGGAGGAGCTCCGGGGCAATCAATGGTATGTACGATCCTGGACTGACTGTAGCACTGGTGATAGTCGCCACTGTCGATTGAAACTAATTGCCCCACTTGGATGGACAGGGAATCGATCTTATCGCCGGCGGACGGAGCAAGAAGACGAAGCGCACCGCTCCCAAGAGCGATGATATTTACCTCAAGCTTCTCGTCAAGGTAATTATCAGATCTGAGGGAAGGAACATTCCTACAATCTGAGGCTCGTCTTACATCTCTGATTTTTGGCCGAGTCGATTAATTCATTTTCTTTCCTATATTATCAGCTCTACAGGTTTCTGGTAAGGAGGACGGGGAGTAAGTTCAATGCTGTGATTCTTAAAAGGCTCTTTATGAGTAAGGTCAATAAGCCTCCTCTCTCTCTTAGGAGGCTTATAAAATTCATGGAGGGAAAGGTTCGTTTTCGATCGTTCGGATGATTTCAGTCGGTAGTCTTCCTTGTTATGATAGTTTTCTTTTTGATGAAATGATGTCTCTGGCCAGGAAAATAATATTGCGGTGATCGTCGGAACTGTTACTGACGATAAGAGGGTGCATGAAATTCCAGTCATGAAGGTGACGGCTTTGAGGTTCACAGAGACTGCTAGGGCAAGGATTCTTAACGCCGGAGGAGAATGCCTGACCTTCGATCAACTTGCTCTTAGGGCGCCTCTTGGACAGAATACGGTGCATATTAACCTCCCATCATCTTTTTCAGTTATTCGTTTAAATTATGATTTTTAGTTTCTTTACCATCATCTTTTTCAGTTATTCGTTTAAATTATGATTTTTAGTTTCTTTACCATCATCTTTTTCAGTTATTCGTTTAAATTATGATTTTTAGTTTCTTTACCATCATCTTTTTCAGTTATTCGTTTAAATTATGATTTTTAGTTTCTTTATCCTATATTTGCTCATTAATCTTGTTTTCTAGGCACTATATACTTTATACTGACTTCCGCACCGATGCTTGTTTCATTGTTAGATTTTCATTTTAATTTGTGGGGATGTAGCTTATGCTATAATAATGAAAAAGGGCTAGCAGATCTTGCTGCTAGTTTGCTTCCACAATCTATTTTTTATTTCATGCTAATGGATGCATAATTTCTTGTTATGTGCCGGGTTTGATGGTGAATTGTTGATATTTGTTTTGTGGAGTTTGGCTATTATTTACTTGAATGGAAACCAAACTGAGGACATTTCAAAATGAAATTACCTTTCTTTTAGAGTCTCCATGATAAATATAACTCAATTTAAACTATAACCTGATATACCTATTTTTTAAAAATTGAGTTTTTGCTGATTATATCATAATATTTGAGGTAACCAGGAGAGGTTATGGTTATGATGTGTTATTCTTGTATGGTGTCGAATGGTCTGGTTCCTGATGATGTTTAGTTGAACCATGCTAATTCTGAGCTCTTATGGTGAATCATTTTGATATTGTTCTGAGGGAACCATTCCTTGTTTTTGTTTTTAGTTTAAAAGAAAATCTGCATCAGCTTTCTGCTTTTTGAGGTATTTAGATGAATGACATTGCTTTTTGGTGTTATTTTTCCATCATAATGTTGTAAGGACAATTCCTTTTTTTTTAATATTTTTCTATCATAATGTTGTGATTGAATTTGAGTTTATTAGGTATACAGTTTATAATCGAGTGCATTCTTGTATTGTTATTGTAATTTGGAGAGTTATTCAAGTTCCGTTAGTATGACGCATAATTGTCATATTATTGTTAATCCTTGGAATAAGTGTTGGTTTACACTTTACATTTATTTATATTATTTTATTTATTATTATTTGTCTTTTGTTTAATTGCGATGGTCGTTTTGCTTGTTTTTCATAATTAAGCTACGCTCCTTGATTGAAACCAATTGTCAATTGCCTTATTCATATGATAGATATATTTTTCCTTCTACTCTTTTGAAGTTATGTTTCTTTTTTTGTATTGTATTCCATGGTTCTAATAAAGATGTTAGTAGCAATGATGATAGTGTTTTAATCCCAGCTCATTCTGAGGGCTTTGAATAATTTCAAGTCCTGGGAGTGATTTACATGTCTGAGCTATGTTTCTTGATAAATGCAATCCATTGATTGCTGATTTCTTCCACTTGTAACTAACAATAATCTGTTGAAGTGCTATGCTTTTATTTGTTATTATGGCTTTAAAAATTAGGCCAGACTTGTTGATTTGATTGGTTCAACCATGAACGGATCTTTCATTTGATTTGGTCAACGAACAAAGTTGCTTTATAAAGAGAATGGACCCAAACGGGTCGGACCGTTTTAGTTTTTTTATGCTTTGGGGTTTTCTTGTATCGATCATGTTTTGACATTTTGATTTTGATTGGATTGCTAGAAATGAAATATTTATAATGCAAATAAACAAAATCATTAAAAAATGATATTCCAAAATTTTGATTTAGAATCATATTTAGAACATTGAAGGGTGAATTATCTTGAATTATAGGTGAATTATCTTGAATTATAAATATTGTATTGAATTGATGAAAATATCATTATTAAGTTATTTCGATCATATTAAAGTAATTTTAATATTTATTATGTCATATGATAAACGAAAAGTTTGGTCCTTTTTTGGTTCATAGTCAGATTTTATTTTCAAAATCTTACTTGTAATGAATTTTCACCAATCAAAGTAGAATCCTTTTTTACTATATATATATATATCAAGTGATGATGTGTTACATATTTTTACTTAATTATTGACATCATAAATGTCGGTTATTACGGTTAACAGGTTCTTTTACGGGGCCCTAAGAATGCTAGGGAAGCTGTGAAACACTTTGGGCCTGCACCTGGCGTTCCGCACAGCCACACAAAACCTTATGTTCGTTCCAAGGGAAGGAAATTTGAAAAGGCTAGGGGCAGAAGAAATAGCCGAGGTTTCAGGGTCTGAGATTGTTCAACTTTTTCCGTTGCTGATTTGAAACCAAACATTTCTGCTCTGTTAGTAAAAACACTGCCTGCGTTTTTTGTGCAGTTTTTCAGGTGTTTCTGTTTGTATTTATTGAATATTTTGATGAGTTTTTTCTTTATGAACAAACTGGTTATTTTTTCGGTTTTGGTTTGAATCTAATCATTAGGATGCTTTTTAAATGGGAAAATTTTTTTATCCGAACTCCTAACGTAGCTTTACATGCGGATTCCAATAATATGTCGCCACGTGTGCAACACCGTAGTGTTTATTTCATGATTATTGAAGTGGAACGGCGGGGTTATGTCGGGGTTATTGAAGTGGAATAGAGGAGTTTCTCTTCAATAATCCCAAAATAAACTCCACGGTGTTATTTCGGGGAGGTTATTTCAGGTTAATAAAGTTGAACCGCGGAGGTTATTTCGAAGTTATTTTGGTTATTGCGGAATTCGCGGTTCCAATTTAATATTTTTTAGGTGGCCCCTATATAGCACACATGGCGGTATATTACTGGTAGTCCACGTGTAGAGCTACACTCGGAGTCCGGACAGATGACTCCACATGGCCAAGCCTCTGTTTGTTGGTAGAAGCTAAACACAGGACTTTGCTTAGTGCAAGTTTATATTAATGTTGAGATGACCTTTATTCTAACAAGGTATTGTCTTAGCTTTTTGCTTGATAACTAGGCCGTTTCATTGAGATTATTTGCAAATAAATATATATTTTCAATAGACAATAGGTGCAGTGCAGCTGATCAAGCATAATGACAAGGGATCGAAATGAAAAGGTATGCATCCTGATATAATTTTGGAATTATTCAAATTATATATATATATATTTGTACCTTATTTACAAATTTATTTTTCAACCAAAAATATTTGCATTTGCTCTTATGCATGTTGTTGAGTTATGATTTGTTGGTAAACCACACCAAAGGAGTAAAGTGCATGTAGGGTGAGAGAGGGAGACAGAGGGAGGAGGGAATGGTTTAAATGAGTCGAGTTAAGCTTGAGCCACTCTCAGCTTGAACTTGAGCTTGATTAATTTTATCGAGTTCTAGTTCAAGCTCGAGCTTAAGACTCAGTTTGAGTCGACTCACGAGCTGATTTGTTTATTTAAAAAAAAAAGAAAACAATATTAAATAAAGGTGTTTGAACTTTATTAATGAAAGTAGTTTAAATATTGTTGTCTATTAGAAAATTTTCAGCATAAAAAAAAATCTTATGGATTTGCCAAATATAATTTTCCAGCACATAGAAAAAATTGATGATCATAATTTTATCATAGTAGTTTGGCTACAACAATCATAATTGTGGTATAAAAACTGTAATTAGTGGCTATAATAGCAGTCATAATTGGTGATTACGAGTTGCAATTTGCTACAAAAACTATAATTAGTAGCTACAAAAGCTATAATTAACGATAATAATTGCTAATGGTGGTCGGCGGAAAATGCTAATGATGGGCAAGAAGCGTTAGGACTTCAAGAGTAAAATTTTAGTAGTCAATTCACTCTTTTCTCTTCTCCTCCTCTTTCAAGTGAAGAATGGGGGTTATTTTATAGTTTTTGATAGAGACATTTTGATAAATTTAATCATGATCTCAAAACACTCTATATATGATTCACGTTAATTCTTTTAATCTCATGTACTTTTTTCAACATGTAAGTGTCTTAATTGAAGTTAAATTATTTTAGATTTGTTAGAGTCCTCTCGTCCAATCACTTGATTCGACTATAAGTAAGCAAAATTTTGAAATCGTTTGGCATTAAAATTGATACATCGAAGCCTTGGATTATTTCAAGGATTTGATCTGAGCTTATTTTGACTCAGATTAGATAACCTTTGACATCACCGAGTTTTTATTGTCAAGATATTCATCTCGACTAAACTTATTAAAATTGAGGTTCGGATGATCTCGACGTTAAATTTGAAATGTTTTAGCCTTAAGTGCATCTAGGCTCATGCATGCATGATGATAAAACTTGATTCTAACAAGATTCAAAGAAGATTTGAATACAATTTGAATAACACTTAAACATGAACTCAACATATTATCTTATTGTCAAATCAATGTAAAAATAGAGAATTTTACATACGTATCAAAATTTTGTTATGTTTTTACATATAGATAACATAAATTCAAATAATAAAAAATAATTCATAAATCTACTAACTTCCAAGTAGGGTGATCCGATTTCAAAGTCTAGTCGGGATCGGCTCAAATGGATTGAGTGCAGCTCAAAATCTGCTCGACTTGTTATAATATTTTTCAAGCCAACTCTGCTCGAAATTGACTTGAGCTCAATCTGACTCTAAATTAAAACTAGCCGACTAAAATTGAATTATTTGAATATGTTTCAGCTCGAAATTGACTCAATCCTGCTTGAAAGTGAAACTAGCCGGCTCTAGAACTATTTTAAGTCAATGTCTTCTTATAAAAAAATTGATCAAAAGCTTCTGCTAATAGCTCGATTTGTTTATTCCGATCCGATCTCAATATGAGCCAAAATTTTAATTAGTGTTAAAGCGATTAACAATCTTGAAATTTATATACACAATTATTTTTTTAAAGATGCAGCCCTCAAAAATAGAAAAATATTTCATAAAAATTATATGAAATTTAAATAAAAATCATAAGATTTTTTTTTCTACAATACAACACTCAAAAACATTGTTGTTTATAAAAGATAATACTCAAAATCATATTTTTCTAAAATAAATTTGATTGTTTTTTAATTCTTTGAAATTTTTTAAAATATATTGATTAAATACTTTACATTCTCAATATATCTTTTAAATGATTTATATGCATACCACTTAATTCCTATGCATTTATATATCTAACACCTAATTTTAATTTTTACATATATATCTCTTTATATTTGCATATGTTATATATATAGTGATATTGAAGATTTTAATTCAAAATTAATTAATTAATTAATTAATTATAAATAGGTATTCGCGGAGTCCATTTGTCCCCTTGAAACCATAAAATTCGAATGAGGAAATTCAGTATATTCGCGCTCCACTCCGGCCGGTGATGAAGACGAGAGTATAAGGCCGGCTGGCGAAGTGACAGGGGGAGAAAAGAAGCGAGGACTTATAAGAGATTCTGCCTGATTCAGTAGAAGACGAAGACGGAATCAAAAATAGTTTTTGGATTTTCGTCTGTCGAACTTCTTTTAATGGATTCTCTTCCCCTCCCGCTTATTATAAATGCATTCTCCTCCTCTTCTTCATGCCGGAAGCCACGATTCATTTATCGAATTTTTTCCTCTTCGCTCTTCCTTCCGGTAAATGCTCCTCCGTCTCTTCATTCCAAAGTAATTTTGGAATTTTTATTATTAAATTTCGAGTAAATGAGTATATTTGCGCTTTTGGATCTTAATTTTTTAGCATCTGCTTAATTTGGTAGCTTTGTGTGATTTTCCACCATCTTTTTGGAATAAATAAAGAAGTAGGATGCTTATTGTTTGCAGTAAATTAGGCATTGGCTGGACAAACTTGACATGTGGGCTTGTCATCTGCCTTAGGATTTACGATGGGGGTGTTTGGTTGGAAGTAGGATTCAAGTTAAATATGATTTAGGCGGTGTTTGGTAGCATACTATTTGTAGGATCTAAGGATAGATTTAGATTAAATCCAGCTAAACATTAAAATGCTGAACATTAAGGCAGTATTTGGCTGCAACTTAGATTTACGTTAAATATGATTTCTTCAATGAATCCAGATTTTTCATATCAACACTGTGATGGAAGAACTTGAGAACCTCAGCAGAATAAATTCGGCTTGCAATCAGATGTACTAAATCCAGATTTATATCGTAAAAGTGACGGAGCGCGGGAAGAGAATGACGGAACACGAGAAAATTGGATTTAACGGAGCATTAGATTATTCAATTTTTATTTTTTTGATGTTTGTCTGGATTTATGTTAAATCCATGGCTAAGTCCACGCAACAGTATGCTACCAAGCACCACCTAAATCCAAATTTATAGGGTTTACTATATTTTACTTGTAGCCAAAGAGCCCTAAGAGCATTTGGTCACTAATAGTAGCAAAAGATAGAATTTTTTTTAAAAAATATTTTAATTATGAGTTTTTTATTTTGGATTTGTGAAGATGAGACATGATATTTTATGAGTTTTAAAGAGTTCTTGCTCAAGCGTTATGTAGCATGGCTCCTTGGTAGAAGTTAGAGGTTCGAGTCTCTTTTTTAACTATCTTAAATTAAATATTTTTAGATCCCGGTGTAGAATTAGATCTGTGATTAACCTTAGAAGTGGCCTTATGTGATCTACTTATCTATAACAAGTCTCATGCATTATTTTTATCAAATCAATATTTCACGCATGAGGATTATATTAGGCACATCCTTATTGCTAAGATTTTTGTGTATGGAAGAATTTGATATTTGTATATATGAACAGGACCAGAAGACTTTGGCCATTATTTTCTCTAAAAGGATCCTATTGGTGATAGGTTATTATATTTATTGATCATTTAGATCTTTTAAATTTAGGAAATTTACATACCTAGCACATAATTCTTATAAACTTACATGCCTCACACCTAAACTTTCATATTTACATGTGCTTTAAATCTATGCATGAAAAGGTGGATTTCACTTTTAAAGACTAGTAATAATGCTATTTTTTATGTGATATTAAAAATTTGAGTGCTATGTGTGTAACTATCAAATTTTTAGGTGTGAGATATGTAAATACGGAAGACTTGTCTGGTATTCATGTAAACGCCAGTCTAAAATTATTTGGCTCAAGCCTTGTATGATAAATGAGTTTTTTTATTTCCTCTAAAACACTCTTTTATATTTTTTGTTAAATCTTGAAAATTCTGATTTATCAAGAAGTTACTGATGTAACATGGTTGGATATTCTTTATTTGATGATAATGAATGAGATTTTCTCCTGTATATACTGAAAAGGATGGAGTATTATTAGTATATGAATTATGAAGATTATTTTTTTAATGAAGTTTAAGGGGCTTAAATTATTCCCGAAAAATATAAATGTATTATTGAAGCTCAATATCGACCATCATCTTGTTAGATCCTGCACACATTAACTTACAAGCTTACCATTTTTTTATTTTCCTGCTAAGGTGCTTCTGCTAGTTTAGGGACTGCAGCTTCATACTCTTTAGGGACATTAACATACATTCCACCCAATTCCTATTTATTTATATACCTTGCAGATAAACTTTACTTTTTACATTTATACAGCCCAAATCTTTCATATCACATAAAAAATACCACCATTTTAACTTTTTAAAAGTGAAATACATATTTCAATCATAGGTAAGGTGGCATGTATGTAAAAATTATAGTTTAGGGGGTAGATATGTAAATACACCGTAATTGAGTGGTACGTATATAAATTTTCCTACTTTTGTTAGTGACTATTCAAAAGCTTTTGTTTGCTTCCCTTTAAATGTTCTTTTGCCTTGCTTTTACTATGTTTAAGTGGACTACCAGCCTCACAAGTATGCCTAACTATTGTTATTTATTCCTGTTATGAATTAATAAGTGCCCCACTATTCTTTCAGTGGACCTTGCATCCCTTTTGATCATCATATTCATGCCATTCCAAATTTATGCTGATTTATTTTTCCATTCCTTTACAGGTCCTCATCTGTACTGAGGAATATTGCTGGGATTTGGCGATAGAAACCATTGGTAAGCTTGAAAATTTATGAATAGATGTTTGCTCTTCAATTAAATATTTCTTACCTGCAATGTGTTTGAGTGCTTCATAGGCCAAGATGAATGCATTAACTGCAACCAGCAGAAACTTTAAGAAGGCTGCTAAGCTGTTGGGTTTGGACTCAAAGTTAGAACGGTGCTTGCTAATTCCTTTCAGGGAGATTAAGGTAAATGAGATATATGCGCTAAGATCCTTCATGTTGTTCTAATACTCACCCTCCTTCTGTTGGGTTTCATAAATTTGCATATGGATTTTTTTTGTACCTAGCCATCCCAATGTCTTGAAATGCTCTCACATAAGAATTTGGAGGATTTTCTTCTTTGTATTTCTATTTCATAAATGAGCATGAGTTATGTGTGGGGGAAATTTGATTCTTTTGTTTCTTCACTTGAGCCTTTAGTGATATTGCATGTATTCGAATAGTTTTAAGAAAGATTTACAAAAATACCACTCCTTATGTATTTATCGTCTTACTTATGCTTGAAAAGGTGCATTTCACTTTTTAAAAGTTAAAATGGTGGTATTATTTATGTGATATGAAAGATTTGGGTGGTATAAGTTTAAAAGCTTAGTTTAGGATTTAAATATGTAAATACATAGGAATTGGGTGATATGTATGTAAATGCCACTAATTTTAATAAAAGTTTACAATATCCGACATTTTTTCACCATTTTGTTTTTCTTTTTTGTGCATTTCCCTTGATTTTTTAGATGTTTTAGATGTAACATGTCGATTACTTTATGTAGACAATTCCATCATTTAGTTTTTAAGATGCCAGGATTGTTAGACATCCGCTTGTCTAATTCATCTCTTGAGTATGAGATCGTTTATATTGTTGGTTTTCATTTTTTATGTTGCTTTGTAGAATCACCTTAAAACTTGTTTTTGATCTCTGATGCATTGCATGAACGTGCTCAAATTTTTAATGCATCTTATAAAGCATCATTTATTCTTATTTATGTGTTCTTGAACGGTACTTGGACTCTAAAATGCAGGTTGAGTGCACAATCCCTAAAGATGATGGTTCTTTGGCATCTTTTGTCGGATTTAGGGTGCAACATGACAATGCTAGAGGCCCCATGAAGGGAGGAATTAGATATCACCCTGAGGTGAGCTCAAAATTAATTTTTTTCTCACCCTACACACTTTCACTCAGTACCGCACCTTTTTTTTCTCTTTTTCTCTATATGAAATTGAGACGAACACAAATTGTTAGAATGAGGGTATTCGTAATAATTGCCTTGCTTATTAAATTTCATATGAGTTTCATCCCCCATTAAAAAAAAGAGTAATCATATTGGTATTATTTTGATAATGTCCCCAAAATTTTAATATTTCACTATCGTTTCCTAGAAACTTCTAGATTTATATTATTACACTTCTTATGATAATTTTGTGATATATATTCTATAAAGATACAAAATATTTCAGGGAATATTTTTGCAAGCTTTAAATATTTCTCCCTTAAATTGTTTTACCTTTGTCAAACTTTTGTTTCGCTCCAATAAAATATTAAAATTTTGGGTAAGAAGTGATGTTTTCACGTATGTTTTTATTTTTTTCTAAAAGGATAAATTATGTATAATTACTCTTCAAATATTGTTTTAAGAGCCACTTCTATCATGGGACATGCTAGATTTTAATAATTAGGTTAGAATAATTTATTACTTTGAAGGTTCAAACCTTAAATTTTATTATTTCTATTTTAGATTTAGTTCTTTGCATGTTCTAATTGTTTTACATGTGTTGTGTTGCACATATTTTAAATTACTAATTTACTAAATGAGCTCATTAAATTTTATAACATTTTTTTTAAAAAAATCATTTATTTACAAATAAAAAAATTTCATTGAATCATGATTTTGTTCACCTTTTTTTTCATCTCCCAGAGGTGGTTCGATCTAAATCCTTTATGTAACCACCCTACTCTTGGAGTTTTCTCCTTAAGCAAAATCTTGAACCTTTAGGATTATAGTCTTTTTTAGATTCTATTGCATTAGTAGCTTTCTCTTCTCAAGACTTCCCAAGAACTTGATCTTCAAGGTGAGTGGCTCTAGTTAGCTTTGACTTTCACCCTTTTCCTCTCAAGAAGCCTCATGAATTCACCCTTACTAGTGAGTTGTTTCAATCATCTTTGAGCGGCATCTTTTTCTTTTGGACTTTCTTGAGAACTTATCTTGAGCGACGAGTAGTTTTGAATAGCATTGGCCAATTCTCTTTTTCTCTCAAGATCCATTTGGTCATAGCAAGCCTTTTTCTCTTGAAAGTCTTTTTAAGAAGTATCCCTTGGCAGTGAGTGATTCAATTCAACCTTAGGGCTTACAACTTGGCTTTATAGAAATTGCCTCTATTAGTTCATCTCAAGAATTTGCTCTCAATGAGTTCATTTGGTTAGTGTTAGGGACAATGTTGTATTCTCTTGTAACTCGAATCATTAAGTTCATCTCGGTGATTTTTCTCTCTTAGTAACTTCATCCATGCCTCCCTTATGGATTACATATTCTCCCCATGGGAACTTGTCTTAGTGTTTCATTCTTAGGACTCATACTTTTTGTTGAGTTCTTCTAGTCATCTTTGATTGATAACACTTCTTCTTGGGTATTTGTTCTTTTTATCAACCCACTCTTCGGCATAGGCCAACCTCCAGCTTTTCCAAAATGTTAGCTCAAGTGGAGATTTGGTCTGATCAACCATCTATCCTTTGTGGTTCCTTGAGGTGAAGCTTACCTTATATTTGCAAAAGATGTTCAACACTCAATGGATTCTATACATGCTATGTGATGGTTTGATACTAACAAGCCAGGCATTGGCATTTCAACACGTTAGGTGACTTGGAAGGATTTGCTAATTACTTAACTATCTTGAACTCTTTAAGATTTGCATTGGCTATGATATTTGTGCTTCTAGTGTAATAAATGATAGCATGTATAATAATAAATCATATGTGTGGCATTTTGTACATTTGTCTTATCTTTTTATTGGAAAAATTCTCTTGACATGCCTTATAATATAAAAAGTTGGAAAAATATGCTTGATATTTATTTTCTTGTGAAAGTATGTCTTAATTTTTATTTTGGACTACAGTACCTCATCTCGTTGCATTTAGAAGTAATCACTGCATACTATGTGATCTTTGATCAAATGATTTCTTTGTTTCTTCATCTTCGCAGCACCTTCTTGATAGTGACTGTTGTGAAGACGAAAAGGAAATCCTATCCAAAGGACATAAGGCCTGTTGTCAGGCCACTCTACCCTTATGATTAGTTTATGAGTCTTTCATAGCATCTCCCAACAATTAGAAAATGGTCTCACCTATCTCCTTCTTTATGTTAGACTTAGAAGGATACACATTGTGCACTCCGCTGATCGCGCTTTCTTATCTATGTGAATGTATTTACCCTCATGGGGTATTATAAGTCAAGTTTAGGTATTTTTCAATCAGTTCTTAAGGATTTGCAAGCCCAATTTTCTTGGGTCAATTTCTTAAGCCTTCTTTCTATAATTGATGTCATTTTTTTCCATCACATTTGGGATTGGTCCATCTCTTCGTGGCTACAGCATTTTTGGCCTCATCTTTCAATAAGTTGTATGCCCCTTTTTTCATTTCTCTGTATAGCAAGGCCTTGGTGTGGAATTTATGAGGAACTTTCTTAGAGGAAAAATTCTCTAATTTTTTCATTAAACTAATACAAGCAAAATAACAAATATATACTAAAATTGGAAGGAAATTAAACCACCATGATAAGAACAAAAGAAATGAAAATGCAATAATGGATAATTAAGGGATAATAATTTCTCCCCCTCAAATTTAGCAGCGGACGCATGGTTTCCTAAACCACGGGTGGGCCCGTGTGATCCATGATTATATACATATCAACATTCCCCCTCAAGTTGGGTTGTATGTGTCATACATCCCAAACTTGTTGTTGAGATCACTAAAGAAGCAAGAAAGAGGAATCTTGGTAAGAATGTCAGCAATATGATACTGAGTTTAGATATAGCTTTGTCGAACAATCCCTTCACTGACCTTCTCAGAGAAGAAGTGTCTGCAATTTCTATATATTTGGTTTGATCCTGGTGTACCTAATTGTTTGAAATACTAAAGGTTGATTCACTATCACTGAACATTATAATAGTGCTTTTGTTCTCTATGTGTAGTTCCACCAATAATTTTTTTAGCCACATCCCTTCACAATTTTTTAGGTTCAGGGCACTATACTCGGATTCCACACTACTTGCCACCACAACTCGTTTTTTACTTCTCCAAGTAATCAAGTTACCCCAAGAGTACCCCGTGGTGGATCATGTGCCAGTCAGTTCTCCTACCAAGCTCGCACCCATGTAGATCTCAATGTTATGATTTTCTGTTTTCTTGGATACCAATTCACATACTGGATTCATCTTTAGCTACCTCAGGATTAGAAAGACCGCTTCTAAATGACCTTCATTTGGATCATTCTTCTGTTAGCTTACTACACCCACCGAAAAAATTATGTCAGGTCTTGTATGTGGCAGATAAATAAGTTTTTCCACAAATCTTTGATACCTATCTTTTTCAATTGGGGTGTTGCCCTCTCCTTTTGATGCCCGTCCATTGGGATCCATAGGAGTTTATTTTGGTTTGCATCCCAACATTTCTGTCTCATTTGATAAGTTAAGGATATATTTTCTTTGGGATATGACAATACCTTATTTGGATCTAGCTACTTACATTCCCATGAAATATCTTAAAGTTTCAAGATTTTCCCTTATGTCATTTTTTGTAAAAATAATGTCGTCTACATATACTATAAGGATAGCTATAATAACTTCTTGATTTGATTTCATAAACAAAGTGTGATCAGTGATCAGTCTGACATTGATAATGCTCATTGACAAAAATTGTCTTAGTGAACCTTTTGAACCATGCTCTGAAGATTTTTTCAACCCATATAATGATTTATTTAGTTTGCACTAGCTAATTATTTGTGTTGTTCTTTAATCTTGTATGTTTCTCGGTATAGACTTCTTCCTCAAGATTCCCATAATAAATTTGAACATATAAATGGTACCTATAGAATATTTGATTATAATAAAATATTAAGATCATGCCAAAGAAATCCAAACGGCGTTTAGGTATTTCCATCTTTCATAGATAGCAATATGAATTAAAACATTTGTCAAATTGTTTCTACTGGTATAACTTAAGTCTTGTTTGAGAAAACTTCCCGCTGCTTTCCGTTTCAGAAAAAATCCTTTCTTCATTTGACGAGTTATTTGCTTATTATGCTTTTTCAGAAACGCTGCTTTTTCAGAAACACTTTTAAAAAGCTCCATTTTTTGTAAATTCTTCTATTGAACTTTAAAAAGAGACTTGTAAAAACATGCTTTTTTAACAGGAGAAGCCTGACCAAACAAAGCCTAAGTGCATTAAAACTTTACTTGTTATTCTACATTTTCGACCTATTTTTATTAGAAGGATTCTTACTTTATTTCTACGCCAAAATAATTGAGGTTTCTAGTGTTAAGCATCTAACTTTATGGAAATGTAGGTTGATCCGGATGAGGTGAATGCCTTGGCACAATTGATGACCTGGAAGACTGCCGTAGCAAACATCCCATATGGAGGAGCCAAAGGTGGAATAGGATGTGCTCCGGGAGAGTTGAGTCTATCGGAGCTTGAGCGACTTACTCGAGTTTTCACACAAAAGATACATGATTTAATTGGTATTCATACTGATGTTCCAGCGCCAGATATGGGAACAAACCCACAGGTCCACAAAAAATTATATTTATACTGAAAACCAAGATTTTTCTTCTTATTCTCTTGTTTGAAAATTTCTAACTTTTACTCTGGAAATAGACAATGGCTTGGATACTGGATGAATACTCCAAATTTCATGGCTACTCACCAGCAGTTGTTACCGGGAAACCTGTTGTAAGTAACAACACAATTTGGTTTAAATTCAGTCAAAATTATTATTTTAATGCTTGTAAGCTGCACCTGTTCCATGACAATTACTTTGAACTTATTTGTCATCCCTTTCAGTAGTACATGTTTTCCATTGTTTACTTGAGTATTGGTTTATGATAATTTTCATGCTTTCTTCTGGAGAAATTTATACACGTAGCGCAACAATTCTTATGTATTTACATATCTCATATCCAAACTTTCATATTTTACATGTAGAGCGTTTTGATGTTTTAAATCTATACATGAAATGATATAATTCACTGTTAAAAAGTGGTAATAGTACTATTCTTTATGTGATATTAAAGATTTTAGTGCATGTTAGTAGATATGAAAGTTTAAGTGTGAGATATGTAAGTAAGAGTTGTGTGCTACGTATGTAAATGCATTTTTTTTTGTGAGACATGCTAGTGATTTAATGTGCCCAATCTGAATAGATCTTCCGCTGGTTTCACATTGGGAAATAAACACACAATCATATACTGTATTAACACAAATCAATGATATATCTCAGTACTTTTTGAATGGGAAACAATTAATAAATCATCATTTTTATGAACTTCTCAATCTTGAAGGGTGGGTGAACTTAAATCAGAAGGCCGTAACCATATGGAAGATTTACAAATAGTAGCTGATAAATAAATGATATTGTAATCTTTATTGGTGGAAGAATGGGATTAAGAAATTTGTAGACGTTTCCCTGTTAATTTTACCTTCTCAATTATGTCATTGTTTCATACGATCTATGATCTCTTTTCAAGCTTTTTGTGAGGGATGATTTTGCTTATGTAAATTAGTTTTTAATGACATTATACATAACTTTATTTATGAGATCTCTCTTAAATCAGATAATCATTGATATACAGAACTTGAAACATCATATGAATTCCTTGAACGGAGTGTGCAATTGTTATCTCATATCAGCTTTACATTTCTTATTTTTTCCTCGTTATGAAAATTTCTATCATTGGGAGCTGAGGTTGAAACTCTGCTGAGTTATTTATTATCTTTTCTTTCCCCATGACATACTCTATATTTTCTTCGACCAAAATTTCCTTAAACTATTTTTCTTTTGGAAAATTTACATAAATACCTCTTAGTTCTTATGTGTTTCCTTATCTAACACCTCAACTTCAATTTTTATATATATGCCACCTTACCTATGTATGAAATGGTATATTTAACTTTTTAAAAGTTTAAATAGTGCTATTTTTATGTTATATGGAAGATTTGGTTGTTATAAATGTAAAAAGCAAATTTTAGGAGTTAGCTATGTAAATACGTCCGAATTAGGTGGTACGTATGTAAATGACCCTTTTCTTTTTCCACCCTCCTGTTCATGAGGGTTTTCATTATCCTCTTCTTTTTTTTTCCTGGAAGGATCTTGGTGGATCTTTGGGCAGAGATGCTGCTACTGGAAGGGGAGTCCTATTTGCCACACAAGCTCTGCTTGCGGAGTATGGGAAGAGCATCTCAGATCAGCGTTTTGTCATACAGGTCTGTCATCTGGATCTTAAGTGGCAGTGCCTATTTTACAGATTTCTATCTGTGTTTGATTGAAAAATCCTAATAAATTTTTAAAATTGCTGTGGCAAAAAGTAATTATATTTCTGTTTAGAGAATGATGTTGAATTTAATTCATGAAATAGCATGCGATCTTCATAAACCTGGGATAAAGAATATTGCTTAATGGAAACCACTTAAGGCTCATGAAACTATGGTTGATATGGATCGAAAGCGCAATAGAAATTAATCTCAAGTAGTTCTCTAGTCAAAACAGAGATGAAAACCAAGAAGTTTTTCGTTAATGGTTCAGTACAAATGCAAGTTTAGCAAAGACCTTCGCTGCTTGTCTGTTGAGATATTGATTGGGAAATACCATCAGCCTGCTGTTGCTTATTTTAATATGCATTTTTAGAGACACTGGTGTGATCTTTTTTAGAAAACTTACAACTACATGTTTATTTAATTGATAATAATGCTTGTATAAACATGTCTGTATATCAGCAATAGAAGAAAACAATAAAGAAAATGAGAATATCTTCAATAACGAGCATATATTATAATAATAATGTTATAAATTTTAATAACAAATATTTAATAGATATGATTATATTAATGTGACAACATCTTTAAGTGTAATAAGCCTAACAGTTATGATTTTAAATCAAGCTTTTGTTGTGGACTACCTCAAATTGAGGAAAGAAACAACCAAACATTGCAGGGAATACTAATATGTCAATAAAATTGGGCGTTAATTTTTTTTATCATTTTGAATTGTTTTTTATACATTTATCATTGACCTTTTATTTTGTAATTCAGGGGTTTGGAAATGTGGGTTCATGGGCTGCTAGTCTTATCAGTGAAGCCGGTGGGAAAATTGTAGCAATTAGTGATGCTAGCGGAGCAGTTAAAAATAGCAATGGCCTGGATATTGCGAAATTACATAAACACTCCGCCGAGAATCATGGTGTTAAAGGTTTCAGTGGTGGAGATATAGCTGATCCAAACTCAGTATTGACTGAAGACTGTGATGTTCTTATTCCAGCTGCACTTGGTGGCGTCATTAACAGGTTCTTCATTTTGCATTTCCTCTTTAATTTAGTTATGCAATGCGCAAATTGTAGGTTGCCCGTATTTTGATTATTCTTATTAGAACTTTACAAACAATTGGGTTTTACACGGAAAAACTATCTACATTGCATTTTTCTCCTACTGTTTGTTAGCTTTTTACATCAAAAATGTGCTGATAGAATGATCTTTGGAAATTTCTGTAATCTTCTTAAGGGAAAATGCAAATGACATAAGAGCTAAATTTATTATCGAAGCGGCCAATCATCCGACGGACCCAGAGGCTGATGAGGTGAATCTTCAAGTTTCTAAATGCCATCAATTCATGAGCAAAATAGAAAATTTTGATGTCATTCTTTTGTTTACAGATTCTGTCAAAGAAAGGAGTGATTATACTTCCAGATATCTTTGCAAATTCTGGTGGCGTTACTGTGAGTTATTTTGAGTGGGTTCAGGTGAGTCGTGTTCCCCCAACCTTATACCCTTCACAATCTATCAAAATGAAACAAATATCTAATAATAATAAAGTTTTTTAGGTCTCACGCAAAAAATTTCTCATATATTGGCTGTGTAGCTTTACTATCTTAATTATATGGTATATATTTAGAGCTAGAAGCAACATTGAGCACTCACTATATAGATAATTACCATGATGTTTCATGATATTCCGTTCTAATCTTGCACTGGGCTCAATCCACTACTGCTTAAAAATTTATCTTAGCAGATTGAAACTCGCAAAAACTTCTATTTATTCTATGGTATTGCAGTGGGATGGATAAATTTAACTACGAATAAACTTGAAACCTATATGAAGTTTGTGTTTTGGATCTTATTTAGCAAATGTGCGAGGTCTTTAACCATTTGACATGGCATTAAAATGTTAATAGTTCAACACCCTGCAAATTGAGCAAGCATGAAATATAAAGTGGCTTTTGTCAGTTTTGGTTATTAGTGAGCAGATATGCAAAGCCTTTAATTTTTACCACATCCATTTTATATTACGTTGTGAAGCCTTATTTTTCCATAGAAGCAAAATGCAGGCATAGGGTCTGTTTGGGATAGTTTTCTGCCTGCTTCGTTTTTCAAATCATCACCACAATTCTATTTGGGGAACTGTTTTCTTGCTGTTTTTTAGAAATTCAGATGGTAGAAAGCTATTTTTTCAGACTGAGCTATTAAAGTGTGGTGACTGCCAGAAAACTGTGGTCTGAATTTTTAAATATAAAATAAATTTATATTAGGCGTAGCTTTTTGAAAAGCGGTTCCTTCTGCAGCAGCTTCAAAACTACTTCTTTAAATAGTTGCAGCTACTCCAAACAGACCCTTAGTTGAAGGTCGACCTTAGTGTTGGAGAGGCCTGAGGAGCCCCTGAAAGATGCGCAATATTTGTTGGTTGAAAGTCTTCGGAAGATTTAGATCCAAACCACTCACTTCCTATGTATTTACGTATCTAACGCGTAGACTTTAGTTTTTACACACATACCACCTTACCCATGCATGAAATGCAGGTGTATTTCACTTTTTTAAAAGTTAAAATGGTGATATTTTTAATGTGATGTGAAGGATTTGGGTAATATAAATGTAAAAATCAAAGTTTAAATGTTAGATATGTAAATACATAAGAATAGGTGGTATGTCTGTTAATGCCCCAAAAGTTTATTATTTGTTTAAGCTGTTTCTGGTTTTCTTTATAAAGAGGGGTCCACCAGCTTATGTTTTTATTAAAGAATTTAATGTTGCAATTCCCCACAATCAACCGAAAGTGAAATCTACAATAGTGGCAACGACACTGCTATTAGTTGAGGGAAACTATATAGAACTTTTTTGTTTTTGCACATTAATCTTCTTCTCTATATTCTATTATTTCTTTCACTTGATGTTTTAATAATTGGAAAATTTACATGCATACCACTTAATTCTAATGTATTTACATATCTAACACTTAAAATTAAATTTTTACATATATGCTAACTTATGCATGAAAAGCAGTATTTTACTTTCGAAAAGTTAAAAAAGTGGTATTTTTTTTGTGTGTAAAAACTGTAAAATGTAAACTATAGGTGTTAGATATGTAAATACATACGAATTGAGTTGTATGTATGTAAATGCCCCAAAATTTTATTATACCTCTCCGCTGTTTTAGGTTTTCTTTATAAAGTTGGGGTCGCCATCTCATGTTTTTATTAAAAAATTGAAAGTTGTAATTCTCCAAAATCTACAATAGTGGCAACAGAACATTGCTATCAGTTGAGAGAACCTGTATAATACTTTGAACAATTTTCAAAGTTTTATGTAGTTTCTAGCATTGCTTTGACATCATAGACTGTATAATACTTTGAACAATTTTCAAAGTTTTATATAGTTTATAGCATTGCTTTGACATCATAGACAATTCTTTGAACAAATGCAGTAAACTACACAATCCACTACCCAGAGTTGCTCATGATTTTTAGGAAATAATGATTTGTCACCTAAATCATTCTTGCATTCTTTAAATATAAGTTATGATGGAATAACAAAACCGAGGGAAATTTATACTCATAGCACACAATTCTTATGTATTTACATGTCTCACACCAAAACTTTCATATTTACATACATGGCACTTTGGTATTTTAAACCTTTACATGAATATGTGTATTTTACTTCTAAAAGATGATAATAGTACTATTTTTTATGCGATCTTAAAGATTTGCGTGTTGTGTGTGTGAATATGAAAGTTTAGGTGTGAGATATATAAATTCATAAGAATTGTGTGCTGTGTATGTGAATGCCCAAAAACAAAACAAAATATATGATAATGATTATTATGATCATTGCTGGGTATTAACTGCTGATTATTCATTACCTACAGAACATTCAAGGATTTATGTGGGATGAAGAGAAGGTGAACTCTGAACTGAGGACTTACATTCTCAAAGGCTTCAAGGATGTTAAGGAGATGTGCAAAAGCCATGACTGCAATCTAAGGATGGGAGCCTTCACCTTAGGGGTTAACCGAGTCGCTCGAGCGACGGTATTAAGAGGTTGGGAGGCCTAATTTTAAGTTTTCTGGTTACCATTCAACAGAGTTCAATAAGTTTTAATGGATTGAAAAATTCCTGTGTTTTTATCCCTTAAATTTTGCAGGCAAATTTATTTAATGTGTTGCATTGTGTCTTATTTGCTTCCAAGATTTTTTTTTTTTGGATTGTTATGGATTTGATTTTGTTATGAAATAAAGTATTTAACGATTGATGCCATGTTCTTAAAGTTCACATGATTATTGAGAACATTGTTAAAATGTTCTTCGGTCTCTTTGTAGGTGGTCATTTTAGTGTCAATCTAGTATACATAAACTTTTAATGGGGGCTAAAATAGTCCTCTTCGAGGACTATTTTAGCTTATATTAAAAGAATCTATGGACTAATTTGATATTTTTATAGACATCGAGACTAAAATGACTCTATGTAAGTATGTAGGGGATTATTTTGGCAAATTGTCGTGATTATTTGAAGGTTCATATTTAATGATATCAAGGAAACTAAGGGTTTGTTTGGAGTAGTTGTAGCTATTTGAAGAAGCTACTGTTGGTGAAGTTGTGCCAATTCGGTTTTTCAGTTGTGATGCAGCTATTTATGAAAAAATGACTATTGCTCTAGTATATTTGTATTGTTTGTAAGATAATCATTTCATGATTAATAACGCATATATGAAAATAGAAAATAAATTAATGAATTCCAAAAATTCACAATCTCAAATATTACATCTAGAAGTTATAGAATAATGAAAACCAAAAATAAAAATATAAGAGCTATAATTATTATTATAATAATATAAATTTTAAATCCAAATGATCAGTCTTATGGGAAAACTATTTCTCCAAAGACTCCTTATGTATGGTCACCATTTAAAGCAGACTTCTCAAACATATCGGCTCATTTAAAGAATTCGGAGTCCTCTCATGTTCTATTTGTTGGACACCTATAAAATTTTGTTCCATAGCTACCTTCTCTTCACAATGTAAATAGAGAGCATTGCAATTCATAGGTGCAATAAAAGAATGTAGAAGAAGCAGAAGTTCTTGACTCATATTTTCTAAAATGTGAAAATACCAAACATAAAATTAGTATTTTATTAATAGTACAATGACAAACTTATAAGATAAATTAATTAATAAGAATAATAAAATTATAATTATAAATATTTATAAAAAAATTCAGATCTTAAAGCAAATATAAATTAAGGATAATCTGTCATTACAAGAAGACAAAAAATCTCAGGCCTTTAGTCATTTAATACCAAACTTGTATATCTCACATAAGCATATCGACATAAAGGCCCTCCAGAAGAACACCTACAATCATATATGAATAAAAAGAATGAATTCTTGGTTGTCATATGTCAAAGATCATAGTAACATAAAGGTCATCCAGAAGAATCTCTAAGGTCATATATCTCGTCATAGACTTCCAAACCAAAACATTTGAAAAAAAAAAAAAACTTATATCACACTTATAAGTATGAGACCATTTAAGTGGGATAAAATACAATATGCTAATAGATAAGAAAAAATAAACACAATAAATTATGAAGTACTCCACATAAATATTATTGAAAGAAGAGTCAACATAATGAGAGATTAAACATATGCCCTTATATAATAACATATTATTATCACTCATTAACTAATGCATTTGTAATCTGCTCTCGCATTTGAATCATATCTCCAGCACCTCTCCATCCTACGTCAAGAGTTGCTTATATATGAATCATTTGGTAATATTAAAATCAATGTCAGATATTGTAGAATGTCGATGAATATAATTATGTAGAGACATTATTGCAGTCACAATCTTCACCTTTTTTTGTGAATGAATATGCAAATATGTCTCGAAGAATCACCTATTTTCTTCCAAACAACAAATGTTCTTTTCAATAACACCCCGTTGGAAAAGATTGTCGCTTATCAAACATTTTTTTCCTCCCCGAACTACATGGCTAGCATGTTCAAAATCTTGGGGTTGATATCTCTTCTCAAAATATGGCTTAAGAAACGCACGTTGTAAGTTACAACTGGCATCAATTATATCATATTTTCCACGCAGAAAAAAATTGATACACAAGCAAATAAGCTATATATATATATATATATATATATATATATATATTGTTTAGGGTTTCTAACCTTGAGGCTACATATGAAAAATTATAATGGTTATTTCATACAACAAAATTGAATATTCGACTATCATGTGCACTTTTTCCTCATCCAATCATTATAATTTTGAAACATACATTAAAAGCACATGCAGCCATAACGTTCTGTGTTGATGAGCTACGTCGCTTTTTCAATTCAAGGTACAAGTGCATCAATTTGTGTTTTGTTAATAACATAAATGCAATCCTATATGATGTTTACATTGAGTGAGTATATTTAAAATATATCATAAAATACAAAAAAAAAAAAATCTACCTTAAAATATGAGATGTTTTTGGGTTCATTTAAAATTTCTTTGGGTGTGCTCTTGAAGGTGGAGTCTTCAGGTGTAATAATTTTGGAAGAGAAACTAATCAAAATATATAATCCAATTAAGAAATATCTACTAATTGTTTCCAATAAGCGTTGTAATCGCTTTATGACAGATCTAATTGACCAACTCTGTGATAAAGTGTAGAGAGTTATATTTAACAACTCTCACGACGTCATTTTGTAGGTTCCATTAAAGGCCATGATTTTGATGTATTTCCTCCAGTAGACCTAGAAAAACTTATTTTCGCATATCAAACATATTATGAAATATAAGTGTGTGACCAAAAAGTAATCCTCTAATCCATTTGTTTCCTATATACGATAATATCATACAAAATGTATGCACAATATATGAGTTATATTACTCATATATCAAGCATACAGCTACTGCGATAATTCTTATCTAACGTTATCTTCTATTGTTATTCATCATTTATTGAAAAAAAAAATGAAGCATCAATAGAATGATGAAATCACATCAAACATAATTATGTCTCACAATATAATAATGACAATGAGTATGTTTAGAAGACACATCAAAGAATTTCGATGAACCAACAACAACAAAAAGCCTTTATCCCATTTAGTGGAGTCATCTACATGAATCCTTTTTCTCCATTGTGACCTATCGAGAATCATAATTTTATTTAATTATAATAAATGAAGTTCTTTTTTTATATAATATGCCAAAGCCTTTTTAGGTCTGCCTCTACTTTTCTTAATAAAAGTTAAATCTAAAACATTAACTTTCAAGGAATGAGCTAGACACTAAGTTCAGTACTTAGAGAGGTCTAGCATGTTATCACTTTAGATAGAGATGAGAAGTTCTTAAGTTGTTTTTAATATACTTTATGGAATGAGTTGAACATAAGTGTGAATTCAGTTTAACAGCGCACCCTAGGATAGACGGTTAGACAGGAGCAGTGAACCTGTAACTTTGGAAATCTCCTTAGGTGTTTTGTGGAAAAGAACATTTGACACTACGATCCAGGTCCTTCCAAGGAAGAAAAAAATGTCTCTCCTAGCCCAGCATAATGATAATGAAATGACAGGCTGTCTCACGGTTCCTGCAATCCCAATCGCAGAATTTTCATGATACCACAAAAAGATGAATTCTCGCGATCACTGGGCGACTGAACCAATAGTTTCAACTCATTTAATTGTTTCTACAGTGATACTTGTCATTTTGATACCTCCATGTGAAATCTACTTCTCAAATAACTTTCAGGTCTACAAAAAAAAAAAAAAACTATTTTGATATACCTTTTTTTCTTTTTTTAGTTATAAAATAAAGGAAATTCAACCATCTAATGAAACATACACGCATTTTCTAATCGAACGAAGAATAGTACTTCCTTTACATATTTTCATTTAATTTAAATTTTATTAATCATTTCGATCTTAATATATCAACATACACTTCCTTTTTTTTTTATTTTTTCCTTTATGATTTAATAAAATGTTATTTTATCTGATTTTTAGGATAATGATTAAAGATTCTATTAACCTAAATCACTTCATCTTTTTTTTTTTTTAAATTGAATTGTTGTCTTTTTTTATATGTAATTGATCTTATTTCAATAAATTATATATTAGAAAAAACTAATAATTTAAGTTAGATATGTAAATACATAAGAATTGAGTGGTATGTACGTAAATCTTCTTAAAAGTTTGTAGAGCCAAAGAAAATAGATTAACCAAAGACCACATACAAATAAAATACGGATTATATAGTTTTTTTCTAGTAGTTTAGCACGGCCAATGCTTTCTGAAAATATTTCTTTCTTAAGAAGAAATAGTGGGATTTACATGCAAATCACATTATTCTTATATATTTATATATCTAACATGTAAATTTTGAAAATTTCTCATCAAACTAATATCTTGTCGAAAATATTGCTAATATTAGCTTTTTTTTTTAAAATCAAATATATATTTAGATGCGTATGTTTTGATGTCATTGTGACACTAGACTATTATATAAATAAACATCAAAGTTTACTTATTAGATATGTGCATCAAATAGGTCTCAGTGATGATCCGAAGGATATTTGACTGTCCAAAAGTAAAGAGTACGACAAGGAATAGCCCACCGTTAGAATACCATGAGGCTTACTTGTCTGGTTGAATGAAATTGTTAAAGCCAAAGTCAATGAAGTCAAAACCGATCGAGCCACTTAATCAAAAACAAGGCAAAGAGGCATCTGAGTCAACCACTGTGAAAAAATCGATTCCATAGAAGATCCAGTCGCTTAGTATTCCCAAGCATTTCGGGGACATCCATAGGTTCCTCGCCAATTATCAAGGATCAACAACAAGATCATATCAATCGGTCGGCCCATATCAACCAAGCTCAGTTGACCGAGTCGATCTCATCCAGTCAAGTGGATACTGGCCAACTGAGCTGATCCTATCAATCCGAAGCCAATTAAGTATGATCAGCCAATACAAAAAAATAGTCGAGCAATAGACTCACTTATGTAAAATAGCAGCAGTCTTGAAGCAAAGACAAAAATATAACATCATCACATCGTGCTCTCTTCCTTATAAATAGTGAGATTATTTTATGAATAAATACTAGAATTATTGTTCATTACTATTCGCTATTATTCACTCATCTCTCTCTCTCTCATTGTACTCTATTCATTGGATGTGATTCACTAAAAAATCATGATTAAACAATTTACAAATAGTCAGAATTATTTGGCGTGTAAGTAAATCTTCCGAGAAACATTTATGATTTTCATGACTTTATAGTCAAATTCTTAAGTGATGCGTAAACATGCACTATTATTAAGCTCTCATGTATTCAATAAAAAGTATACTATAACTCAATAAATGTTATATGATTGAACAATGGAGATAAATAATTTTGTCCACTCTCATTTAAAATTATTATTCCACCACTATAAATGAACATCACAAGTCATAAAAATTAGTATGAAGCTCCAAGGCCATATAAAACTATCATACAAATTGTATATAAAAGAATGCATCATATAAAGCCAGCCCTACTTACAATACAAAGGAAAATAATTTCAATATGATTATTATAAAAAAAAATTATTTACATGCTTAAACTCTCTTCAAATCAAGTTAAATAATGTTTTTCAAAAGAAAAAATCATAAACTGATGATAAATACCACGTTTAGTGAGAATTAGATAACTTAAAAAGAATATAGTGTCAAAATAATCCCAGACTACTTACATGAAGCCATTTTAATCCCAGAGTTTATAGAAACTTCAAAGTAGTCCCAAACTAGTCCCAGACTTTTAATTAAAGCTGAACTAATCCTCAAAAAGAACTTAAATGGCTTGAAAAATGATGAAAGAGATGGCCTAAATATATCTTATTATTATAATTCTCTTCCATGATTTTGCTTTTAAGCAGTATTAAAGGACAAAAAACACTATGCATTCAATCACTTTCATCTAACATTTTCTTCATATTTTCATTTTTGACCAATTTAGTTTTTCTCTAAACTTATTCTAAGTGAGGGCATAAAATATTTCCTCAATTGTTAGACTGAGCTAAAGGGACACTATAACTACATACAATTAAGAAAATAGAATTAAAAGAAGAGTGACATAATCATGATAAAATGGGGGTATTTACATTCATGCAACAAATTTTTTATGTATTTACATATCTTTACATATCTAACAGAACTTTCATATTTACACACATAATACTCAAATATTTCATGCCCCGTAATTTATAGACCTAAATTATTTCATGTATGCAATTTGACATACATGAACAAATTAAATGTTAGGGGTAAGATATGTAAACACATAGGAATTAAGTGATATGTATGCATAATTTCCAAAAATCAAATAAAAGGTAAATCATGCCATGCTTTTGAGTTCAATACCTAACACATTCTAAGCTTTTTAAGACCACTAAATCACCAGTGATTTCCTTATACTTGAGGCCAAGAAATATTTGATGAATATAAACTAATCAACAAGTGTGAAACATTATATATATGACTTTATTTACCATTCTAAGAGCCAAAGAGTTGCAGATTTTATTCTCAATCTAATTAAAACTTTTTTTTTTTGCAATAAGCCTTAAATAGGCTTTGAATTGCCAAAAAAGAGTAAAATAGTACATGTATGTGATCAGAGAATCAATAATCTGGGCAAACTTAGAATAGGTTCAGACGACATTTTTACAGTGATCGAAAAGAACCTCTCTCTCTCTCTCTTTTTCCCTCTCTCTTTCTCTCTCTCTTTGGGTTTCTCCCCCCCCTCATTTGGAGATTATGAGAGAATAATGAAGTTTTAAACCGTAGCTGGACATCAAAAGAGCCTGAGATTCTTCAAAATTGAATTTTTTTTTCAGTAAGTTTCCACCTAACCTTTAGAAATAAAGAAGAAGAAGAATCCAGTCTCAGTTTCAGCAGACAGTCCGGCCGTAGCAAATAGAAGCAATGTAGAGATTCTTTGCCCATTTTTCCTGCAAGAAAAATAAACCAATGTTTGGGTTAGTAAATAATAAAATTGTGTATTATCAGCTTTTTATTTACACTAAAGCGATTATAAGAGGACAATAAGCATATATTATGGATTGAGTTCACATGGAATGAAATGTGATATATCTACTGTTATTGGTTTTCTTCAGCTTAACTTGATGCAACTGTGGCTTTTTATAAGAAAGGTTGTAAACTCGCTCCAGGTACAGAGACATCTTCAAAAACTGCTGTGAATATTTGAAAAATATGTTTTTTATTTTTTTAAATTAAGTCGGGCAATAGCTTTTTATAGTTACCACACACCGGTGGATATAATTCTCAGAAGCAGCTTTCAATCACAAAAATTTATGAGACACATCTAAGAAAATGGTACTCTGAAAAGTAAAACGGTAGAAAACTACTCCAAACAGACCCTTCTTGTACTGAACTAGAGAATATAACATCAAGAGTAAGATCTTAATCAGCCAGAAAGAAAAGCCTGAACCAATATATCTTCAAAGACTAATGCTACATTTCCAATCAACTAGAGAAAAAAATTCATGATCATACACAAACATGAACCAAGATGATATCACTAATGCTGACACTCTGGTAAGAAGCACAGAATATGAAAACTTAGGCTACAGGTTCTAATTTGAATGGCATGATTAATTCTGAGAAGCTGATTTTGACATCTTTCATCATTACTTGCTACAGTGTTCATTCCATCCTTCCGGTTGTCTCACTTGGTGCCAGAACTAATAATCTACCTGTACGACAACTAAATAGAGTTTCACATCACAGGATTCCCCAAGGGATCCAACCATTGGATTAAGTGCTGAACTCCAGTATAAATGTTTGTGTTCAGAAACATCCACTCAAGCTCTAAAGAACTACCCTAAAGAAGGTACTATTTTGAGACACAATAGTTAAATTCAACAAACACAACCTTCAAACCTCCAAAGTACATGCTTCATTTTCATTCTAGGCAAAGAATGCAGTATCAAGCATTATGCACTTTGAAGCTATGTTTTCAGTTTTGAAATTCAATTTAAACTTTTTTTATCCTTAAATTTTTCAAATATTATATTTGTGCTATGGAACAAAAATAATTATCTAATTAAGACTTGTGCAATAGCACAAAAATTTTGACGGAATTAATAATAGAATTATACTAGATCATTAATGATTAATCAAAAGTTTGAACAGAGCTACGTTCAAAACCAATATTGAAACTCTTCCGAGTTCGTCCAAAACAACGAAACCAATCATAACCACAAATATCAACCAACTTTAATGAGGATTTAATGGCCTCAATTAAAACTTCACAAGCCATCCAGAATATAACAAGAATTTGGCAACATGACTCTTTGCATGAGATCATGCTAGTCCATTCTCAATAAATCAGTTGCTTTCCTCAGGTTTAAATTTAGTATTTATTAGTTATAAATAGACCTTAACAGTGTCCTAATTATATTTAAGCTTTACTTAGGTATTCCATGTTTTTCCTTTTTTTAGTCGGTATTTATAAGTATTCCACTTGTTAGGACTGGGGATGCTTCTTTTTCCTGTAATTTTAAAGCTTGAATTAAAACCAAATTTCTTAACAAACCGTCTTCTCTTCTCTTCCCTCCTGCTTCCAAGTTTTGAACGCTGCACCACTCAAAGACCAACCTTCAAAAGAGTCCAGAAGACCACCCAAAGGCTAGACTCTAGTTAACTCAGACTTGGACCTACTCTAACTCAATATCCTATCAAATAAGTCATTAAGAAGGTAGTTCGACCTATAGCAGCTCCTACAGGGCAATCCTAACACCCTTCATTGACCCTAATCAACTTAAATCAAACCTAATATGCCATAAAGCCATGCTAGATTGATATTAGATCTCTGAAGGGAACCTATTCCATCTTATTTATCCTATCCTATCACATTTTTGGGTTGCTTTGGAACATATGGGCATCCATGGCCGGCTACTATTTCACCTCTTAGCCCAAATCAAATTTTAGTCAAAATTAATCCATAGCTTAAAATCAACCAAAAAATTAAACTCAAGCCCCCATAAGTACAGACCCACTTAAAGTTGATTTGACTGAGTCTCACTAATACTGAGTCTCACCAAACTAAACCTCATAGACCTTATCCAAGGCTAAACTGAGCCCAACCCTTCCATCTAAATAGATGAGAAAATATGATGAAGAATAATGTTACTCCTAAGGCGTCAATCGTACACTATAGACTAGTTGATAAATTCCTCATGCAACCATGGGGTATTAGGGTCGGACCCGAAACTCGACCAGCCGACCCAAATTTACACCCCTACCAAACATGTATCATCTTTCCTAATACTAGAATAGATAATATAGTTTCATCCAATGATAATTACAAACAAATATTCATTAAAAGTGCAAAGCATGTTTTCATGCTTTTAATAAAGTTAATATTGTTTATACATGATAATGAGTAAAAGTAGCATTGTTTTTAAATCGTCATATCTAGTTTACAACCATACAAGATATCAATTTTCCTAACATTACGATAAATTACCTAGCTCAAACTGTTCATAAATTCTATTCAAATATCCACTAAAACTATATGTTTTCACGTTTTGTAGTTAAATTTAAAAAGTTTTACATATTTATGAGTAATTTTTTACCCAAGATGTAGTGCATTCTTTCATTCCAAGAGACTTTTTTGTCATTTGTCTGACTAAACACTAAATTTGCCCCATCATCCCTATCCTGCCCGTAATGTGAAATCAAGCAAAGCTCCTTAATTGAGCGTTTTCTCCGATACAATGCTTATTCTGCAATTAAGCATAGGGGCCAACATTTATAAGATACATCTAACCTCAGTAACTAAAATAAGCTTCATTTGAATCATATTTCATTCTTTAAATATCTAAAGCCCACAAATGAGTCTATCTACCAAGGACTCTCAAGAGGCAAAAGGGAAACAATAACATCCTCATAAGTCGTGCATTATTTCCTTCTCATTATAAGGCATTTTTTAAAACCGCATGTTTCTAATAAAATCAATCCAAAATCACTAAAATTGAACCAAATCCATTGAAACTAAGAGCTATGATTTAAAGTTTTTCTTTACCAATGTTAATATCTGGAATTCTGACAATTAATTCATGGCATTGATCAATTACAAAAGTGCCCTAGAATAGTTTAAAGCTCGCACATGCTTTTGCAACCACAATATGGCATAGCCTTTATAACGCAATATCTGGTTTACAACCAGACAACATCACCTTTACAAATATCACAACAGTTTATCTAGTTTTATACATTGATAAATCCCATGCAAATATGTGCATGACATTTTGTCAAATGGACCTGAAAAATGCATTCATTAATGGTTATAAAACAAGATGTTTTTAAAAAGCAACCATGCAGGCTATGAAAATCATATAATCATCCTAAGTATTTCTATAAATTGAATAAAACCTTATAAACTTCAAAGCAGTAACCAACAGTTACTATCATACGCCAAGTGTTTAATATTAGAGATGGATTATATCGAGGACAGAGTAAGGATGACCATATTAATCCAAAAGATTAATCAAGACATGTTTTTCACACCGATCTACATTGATGTTTGAATCTACTCATGAAACTTAATTTCATGCATGACTTCGAAATGCATTTTTTGGTACCTGAACTTCTTTGGGCTTCAGGAGGTAAGATGAAAGATGGCAACTTTATCTCTCAAATCAACTATATAAATCATTTTGTTAAAAGATTTGATATAAAAATATTTAAATGAATAAAAATCCCATAAAGCCCCAACCAAATTAGGCACAAAGAGTAGATAGAGTTTTATTAAGTGATGATGCATTCTTTGTTAAAACTTATATCTCACAACTAATCAACCTGATATCATGTTCGAAGCTAGCCTTTGTGCTATATTTCAAGCAAATCCAAAATAATTAGTAGAGTGTGTATTAATGTATCTGTTAGTGACACCCGCAACATGTCTTTGGCATCCCATGAACACGTTCTTGTGATATTATCGGGTTCTATAATGCAAACTTTGTAGAATGAAAAGTTGACTGGAAGAACATGTCAAAATTATATCAATCCTTAGGCATCTGCAATGTATATTGGTACAACAAAAAATAGAACTTCATTATTTTGCCCACTATAAAATCTTGCAGGTAGTTATGTTGCATAGATATTATAGTTAAAGCATTATTCAAAGTATTTTAATCTTAAATCATTCAGTATGACAACAGGAGTGAAGTATGTCTAACTATGAATAGTTGATGCACCCAAAACCATTAAAACGCAATCAGGTTAGCCTAATTCCACTTTGTAGATATTTACTAGTATGTAAATATTTTGTTTAATTTATCTTTCCTTCTAAGGATAATAGATAATAACTATCCCATGAATCTTGCAATGACAAGCAATTCAAACCAATGATTACTTAGATGTAAATTAAACCTGGAGCATAAAAGAGACCAGTATAGAACTATTTTTAGCAATTTTTCTGCAAATGTATAAGAAATTGAACTTAAAAAAAAAAGTATTAAATTTTAAAAAAGAAATTGCATGCATCAAAAATAATTGAGGCATTGCAGAAAACAATTTTCAAAATTTGTGAATACCTTTACATGATTGCTAGGGAAGGCAGAGGTTCGAAGAGTTTCTTGGGTCTCATCTAACATTTTCCGTTTTGGAATGCTTAAAATAAAAGCAGCCTGATCTGAGGTGGCTGCAGTTGATGTTATCCTATATCCATTCTCCCATCTACGATGAATTCCTTCACTTGGATAAAGAAAATCTAACTCCACAACCTGCATTAGAAAGTGATTTTACAATATAAACAAATAGTGAATAACCAGAGGAAGTCAAGATGTTCAGACTCTTCAACAAACAACAATCACAAACTAAGAATCTTCAGATTGAAATCAGCTAGCAGGTAAAATAAAAAAGGGTGTCTCCATAAGCGCATAAAGAAGCTGTTCTATTGCAAGCAAATGATGACATTAGTCAAAATATACAAAAATAAATTAAAAAATATGCAATGATAACCACAGGATGTCAAAATGCCCAGATTCATTTAGGAATAATAATTACAAAATAAGGAACTTCATATAAAAATTAAAAAGCTGGTGAAATAACAAATTGAACACCCCGAACATAGCATAGGATCTGGTTTCATAGCAACCATATAATGTAAAAATCATAAACATGCTCACAACTACAAAAAAAAAAAAAAGGAACAAAGCATGCATGGTAATAAGCCAAAAGTTAAGAACTCCCAAAGCAAAATTTTAGATTTTGAAGCAATAAATAAAATTCAATAAAGTTGGTCAAATTAGTTTTAATACTGAGAGCTGCTAATCAGGAGAAATACTAAGCATTACAGCATTAGCATTACTGTTATTATCAACATCATCAGCCTCAGTGCAATGCTTGTGATTGATTCATCTATCATTTTTCTTCATGCATACCTCCAAAAATATTCCTTGAGGAGATTCTAAGTTTAATCAAAGAGTAAAGTGCCATAATAGTCCTCTGACTATTTACATGGGATCATTTTAGTCCCGAGTTTATAAAATTGTTAAAATAGTTCTCAAACTCTTTTAATGAAAAGCTGGCATATTTTGTATCAGGATTATTTTAAACCATATGAAAAAATTCTGGTATTTAAATTGATACTTATATAAGCTCTAAGATTAAAAAGACCCTCTGTAAAGAGTCAGGAGGCCATTTTATACTTTTCTCTTTAATAAAATCTTTTTGGTGATAAATTGCATAGATGCTTATCCATACTAAAAGCACATGTCAACAAATAATCATAGCAAAAACCATCATGAAGCAAAACATGTTTTTCAAAATGCATTTGATGGACTACCAATTGAACAAATTAAAAAAAATTCATATTGTAAATAATGATAGCACTAGATAAGAAATTGTTACATTACCTGTTCCGAAAAGCCAGAGTTCCTAGACATCACTACGCCCCAACGGCTGCCCGCAGTAGTCATGGAAGTAACATGGAAACCTTCTTTCCACTTCTTGTTGATCCACTTAAAAGGGAAGGACTCGCTCACTTTATAAGACTGTTGAGTGTATGGTGTTCCTGAAATAACAAACAATTATTGAACTCAGGAACGCATAAGAAGAAATACTATTTAACGATAAGAAAACATGTAAAAAAAACATAAAACAAATAATGTGTCGAATATCTTTAAATAGAGGCTGAAATAGAGCAACAATCAAAAGATCCGGACGTTAGATCAAGCCGAAATAACTTCAGCTGTGATTTTGCTATGAACAGGCAAAAGATGTATGATGCTTCCTATAGAAAAAGGTATGAATTGTCTCAATGGACCTTTATCAAGACGAAGTTAGTTCAGCTGTGATTTTGCTATGAACATCCAAAAGCTGTATGATACTCATTTTAGAAAAAGGTATGAATTGTCCCAAGGGACCAAAGAGGATTAGAAATTCAGTAGCTGTTCTTGTGAGGTCAAAATCTGTAGAAAAACAGATAATCTCACTGTACAATAGTGTATTTTAAGAGAATCAAAATCTTTACCTCTCTCCAGTTTAGTAGTTCTGTCAGTTAATCTTGTCCAGTATAAAATATCGAAAGATATTAAAACATTGACAGAAAAAAATCACAGGACATTCAATTCAAGTTAAAGCATCATTATGGCAACCAAACTTCATCTCAGACGAGCTTTGCTACAAGTAGTTATATACTGAAGCAAATTAAAAAAAAACAATAAATAATTTCTGTATCATTTGTTCTACACAAGTATATAATACAGAGTCTCTGAATGAATGGTTAAAATAAGAATGTCAAGACAATCAATCATCATGATTACCTTAAAATGACACATAATAGCAAAACTAAACAACTCCATCATCATAAAATTTAACAGGATAATGATAAACCCTCCCAGAATTACAAAAATATAATAACAGAAGCCAATGAGAAACATAATGAACAGCATATGAAACTAATATCTGGCAAAACATAGTAGTTGAGTCTAGATATGTAAATGAGAAATTATGATAATAAATCTGAACAAACCTTTGGACATAACGACCAATGAACTACCATTATTTGAACCAGCAATTGCACTGATATAATAATTCTTCTCCCATTGTTCCATGATCCAATCCTTAAAAGACCCAAAAAAAAAACAAAAAATCAAAAGTGAATAAATTTACATAACTCCCTGATATTTCATGAGCAAAATATAAAATTGCTAAATATCATGCAAAAGACTTGTGCACGGCAAGAGTTAGCAGCTTATGTAGTGCTTAAAAGAAATCAATGGAGAAGGACACTTGGTAGAGCCATAGCCCAAATGGTGAAGGATGGTAGTGGAAACATCTGATGAAGTCGTACCTTATGCAGGAACACAGGTGACAATTCATAAACCTGGGAACAGAAACCCGTTCCTGCGTCCATGATAAGTGCCCAGAGATTTGCAGCAGAAGCCACGCAGCTTATATGGAGGCCGTCTTCATTACCCTTTTCTACATGTTGATGAAGCCTTGCATCAGCAACATTGTAGTGATACCTATGTAATAAGAGAAGAACATAAATAGCATCAATTTGAGATAGCAGCATATATAAATATCAGATTTTAGTTTATTTAAAGTGCTCAAAACAATACCTATGAAACGCAAGCAAACCATAACCAAAAAGCAAAAGATTAAAATTAAACCAAAGTTGCATAAAATTAATATTATAACAATGCATTTGGCAAATCTAAATTTCATCTCCGTGCCATAAATATCTCAACAATCTATCACGTATAAATAGGCCGAACGCAACATTCAGCTAAATTATTGATTTATTGAACATATGCAAATTCCAAAAACAAGATGTGCAATTTTCAAAAACACTACCAAAGACATGATATCTCATTTCCAACATACCTAACCTCTTAAAAATGTGTTTCATAATTAGTAGAAATTCCAAAAACAAGATGTGCAATTTTCAAAAACACTACCGAAGACATGATATCTCATTTCCATCATACCTAACCTCTTAAAAATGTGTTTCATAATTAGTAGAAACACGTAAGCCACTAGCATGACAAATAATTCTCATATGAGAAAGATAATCCAAATTAATAAAGTATGAATATCAGTGACTAAGTATTACCTAAATCGAAATGCACATATTTTGTTAATGCATATTACAGCATACATAGAATGTTTCAATAATTGGAAATTTCATAATTTGGCAGAACTCTACCATTTGCTGACAAAATAACACGATCATGTAAAAACTGTTTGAATTGCTAATAATGTTTTATATATTTAACCATGACTCGTACACAAAATAAACCGAATACAGGAGATGAGGAAATTAGGATATTTCATACTACATTCATTGTTCAATGCAAATTATGGCATGGTTACTGAACTAGTTAATATGCCTGTAAACTGGAGATTATCTACTACCAAAAGTCAAAACAGCAATTGTCGCATTACTACTTGATCTCAATCATTGAAGTATACAACAAGGAGAGATGGCTATCACAAATTAGTTTTCTTATTCGCCATAAGATCAAGTGGTGAGCAAAAATGTGTAAGATCAAGTAGGGAACAATAATGTGGAATGGAAAATTTGGATGTTTTTGACCTACAAGGTTCCAGTCACATGGCTGCCTCTAGTTTAAAACTATCAGTAACCATTCAAGTACCTAAAAGTACTAAAAATTCATAGTAAAATAACAGCTATTTCCTGAGTGGGAAGTATCACAAATATCTTAACAGAAAACTTAAAAGATACTTCCCTCGTACGAACAGCATGAAATTACTGCTTTTGAGCTCTGAAGCTTATTAACTTACAAATTACAACAGCTGCCTCAGGTAGGCCAATTTGTGGGGCTAACCTCTTTAATTGCAAAATTCATCAGAAAAAAAAAATCCAAGCTAAGCCCTGGAAGTTAAGTACTCAATAAATTGCAAAAAGACACAGAAAATCCCGTCAAATTGTGCACTAGCACATAAAATGAACATAAATTACGAAGCCATGTCTTGCTCATTCATGTATCCACTACCTTTTCCCCTTCCTTTTCTATGGAGCCATGTAACCATGATGGTGCCTACTGCCCCAGCTAAGAACATGGCAAGTTCTGTGTAGGTGCTCCGGTGCAAGGAAGAAGGGTCACAAACCCCACCCAACCAAACAAATCCCCTCCACCCCCAAAGATTTTACATAGAAAACAATGAAAAACAAAGCTAAGAGAGAAACTGAAGAGTAATGAGAACTTCACAACAAAAAGCAGCAGCCACGCAAAATAGTTAAGTAAATCTAAACACAAGAAAGGCCTCATAAAGTTTATAGAAGTAATTAATACCACATGAATACACTGGCACCAGAAGTCAATTAAAATATACCTCTGCTTCATGGGTCTCCTTGCATTATAAACTGAAATCCACTGGGTTGCTGGACTTCCTAATCGTATTTTCTTCTTTGGCTGGTCATCCTCTTCAAGATTTACCAGCAACCTGCCCCGTTTTTGTCCAACCTAATAATGCAGCATCAAAACTCTAATGAGTAATAAAATATAAAGGATAAAATTCAAATCCAGTTAAGTTTCAAACAGAAAAAGATGAATCAAACGAATGATAATATACAAATAGTCACTAGCTATAGTTGTCTAATCTAAAAACCTTTAAGGCTCCATCAATTCGGATTGGCCTCAGTGGAACACATGGTTCGATCAAACCTTCAAAAAGAGAAATAAGTTTTGCATAGTTTGGCTCTTCATCAAACTTCATATTAGTCACCATCTCGAGGAACTGCTTAAACGGAGATGGACAAAAGCAACATAAAAGCTCAGGAGAGGTTGCCATCTTCTTCTTACAAACAAGAAAACTCTTGTTGTCTCCCTGTAAGGTATGGTATTTGAACAAGTAAATACGATATCAAAATTTAAAATAGTGAAGCTAGAGGTGTAGAACAAATACAATATATGATTGTAACAAATTATGAAATTATACCTGATAACCTTGCCAGGGTAACCTTCCCCTGATGAGGAATATCAGTGTGTAGGCCAAAGACTCTAGATCATCCCTCCTACTTCCTGTGCGACCTAAATGGGCATGAACACTTGCATATCTTATTGTCCCCCTGCAGGAAAGAATGAATTAAGACGAAGTATGAAAGTAATGAAAAAGCACTAAATTTTAAAGGGAATCATTGATGCAAATCCAAATAGCGCATATCTGTGAACCTGAAAACATCTGGCTTTTGATCATACTCAACATGCTGGCCAGATGATGTTTCCTTCCATTTTGATGCTACAAGTATAATTTACAATCATAAATTAAAACACATCCAATAAAAAGCACCCATCAAAATAATCAAAACAACCAAGAGAGCAATAATAAAATTTCAAAAAATGTGCAAGGAAAATAGTTAGAAAAGGAAAGGACTTAAAAGAACACACCCAAACCAAGGTCAATAAGAAAAAGCTTCTTCTCATCAGCTGTTCCAGGTTGGCCAAGCAAAAAGTTCTCTGGTTTGACATCTCCATGTACAAACCTAATCATAGAAAAAAATGTCAGAGAAAGAAGAGACTAACATCAGAATGACTAAAAGTATAACAAATTCAGTCAAAAACCAAATCATACCCTTTCTGGTGAAGTTTCTCGAGGATGGATACGGCTTCAACAGCAATGCAAGCAACCATATTTGGTGACATCCTGTTCCACGAAGAAGTAAATAAATTGTCTGAGCAATGCACCTTAGAATGGATACTTATGGGAAGGTGTGTTTCACTTTTAAAAAGTAATAAATAGTGGTATTTCTTTTTTTTGTAATATGAAAATTTGGGTGTTAGATATGTAAATAGATAGGAATTGGGTGGTGCACGTGTAAATGCCCCTAAATATTAGCATGCTTCTTACGCTTGGCCAACGGAGTTCCACACATCCCAGAGACTAGGCCCAAGCATATCCATAACCTGACAAAAATTGAATATTTTCGCTCATTAAACTATAATTGCATGAAGTTATTACTGTTAATAAAATAGTTTGTGCACTTACCAAAATATAGTAATCTCCTTGACGGCCCTTATAATGAACCCATGGTATGCCATAACATCCATTGAGATTACTTCAAACAACAAAACAACAGATGAGGAATAAATAATAAACTATAAATTTTAGAATTCTTGTTGGACTTAGAAATGAATACTTACTTATAGACTTGCCACTCATATGGAGGGCCAAAACTGCAGCCTTTACTATTACGATGCTCAAACTTCAAGGCTACCTATAATTGATGAAAAAAAAAACATATTAAAAGCTACAAATTACAAAAAAAATAGATTTAATAATGTCTTTATACTTTGAAAATTCACCTCAAAGGCATCTGGTCCTGTTCTTTCTATCCCACCAGATATTCTTCGACCAACATAAACCTGGCCAAATCCTCCTTTGCCCAACTTCCTTTCTATTTTGTATACTGGAGAGTTCCCAACTTGTACCTGCAGAAGAAGAAAAAAATAAAACTTACGAAAATATCAATTTATGACATACTATGTTCTGAATCACCATAAACATTTAAAAATTTTCTTCTATTATTATAATTGATACTGAACAATCAAATGGAACATAAGAACAGCAGTTTAGAGGACTCATTTATCATTTAACCAATCAATATAATCACAGCTAGTTCAGCACTAAATCAAAGGCCCTCTAACAATTTTAATACTATTTTATGCACCAGTATTTTTAATCGAAAAGACAAAGGCAAATCGTCATCATCATTAGCCTCATTCCAACTATTTGGGGGCAGATTAAGATATCATCAATCAAATTAAGCTCTATCCCCTTTAACTTCCATTCCAACGTACAAGAAAAAAGATAAAATAACATAAGTACAAAGAAAGCATACTCGCTCAGGCACAGGAGCTGCAGTGGATTCATCTTCAGCCCCCACCAATTTATCAGCGCTTCCACCTTCCATCACAAAATCTTTTTCAGCAACTCCTTCTACAGCTTGGTTCAACGCAAGCTCTTGGGCAGCACCAACAGCTCCGCCCACAGCACCTCGTGGAAAAACCTCACAAGGCTGATCTGGATCTAGGTCTATTAGCCTGATACCTCTGCCCCTACCACCAACTCCTGGCCTGACAGGTGCAGCTGAAGGTCCCTTGACTACTGCTGCAGCATTGGAGCCCCTTCCTCTTCCAACACTTCTCCTTCCTGTTCTATTGGGAGCAGGTAAAACCCAATTTTCAGCTTGCTCAAAGGGCTGGGGTTGAATTGGAATATCTTCAGCTTTCTTGGACTTCAACCTAGCTTGCCTGGCTCCACTTCGAAGCTCTGGCATTATTTCCCCATGCAAATCACACCAGCATTAAATTCCCAGCAATCCTTTCCAATCTCCCTGTATGATGGACAATAACAATAATATAAAGCAATCAGTTAATGAATGAATAAATCACCAAATAACAAAAAGGTCCTGGAAAGATAAAAGAAATCAAAGAAAAAAATAAAATTGGTTTAGGAATAAACAATGAGAACTCCAGTTTCCATCTCGCAGAAAAGAATATTCAGATTAAAGGGAAACAAATAACCAATCTTCTACACAATAAAAGGAAGGCATTTCATTCCATCGTAAAAAAGCAACACAAGAACGATACAAAAAAAATAAAAAGTAAAGAAGATTAATCTCTTAAATCAACAATAGATAGATCAATAAACAGCAAAAATCAAAGTGATAGCCTATATTTTAAATGAGACTGATGATTCTCCTAAACAATGACAATAAAAGTGGCCTGTTTTTCGATATCACGGAGTACATGTGTTTGAATCAATCAAATGTAGCAAAAATTAACAGTCCGATGTAGATTTTGGCATCAAATTTCCCTCCTTTCTCCTTAAAGCAAACATCAGCGACCATCTACAAGAATCACGACTAAAAAAAGTGATAAAATCATCCCTACAACCCCAATCCCCACATCTCAACTTCATAAGTAACCCAAATACGAAGGAACCATAAGAAACACCATCCTCCAAACATATCAGACACCATCAGATGAAGATCACAAACCGATCATCCCTCACCTTCCTCCACCTTCGCACCATCCACCTCCAAGAACCGACCAAAGCAGAAACTTTCCCCACAAAACATCGTCTATCTCTGCCAACACCAGCTTAAAACCCAGCAATATTCAGAAGAAAGCACTATCGTCAACCCATTAAAGAAAATAAACGCAGCAAGAACAACAATAACCCCAAAAAAAGCACAACTAGATAGCACCTTAAAGAGCAAGATCGACAAGAAAACAAAGCAAAAACATCAGAAACACAAGGATCGGTGTCCATAACCAGAAGGATCGACCCCCTTACGATCGAATGCTCAAGTCTCAGCACTACTCGTACACCGATCTTCCAGCGACGTGACAACGATGCCTAGCATTACAGGGAGGCAAAGCAGCAGCAGACTTCTCCAGAACTCTTTGAAGACAAGTGAGAAAGAGATAGACGGCCTTAGGGTTTCGCCGCAAGAGTAGAGTTCCTCGATAATCAAGATGGATAGAGAGTAATGGAAGGAGCTCGGAAGAGAAAGAGGATCGAAATGAGAGAGAGAGAGATGAGGAGGTGAGGATGATGGCGGAGATGCCCAGACGGTAAGGGAGAGAGCGCTGTGTTGTAGTTTTAGTGTTTTACTTGTGCCTTTTCTTATTTTTCTTTCACTCGTGTCCCAAGAATTATAGTGTTTTGCACAACTCATGCATGCAAATTTGAAAAACAACAAATCTAGTGGTTGTGGTTTGATGTGGGGGTGTTGCATGCAAAATAGATAATTACTCTTTCACTCTTTCTCTTTTGCATTTTTTATTTATATGGATAAGGGGGTAGATCAATCGAAAATTGTTATTCGCAAATCTAACTTGTCCTTTTTTATTCATTTTTCAATTGCTCACTCAAATATCAAAATTCACGATAAAATTTTAACCCTCACTTATATTTTTCATTTCTATCAAATAATCAATGGTTTGATTGTGGTGTTTTTCATTTTTATCAAATAATCAATGGTTTGATTGTGGTGTGCGTAAATACTTCAGTTTGATTGTTCAAAAATATCACATATGTGCTAGTATTTGTAAATAGTAATGTTTTAGGTTTTATGTATGACTTGCATGCACACCACTCAATTCCTATGTATTTACCATATAACACCTAAACTTCAAATTTTACATACATGATAATTTATTTATCACACCCTGGGTCTGGAAGGCAGAACACCCTGGCAACGCAGGGCGTGGAGAAATATGATTTGAATCTATTTTGTATTTTTTAAAGTAAAACTTGCATTGCAAATAAAAGAAAAGAACAACTTTTATTAATACTGAAAAGTTCAAAGATAAAGCAGGACTTAATAATAGAAACTAGTTGAATCAAAATTGAAATGCTAACATATAGCAACTATCGAGACCCAACAAAAATACAATAGCTGGTAAAAAAAACTAAGGAAAATACCAAAACTGAAAAATTAAAATTGAAAATATGGCTCCTGTGAAGACGGTCATACTAGTGACTGAATGGAACCTGTTATGCAATAATTAAAAATGAATTTGACAAACTCGGTAAATAATAGCTACCTATTAATGCATAAACGGTAAGAGAATGGAGAATGCAGTATGGACAACAAGTAAGAAAAAATCACTATGTGTATGTAATATTGTAAGACCAACAAGAGGGGTAAATATCAATTATATCAATTATGCATCCCATATGAAAATGTGCAGACATTTTCCATCAGGTTTCTTTTTATTATATTTTCATTTATATTTATATAGTCGGTTTTAATAGACACCATGAAATCGTGAAAGTCAAATACTAACCCAAGAAAACTCTAGAATTTCCTGTACAGTCGTCACTTTGTGGGCTCATCAGCCCTGCTAGCCAAAATCCAAAGGGCTTCAACCGACCTACACACCATCACACACAACAATACCAAGTTATTTCCAGTAATAATTTATGCAGGCTTGGGATATGACATGAATCAACAGCAAGTTCATAAAATGCAAAGAAAGGAAAACAGTATAGCTACGGGATTATTCAAATACGTAGCAATAACTTAAGGCAGATAAATAGTAATTTCAGCATTAACAATAAAATAAGTCTGTAACAAGTGAAACATCATAATTGAAGTAGCAAGGGCATGTCCGACAAAATGTAAACAATAGATGTGGTTCTACTACAATTAACAATGTATAATGTCTCTAACTAAGAACAGTGTGTTTATCCTCCAATAAACATCAGTTACTTTCCTCGAGATGGCAACGAGACACTTTTATTAGTTTGACAGTTAACGAAATATCTTACATGTTGCTTGATCACCTTATATCGTATTTGCTTTTACACCGTCGGAGTAACCAAGGTGTTGAACCTTGTATGATGCTTGCTTTCATTTGCATTTGTCTACATACTTGGTAACGAGACAGACTTGGTAAGTGAGCGACTCTGTGTTGATCGCGATGCTTTAACGAGATTGTTCGACGAGTAGATCTCGAGGAGCAATGCGAGTCAAAGCATCGGTATTGATGTAAGTATAATTGTGCTAAGGATCCAATGGATCTAACTTATGTCTCCTAGCATGTTAAGGGTCTGCATTTAATGACCTTATTTTATAATAAGAAAATTATTTTACTATTTATTATATTCATCTTAATTTTAAAACTATTCAAATAGCAAGCTAGACCATGTATAAGTCCAACATTTTTAAAAAGTAATCATAGGTAACGTTTGCTAGATCCCTTAGATGTTGAAATTACTAAAATCTTAAAAATCATTTGGTGACCCTTTCAAAGTCATACATACTCAGAGACTTTACCCTGAGTACTTATATGTTAATTAGGACACTTCTCGGTAGACTGTTTGCTAGGCTAGGATTAGGGATAGCCTTTTTCGACGCCTACGGCTATTATACTTTGTAGGCTTATTTGCTCTAGCCATCAGTCACTTTTGTGTTTTTTTGGATGTGCTTCTATGCATGTTTTGATATGCATTGTAGTATATTATGACAGTCTTTTACAGGGGGTCTGTCATATATATGCACACACACATGCACAATAAAAGTGGACGCAACATAGTGATTATTACTAACCATTTTCTGCAAGTGTTGCTTAACTCCCCAATAAGGCATGACCTAGATATGTTGCATTCTTGTTACCTTTTCCCACTGACATGTTTTTGTGCAGGCTGACTCCTTTACTTTTCCTAATGTACTTTTAGAGTCCTTAGGAGAGTATTGTAGTGGAAATAATATACAAGCGTTGGTTTCGAGCTATTTGGCTTGGGAATCTTGTAGCGGGGGACTAGCTCATATCTTAATTCCACATTTTATATTCTTTTATAAAATTAAGACCGAGCATGTATATGTGGAGTCTCGGTGCTCTTTTTCTTTCTAGAATATGTTGCTGACACAACTACACTGACCGTTTATTATTCCATGTTGGGTTTGTTTTCCCTGGTTTCTTGCATGCTTATCTGTCTGGATCGACTTTTTTTTTCTTGAGTTTTGTCTGTGAATCATGCAAATCAACTAGGCTCATTAAGGATCCTAAAATTTTAAACTTTCAACAAATTCTTAATAATAAGAGATTACGATTAATTAAGATTCATGGTTAAAATATTTAGGACTTCTAAAACTTATACTTTATTTTTCTGCATGGCCTTCGGGCCGATCTTAAAATGATTTGTGTGCATGTCTCTATACCGAATCATACTTAATAGGGTCTCCACACTTATGAATAGATAACCACATCATTTTGCATGTCTCGAGAAGAAGTCCCATGTTTCTTCAATCCGACTAACCCAACATAAGTTTTATAATTAGGTGATTGTCTATAGAGTGTTAGATGTTGCCCCGACCCAGACGGAACATAAATCCTTTCTAGAGAGTATTTATAACTTTTTAATTGAACCTTTTCCTTTCTTTCCTGAGGAAACTTTGACACCCGTTTAATGAGTGCGAGTGTCATATATTGAGCTCCACCTTGTAGGTCATAGGATTAAAGTTTCTTTTTTTTGACCTTAGGGCTACCGAGGTTGCTCATAGATGATGCAATTCAAGCATTGCTGACCGGAGACCTCTGGACGTCTTGGATTGACTATCTTCATGATCAGGCAGACTTAAGGTCCTAGTACTATGGGATGATGGGTCTATAGTACCTTGAACCGACGACCTCTACCTTTTACGATCACTCTATCATTCCTCTTGCTAAGCCCGTTTGAGCCCTACTGCTCCTTTGACGTCATTGATGTCATCTTAATGAATCAATTATCGATAAGCTGCCGCCGTTTGGGATACAGTGATTCACCATCCGCCTTATGGTTAGATGAGCTCTGATGCATATTGATATCATTGTTGGGATGATTTTGGTTATTTCGTGGGTTTTGATGTCGATGAACTGCTACTCATTTGGGATGTGAGAAATCCACTCTCGTCTTGTAAATTAGCACAAACTTTGAAAGCATCCGAAGCCTTCCCATACTAAATAATCATCCATTGATGGTCTATTATCCAGGTTCATGATGGTGTAATCACTTAACCAAAGGGATACATTCTTTTGGGAGACTCTTGATCCCAAAATAAAAATGTTCTTTTTGATTATCTAGTTATCAGTGGTTTTTGAGGTATTTTGATCTGATTTTGTTCGGATGTACATTTTCAACCTATCACACGATGATTTCTCTTATATAATCCTTCTATGTTTCTTTTTAAAATTTATTTATCTATTTTTTATCGTATATCCTTATTTTTTATTCCTCTCTTCTTACATTATTCGGTTCTTACATACTCGAACAAAACCGCCTAGAGGAGTAAAAGATAAGAAGAATTCGATTCTTACACTATGTTTGAAAAAAAATGTATTTAACTTTTTGAAAGTTAAAATGTTAGTATTTTGGATGTGTTTTTAAATATTTAGGTGGTATAAACCTAAGTAAAGTTTAGGCGTCACGTATGTAAATAAATAAGAATTTGGCGGTATGTATGTAAATGCCTCTTTTTTTAATATGCATATTTTTTTATAGAAAAAATTTTTTAATTTTTTATTTTCTAGTCCATTTTTAAATTAAGGTGGATATCAAAGTTATTAATATATTTTAAGATAAATGCAATTTAATTTTTTATTAATATTTTATTATAGGAAGATTTTTGCATACATACTCCTCAATTCCCATATATTTACATATATAACCCTTGAACTTTAATTTTTACATGCAGACCATCTTATATGAAATGTTTATTTCACTTGTTGTGCTCATATAAATTTTATGTTAATCGTTATTTGCACATGATAGTTAGCATGACATGTGCAAATAATTGGGTTTAAATAAAAGATGAGCAAGAAGATACTTCATTTGAGGACATTTTTAAAACATATATTATAATATGCTTGATGTATCATGAGATATTTCATTGATTAACTAATGGATCTTGACACAAATATATGAATAAAAATAAACTTAGAGGCCTTATGAACTCTTTTGTCACAAGCTCAAATAAAATAAGCAATTTGGTGAGATGAATCCAACAATCCTAAACTGTCTTGATCCAAGTCCAAATGATTCTAAATTAAGCTTTGAATGATCGAATAATCTCTAAATATTTGGTTCTTTCAATCAAAATAAGCATCTTTGTAGAGAAATCTAACATGTTCAATATCACTTAGTCCCAATATTATTAAAATATGTTAAATTATGGGCAGCTTGACTTAGACAAAGCTAAGGAAATTGAAGAATCTCAAAACAATACCCATCGATTGATGCTGACGATCACGGTTAGTAATTACCATCATCTGATCGTATCATCTTAATTAGTAGTCGCCTAATTGTCATTGTTTTCAGTCGGTGCATGTTTATGTATACAAGTACTTGACTATCTTTGCTCCTTATTCACTAAAATTAATGACTTTTTCCGTGAGCCACATGTACTGATCATAAATCAATGTTAATGCTCATCACCTCTCACTAAGAGTATTTTAGTCAGACCAGGTATCTTACTAGTTTCTTTTATTCGTGTATGTGTGGATCATATGCAATGTTAAAAATAAAATTCACTCTATATAGCTATAAACTTCTTAGTACAAAATAATAGTTATTTTGATAATATTGACTAAATATAAAAGAAAGGTCACTTGTCCATTTTTTTATGGTAAATAAAATACAATCAAAGTATGATTAAAATTTGGCATTCAAGTGCCATATGACTAATTATTTGCATGCAATCAGTATTATTATGTGTAAGTTGTAAGCTAAGAAATTACTTGAGGGTTGTTTAGTTTTTAATATTTAAGGTGTTTAGGTACTTTAATTGTAGCATAAATTAGACACATTATATGTTAATTTATGCAAGTTATTTGGTTGGTTGTTAAATAAACTCGTATATTTTGTTGAATAAATAAAACATTATTTATCGTTTTAGGCTAGTGCACAATGAGGATGATTTTATTAGAATCCTACGGAAACGTTGATGGAGGGGGTGATAATTGAGAAACTGAAGCTATGCTTGGTTTCAGTTGGATTTAAATCGGGGGTGGGCCACACTATGGTTCGTGACTATGAATGTGATACAAATGGATATGCAGATAAGGATGACATATGTTGGGCGCAATCAGTCTTCAAAAAAGATATTGTTATAGTGTAAAGCCTGATTTGGTACGCCACAACGAGCAGACAGGAGATCCTGAGCGCCTGGTGCTCCAATTCCCAGTTAGGGTGTTCCTCCGCCCAAGTTTGGGCGCTCTTGCACCGATCTCTCGAACGCTCAGTTTGCTTCCTGAGCCACAGCACTAAGGCGCCCAATTTCGGGCGCTTTCGAGCCTGATGTGGTTGGTCAACATTTTTTAAGTGGTGAAGTGTGCAAGTTTTAGAGAAGAAGTTCCTGCTTGCGTTCTCTTCTACATTTGCCCAATGGAGAGAAATGTCAGAGAGAAAAATTTCAAGTGTGTTTCTCTTATCGGATCAAGAGAGAGGGTTTGGAGAGAAGTGTTGTAAATTTTCTTAATTTTAGAGAGTAAATTTGAGTATGTTCTCTATAAACTTTTTGAATTCATAGTGAAAATTTATTGGTGACGTGGCTTCTTAATTTTTTCCCATTCTCATATTTTTCCACGTTAAATTATTATGTGCTTTTATGAATTTTCTTTGTTGCGTTTATGTTTGTATTTATTGTTCCAGTTTTCTCGAATTTGTGTGATTCTATTCCGTGCTGTGGTTTAGATTTAAATTGAAACTAAGCTCTGAAATAAATAAATAAAATAGAGTACAACGAAGGAGGACCCACTAATGGAAGACTAAGAGAACAACTTGTTCGATCGGACAAAATCCTCTGAGTCAAAGCAAGCAAGACAAAAACTGAACGAGCGATGAGAATGAAAAAAAAGACAACCAATTGATTTGAATTTGAACCAAATGATAAAGAATGTTTTGTTAAATATTTCTTTATCTGAGACAGTTAGCTAAAAATGAATTACTTTTGAAAAAAAAACTAAATAAATCTGAAAAATTGATTGGCATGTTAATGAAGGCAATCACAATAGAAAACATATAAATTTATCTAAATCATTATCTTAGATAATCATATGAATAAAATTGGAGAAAAATGAAGATTTACAAAAAAAAAAGAAAGAGATATCAATGGCTTTCATAAAACTTACATGATTGTAATCCCTTCAAATCCTCCTAGAAAATCTATACAAAAGCAAATTTGGTAATTTGGATCTTCTTCATACCACATTGTGATTGAACTTAAGAAACAATGGGTGAATGAACATTTAACACTGAATTATTTCCTTTTAAAAATCCCAAAAAGAGATTTGATTGCACTAATGGCATTCTCATTTATGAAGGACTCATCATACTTCTTCATAAGGGCCTCAAATTCTTTTGTTGCTCTAACATTGGTTAGGTCTGGGTCGCTGCGAATTCTCTGCATCAATCAATAAGATGAAAATGGCTAAGAAACTAAGGGCTTGTTTGGGATAAATTTTATTTATATTTTTCAAAATATGTTTGTTTAGTATATTTTTCTAAGGGATTGTTTGGGATTGTTTTTTTTTTTTTTTATGTTTTGATTTGAAACAAAACAGATTTGAAACATTTGACGAAGTTATGATTGCTTTTAAAAATACTGTGTTGAGCGTTTTTAAAAACATATTAATTTATTTTTTAAGAAAAAAAAACATATAAAAACCACACTAAATAAGTATGTTTTTAAATAAAACAAAAAATAAAAATAAAATTTATCCCAATCATGCAAATCATCGCGAGTAGAGAGTTGAGTAGTACTTATATTGTTCTGCAATCTTACCTTGAAATTATCATATCCTGCTTTCAGGGCATCTTCTAATGCAGAAAGTCCAGCATTTACCTGCAAAAGAAAGCATATCGCAGATTGTTATGATAACCTTGGACTTCTACCAATTTTCTATGTTCATCTCATGGATGATACTTATATCATGATATCCCAGCCAAAAATCGGTTTCGGTGCATCTCAAAGCCGTTAGATTTGCTTTGAGAGTAGCATGATGTTAGTTGCTTATATATTGCACTCATCTCAAAGCAAATTTGAGAATTCTATGATACATTATTACTAATTTTTTTAGCATTATATCTTGATATGATTCTTTTCCTTAACTTACCTGATTAAGCTTCGAATAACAACATGCAACATTGTAGTTTGCGACCGAAGCTTCTTCCGGCTCCGGCTTTGATCCCAATACCGATTCGAATTTCTCTAGGGCTTCTTCATATTTACCACCCCTTTAAACCAACAAGGTTAGCCTAAGCAAAAACTCGAAGCAAGGTTCCAAAGGGTTACTTTTTTTTTACATTTATACCACCAAAATCTTTCATGTCATATCAAAAATACCACCATTTTAACATTTATAAGGCGAAATATGTTTTTATTCATGTACTGGTATGATGGCATCTATATAAAAATTAAAGTTTAGACATTAGATATACGTAAGTGCTATGAATGTAAATCTTCCTTAAAAATATAAGAATAAGTTCATACTTGTACAGTGAAAGTCCTTCGCGAAGATCATTCTCCCTAACTTCCTTCTGTTCCTTCTTCCTCAGATAATTTTGAATCTGAAATAATTTTTATATTTTAATCTCAATTTCTAACAGCTAAATCAAGCAGATCAATCTTTTAAAAGTATGCGAACTTTCTGCCTTCTTGCCAGTGATAACTAAGCTAAGCATCATCCATACAATTGAAGATATGACTCATACCTGAATTTCCCTAATCTTGTTGCTTATAAATCCTGCATTTCTTTCAGCTCTGATGATCTCTTTCTCAGTAAGTTCAGTCGTATCGATCGGCTTTCCTGGCACAACACATTCAAAGGACTGAGAAAGACTCTAAAACGGATTGGTCTTCTGTTAATATTTTGGGAAATTTACACATAAATCTTATGCATTTGCATATCTAATAACACCTAAAGTTCAATATTTACATTCAGAAGACCCTGGTATTGAAACCTATGCATGAAAAGGTGTAGATCAGTAGTATAAGTATTTTTGATGTGAAGTCAAAGATTTGAGGGCTATGTATGTAAATATGAAAGTTTAGGTCTTGGATATGTAAATTCCTAGACTTGTGTTGCATGATATGCAGATGGCCCTAATATTTTTTATTTCTGATGTACATTTTTTGCCAGAAATTGATGGTTCACAAGGCTTTAAAACAGCTACTTTTTACTGATAATAATATTATTACACAATGTTGAACTATTTACATATATAACATCTAAACTTCAATATTTATTTGTGGAACAGTCAAAATTTTAATATGACAACAAAAATACCTCAAATACTAGCTTTTTAAAAGTGGAATGCACCCTTTCATTATATATACATGTAAATATCAAACTTTAGGGGCCAGATATCTAAATATATAAGAAAAGTGTGGTATGTATGTAAATTCCCCACCTTGGGAGCCAGGTTTCTCTCTATTAACTGCATTCGTAATGCTTGATATATTTGGGGCATTTACATACATAGCACAGAACTCCTATGTATTTACATATATAACAACTAAACATTCATATAAATATGTATATCACTTAAACCTTTAGCATCACATTAAGAATAACATCACAACATTAATCTTCTTAAAAGCAAAATACACATTTTCATGCATCGATTTATGACACCAAGGTGCTATAAATATAAATATCAAACTTTGTGTGGTATGTATGTAAATTTTCCCTTTATTTTATGAGAAAAACATTGCACTAGATAGTAATTAAGAAGAAAAAAGACAATTTTGGAGTGGCGTTTAACTGACCATATCTCTTCTGCATTTTCAGGAGCAGAGGCCCAACTCTTTGACGGATTGCGTACATTGTGCGCCCATACTCAGCAGCTGGCCATATTTCATCACCAAAGACAGCACTACGTACAATCATATTTTTCATCAGCATCAGAAATATCAAATTTTTACTAGCTTTTACATTCATACCTCCCAAATTTTCTATATTTATATATCAAATACCTAAACTTTGCTTTCCATTTTACATTTATACCACCCAAATCATTCATTGTAGACATGTTGTATACATTGTGCTACTGATTCCTCCCTAAATTTCTTCATCGTTCAGACTCGATTTTCGTACTAGAAGTTTTTGCCGTAGGGCTAGAGAGAGAGAGAGAGAGTTTCTTACCTGGTGGCAATGACTTTGTCTCCCACAGAAAACATGTTAGTCTTGGCTGCAGAGCTCTCCGGAGCTATGGCATCAATGTAAGTTGATCCATCCCTTCCCTTCGTAAACCTCAGCCCATAAGGCTTCTCAATCTCAACCTCATATTCTTCATATTTATCTTCTTCTTCTTCTTCTTCTTCTACCACTTCTTCTTCCTCCTCCTGACGCCCCTCCGGCTTCGATGGTTCAGATTCTGTCGCCGATGAGGAAACCTTAATAACGAAAGCAGCGCAATTAGTCGAATGTTGTTTTCCCACGCCCTTGGATTTGGTATTGCAAAGGGCTGAGAACTTGGAGTGGAATGGAAGGGGGGTTTGTCTGCCGCGCTTTGATTTTGGAAGAGGAGATGAACGGAGAGAGGGGTTGGTGATTGAAGCTACAGACATGGCCTTCTTCTTCCTCCCGTTCCTGCTTTCTCTGCTTAGTTGCTGATAGTTCTGAGATCACAAATTGAGGGCTTTGTGGATCAGAGAAAAGGGGTTTTGGATTACATGGAGGCTTCTTGTGGCTCTCCTTTTGCTGAAGAGACCTTCTTAAAATATGGATCATTTGTGGGTTTGGTTCCACCATGAATTTTAATATTTGAGTGAGAATTTGAAAAATGGATGTAAGGAGCGCTTGATTTGTAAATAGCAGGTTTCGGGGGGTCAGCATGTAATCTCCATTTTCTTTTTTAATATAATCTGTCTACGTAATAGAGACAGAGAAGAGCAGTTTGAAAGCTGTATCTGGTAGATAGAATTTTCTATATGCTCTTTTCTTCCTCTCCAGCTCTAACTCTCCTCCATCCCTCAGTTTCCATCTTCCCTCGAGGAATTGCCATCAGCCAACAGAATCCTCGCCCCGGCTTCTTCAAGGTATTCATATCCCATAATCCAACCTCCATTTCTCATTCCAAAATCTAATCTTTTTAAGCTTTTTTTCACAAGCTCTGTTCCTCATCCCTGTAGTCATTCATCTGCAATGTTCGCGGACTTGGATCCATCCGCCATGCCCAAGCTGCTGTTCTCTGCGACTCTTCAGACGGTGAAGTTGAAGAAAAAACTCGATTGGAGTTTGGAAAAGGTGACGCTTTTTCTATTCTTAGCTTCATGGAGCAACGCGGGGTTCGCCCTAACCTCCACACATATGCATCGGTCCTTGAGTCGTGTTTCAGCTTGAGCTCTCTAAGAGGAGCACAAAGAGTCCACGGAGTGACGGTGAAGCTGGGTATTGATACAGAGAACTTGTTATCCAGTCGGCTCTTTATTATCTACTTTACTCTGGGTGATTTTGCTAGCGCAAGCAAGCTGTTTGATGATTTGTCTGAAACTAGTATTGCTAAACTGATGGCGGACCAGCTTCGCCTAAATGAGAAACTTAAAGTCATAAGCTTTTTCACGAATGTTTTGAGAGAGTGCCGTAACATTGATCCTGTAATATTCAGTATTGCACTGAGAGCATGTACTGGCAACACGCGCAGCTATGGCTGCTGGCCTGTGGTGCAGCAGCTTCATGGTAGAATTATTCGGCTTGGATTAGGGATTAATCCAATTGTTTGCAATCCTTTAATCGATTTATATTCAAAGAATAAGAGTATAGACTCTGCAATTTTGGTTTTTGATGAAATGTGTTCAAAGGACAATGTTTCATGGGTTGCCATGGTTTCTGGTCTCTCTCAAAATGGGTTCGGAAAAGAAGCTTTCAATCTCTTCTACCATATGCATCAAGCTGGAGTAATTCCCACTCCCTATGTTCTATCCAGCATCCTTAGTGCCTGTACTAAGACAGAACTTTTCAACGAGGGAATTGGGATTCATGCGCAGGCCTTCAAGTGGGGATTCTGCTCAGAAACGTTTGTGGGAAATGCGCTTATCAGCTTTTATTCACGATTCCTAAGCTTGGATTTAGCCGAGAAAGTATTTGAGGAAATGGTAGTTCATGATGGAGTCACATTTAACTCCATGATTTCAGCTTATGGGATGCTTGGAAATAGTGAAAAAGCTATATCTGTCTTCAAGGAAATGCAAAGTTCAGGCTTTAAACCTGACTCAGTGACCGTTGCGAGTCTTCTCTGTGCCTGTGCTTCTGTTGGAGCTATTTGGAAGGGCAAGCAGCTCCACTCCTATGTGTTGAAAGCTGGATTATCCTCAGATTATATTATCGAAGGCTCTTTGCTTGATCTGTATGTAAAATGCGCAGATATAGAAACCTCGCGCAGATTATTCGATTCCACAGACAAAGAAAATGTGGTGCTGTGGAATGTAATGCTTGTAGCTTATGGACAGATGGGTGATTTAACTGAGTCCTTTAATTTATTCTCTGAAATGCTGGTTTCAGGTTTGGAGCCAAACCAGTACACCTATCCAAGCATACTAAAAACATGTACTTACTATGGAGAACTCGATCTTGGCGAGCAGATCCATTCCATGGCTGTAAAAACTGGTTTTGAAATGAATGTCTTTGTCTGCAGTGTGTTAATAGATATGTACTCCAAATGTGGAATGTTGGAAAGTGCAAGGGGGATCCTTGACAGACAGATGGAGAAAGATGTCGTCTCTTGGACGGCGATGATTGCAGGTTATGCGCAGCACGAGCATTTTGTTGAAGCTCTGAAAACATTTGAGGAAATGAGATTTAATGGGATCCAGCCTGATAATATTGGATTGTCAAGCGCAATTAGTGCTTGTGCTGGACTGAAAGCTATTGGTCAGGGACTGCAGATCCATGGCCAAGCTTATGTTTTGGGTTATTCTGCTGATATATCGATTGGAAATGCTCTCGTGAACCTTTATGCAAGGTCTGGTATGATCATGGAGGCTTATTCTGCGTTTGAGAGTAATGAGGTTAGAGATGATGTGTCATGGAATGCTTTGATTTCTGGTTTTGGACAGAGTGGTCACTATGAAGAAGCGCTAGCAGTATATAAACAGATGAATCAGAAGGACATTAAAGCTAATCTGTTCACATATGGCTCAGCTGTTAGTTCTTCAGCTAATATTGCAGATTTAAAGCTGGGAAATCAGGTACATTCAAAGATGATCAAAACTGGTTATGAAATTGAGATAGAAGCTGGTAACTCACTTGTCTCCTTGTATGCCAAGTGCGGAAGCATCAAAGATGCGAAGCTCGTGTTCAACAGTATGCCCACGAGGAATTCGATTTCTTGGAACGCCATTATCACAGCTTGTTCGCAACACGGACGTGGCAAGGAAGCTCTGCAACTATTTGAGGGGATGAAGAAGGAGGGCGTGAAGCCGAATGATGTTACATTCATTGGTGTTCTTACAGCTTGCAGCCATGTCGGACTGGTGACCGAGGGGCTCCAACACTTCCAATCGATAAGCAAAGAGCATGGACTCGTGCCCAAACCCGAGCACTTCGTGTGTGTGGTGGATCTTCTCGGACGGGCGGGACAATTGAATCGTGCGCTGCAATTCATAGAAGATATGCCGATTGTCCCGGACTCAATGATATGGAGGTCGCTTCTCGGTGCATCTACAATCCATAAGAACATCGAGGTCGGCGAGTTTGCCGGCTGTCATCTCCTCGAATTGGAACCTCAAGATTCAGCAACTTATGTTCTTCTGTCGAATCTGTATGCAGTGACAAGGAGATGGGAATGGAGGGATAGAATGAGGCAGGTGATGAAGGATAGAGGAGTGAAGAAGGAACCCGGGCGGAGTTGGATCGAGGCCAAGAACGCAATCCATTCCTTCTTCGTCGGCGATCGTCGGCATTCATTAGCAGAAGAAATCTATGAGCACTTGGAGGAGTTGAATAAGAAGGCAGTTGAGATTGGGTATAAGCAAGATCGCTACTTTCTTCTTCAGGAAAGTGAAGAAGAACTGAAGGATTCTACTGCTTGGATACACAGTGAGAAACTTGCTGTGTCGTTTGGGAACATGGAGCTGCCAGCAGAGGTGCCCATAAGGGTGATAAAGAATATTAGGGTTTGCAATGACTGTCATAACTGGATGAAGTTTGTGTCTCGAGTTATGGGTCGGGTGATTATATTGAGAGATTCTTACAGGTTCCATCATTTTGAAGCAGGAGATTGCTCTTGTGGAGATTATTGGTGAAGAGGTGGTGATTTTTTTTTCCCCTTGGTTAAGTAATGTTTTTCCTTTTTAAAATTTTATTAAAGGAAATGAGGAGAAGATGGTGGTTGAAATCGCTTGAAAGAAATGAAAATAAATAAATAAGGAGCCTAATACAATATAATCATTCCACTTATGTTTTGATCAATTAATGATTTACATACATACCACAACAAACTTTCATATTTACGTGCCACCAAAAACGTATTGCGCTAAAGAATGGCCCTCTGTCTGCCTCTGTGGTTCTTTCGTTTACGACATGCGATACTCTTATAGACAGCCCAAGGCTTTCGTCCACAACTACGAGATCCTCTCATTGCCTCCTTGCTTCCACAGCCACCGAGTGAGGTTGCTTCTCTATTGATGCCAAGAAATAGGTATGCATAGTATTTAAAAAAACTCTTACAGTGCGAACTTTACCAGTATGCTTAGATTTTGACCCCATTGCTTACCCTCTGTGCGAGAGGTCGTTGGCAGACAAATACAACCTACCAACATTGATCTCGTAGTTTCACTGCAGCGTGAGGTCGCCCCAAGTCCTTGGCCGATCTGCCCGTCTTCTCCTTGCAATCTGTGAGTTCTCCTCCCCTTCATCCTCCAAATTGCTATTGGAATCCTGAGTCTATATATGAGCAATTTAAGAAATCCTTCATGAAGTTAGTAGGATTGTTGCATCCTATTTTTGGTGAACTAATTGTTGTTGTTTGAACTAATTGTTGTTGTTTAGTTGTTTAAAAAAAAAAAAAAAATTTTGGGCCACAATTCTAATTTATTTGATAGGTTTCCATTGTATGTAATGATGTTTCATGTTTGGAATTTGCTCATTTTCTTTCTTTCGGTTGATGGATTCAATAATACCCTGTTAATAGTAACTCATTGGGTAAGAATTCTATATTTGCAATGTTCTCACATCAACATCAGCTTAAATCTCTGCTGCTAATCACAGAGGACTTTGCAGCACAGATATTTATTCTTTTTTCTTACCTCGTAAGTTTGAACAGCAAAATATGCTCTAATAACTGCATGATTTTTTGGATTGTTTGCTGAATGTTCCATCTTTTTAATCAGTTATTCCCCCATTGAGTTTCTATTTCTTATTATATGAATTGTATTATCTGAAGATACGAGAAACGAAGAAATAGTGCTGCCTGCAATAATGCAAGCAAATCCTCAAATTCTCCAGAATGGACATCAGCAAATGTGCAAAGGAATTGGGAGCTGGAAACCTCGCAGCAACTGCAGCGGCCTCTTTCTTCTGCTCGTCCTTGGCAACTGCTGCTCGTTCTTCTGTATAAATGTCACCGCTTGTGGAGTCACTAACATGCCCACTAAAAGCTGCGAACTGCCGAAGAGCAACATCTTCTACAAAGAAGATTCTAACATGCTGGATTCGAAGAACTACTGCTTGCAGACAATGACAATGTGCTGCCTTCAGTTGAACCAAGGCTTTTAATATTGTTGTAATTTTACTTCTGAAGTTTTTTTTTTTTAACTGTAATTTTTTGAAATTCTGAAGCTTTTCATGTACTCTAAAAGTTGAAGAAATTGGCTACAGTCACTGTCAAATTTGATTTCCAAATGAAGATCTTTTGCATTAATCCTATCATTACATGTGATCTAATCAGTGAATTTGATTACTGATAAGCTCTGTTTTCTCTTAAAGCGCCGTTGATTTGTAATTCAAATATATGATCATGTTGGAGATGTGTTAAGGTTGGAAGGGTTGGAGAATTGTTAAGGTTGCTTATTTTTAATTACATGCTTATTGTAGTTAATTTTCACTATTCTGCTGTAAATTGCTGGCTTTTTGGCAGTGAAAACATGCAGATGTTAAAAACTGAACTTTCAATCCAGTTTTTCATAAGGCAAAGCATGCATTTTCATGTATTTTGTCTATTATCACCACCTGCAATCATGAAGGATTAAAATTCATAATTTCTTGAGCATAACTGTAAGAGAGTAATCATGAAAATGGAAGCAAGCAGAGAATGCAATTAATGAACTGCACCAGCTTCTAAAGTTAGAAAGAGAGCTTTGCACAATCACAGTAGTACCAGATAGGAACTTCTCTAGCCATAAGTCTCACTAGCTCATCTGGTAGGTGATTAATCTAAGGGTAATTTGATTTTTTTGTATGTTCAAAGGTAATTTAGTCTTTTATTATTATTTTGGGTATAAATAGATTTATTATGTTTAGGATTAGGTTTATATTGTTTATTGCATGTCTTGAGTTTAGGAATTGGGAGCTTCCTACCTCTCGAATAATAGGATTTGAGAGACTCGATAACCTGCATCTTGAATTGTAGGTACTTTATCTTATGTGTTTGTGGGAGTTGTTAGAGTTGTATTGTTTTGATTTGATATTATTGAAGAAAAATATATATTTGTTCTAAGTTATGTGAAAATTCGTATGTACCGAATTCTATGTTAAAACTTATCATCATCACGTACAATCTATAATGCCAAATGATAATGATTTTAGTAAATCCTATAAATCTTAATTGTATCATCAAGTGGCAGCAGATAGAGTTGTCCGACGGGCTTTAAAAACTAAAATATTTTTATATTAATGAAAAACTACTTCCTAGAAAATTTTATAATGCAAAATTATATATTTGTTTTATCTTATTTCATGTTTTTATTTTAAAATTACATACATTTATGATAATCGCTGCAACTTTTTAAACAAAAATTGAACTGCAGCTGCCCATAACTTATATCTAGCGCAACTTTTGGCATGCATGCTATCAATTTATTAATCATAATGCGTGCATATTTTTTTTATCAAAATTAACATAATTCATTTATATTATTTTCAAATTTTATGCATAATAAAATACAATTTTAAATCTATCCATACGGCCATTAAATGAATATTTTGATTAACAACTTATATTAAAAAAAAATAAATATTAAGAATAATATACTCATCAATTTGCTCAATATATATCTAGCGATAAACTACAGGGGTAGATTTACATACATGACACTTAATTCTCTTACCTATCCGCATATCTACGACCATAACTTCAGTTTTCACATATATGCCACCTTAATTATGAATAAATGTGTATTTCACTATTTAGCATTTAAATGGTAAAAATTCAAAAAAAATTTTATGTGATGAAAAAATTGAATGGTATAATGTAAATAAAATAAAGTTTGTTTTAGATAAGTAAATACATAAGAATTTATGGCATAACGGCATGCATGTAAATGCCCCAATTTAAGAAGATTAACATTAATCATTTATTTAAGGAATTTAGTTCAAACTAAACAAAAATTATACACAAAAAAAAAAACAATAACTTTTTTACAAACAGGAAGACCGTGAAATGAATTTATTCCAACTCTTATTATTTCAGCATTACAGAATTAAGATTTCAAAATTACAGAATTAAGATTTCTAAATTACAGAGTTAAAGATTACAACAGGTTGTAAATGGGACAATATGCATACAAAACCTCATTGGAAAAAAGGAAAATTACTTTACAATAAATACTGACACATGAGATCTCACCCCAAAATTAATTGGTCAGGAAAATCAAAATTGCAATTATCAACCCATATAAACTCAATTAAAAAGAAACAAAACATTAAAAAAAAAGAAGGGCGTTTACATACATACCACTCAATTCCTATGTATTTAAATATTTTACGCTTAAAACTTTATTTTTTTTACATTTATACCAACCGAACCTATCATATCACATTAAAAAAAAATCGCTTTTTTAACTTTAAAAAGAAAAAAAATGAAATACATCATTTTCATGCATATGAAAAGTGGTATATATGTAAAAATTCTTAAATATGTAAATGCATAGTAAATAAGTGGTATGTATGTAAATAAACCCCCCCCCCCCCCCCACCCAAATCAAAAAAATGCACAAAAAGAAAATTTTTGCCTGTGAATGATGAATTGCTGGTAGAAAATCTAACTTGGATTTAGCAAACAGCATTTGAAATTTCAGTAATCTCGTTTGGTGGCATTGTTGTTCCCTTCAAAGTATCAACGGTAACCCTAGGTGGAAGATGAATCATCAGGACCACCACCTGGAGCCACTGAATTCTTCAATTCAGGAGCAGATTCCAATGGCTTCTGCGATCCATTCTCCGAATCAGCCGTTTCCTTGTCTTTCTCATCAACAGGCTCCGTTGATTTAACAGCAACGAACTGCCAATAATACAAACGAGGAAAAACAAATAATATTTTTGATGTATAGATGTATGAAACCAATGTGTTATAAGTGTAAATTTGAATGTTTAGATGTTAGTGATAAAGGAAAATGTCAACGAACACCAATGTCATCAACGAACTGCCAGCAGATATCTAAATAAATAAGAATTGTGTGGTATGCATACAAATTTCCCATTTTTTGTTATATGCTATATGAGTAAATATAAAAAATTAAATGTTAAGACATATATATACAGAAAAATAAGGTGATATGTATGTAAATTCCTCGTAAAAAATCACATGAAAATAAAAAAGTGCAAGCTATAAATATACATATAAAAATAGAGCATATGATTTGATTATACCTGCTGGTTATGTTGGTGTTGCCTGGCCCTTTTTTCTTGCATCACCTTCTGGCGAGTCTCATAAAATCCAAAATCATCCAAGATGGATGTCTTGCTTACATGATCCTTTAAAATCTTGAGAACCTGAAGTCCCTGCTCAAGTTTCACCTGAAGCAAGGACAGAGAAGAAAAATATTAGACAATCAAATGAGAACTGCATGCAACGTTACAGAATAAAAACTTTCTTGAATTTGACATGACTGGCCTTTGAGTAAACAACTACATATAGTGCTCAAAATTTCTCGATTTGTTTTATACTTCTATAATTATTCAAGTTGGTCCCTCAGCTTATCAAATATGAAATAATTTGATCCTGCTATCAACTTTACCACTTTTTTGGATGGAAATCAGTGGAAGGAAGCTTTTTTTAAAGATATTAGACTTTCAATGGTAGATCTCTGTGCTTTTTACAAGATTTAATTAATGTAATTGAGCCTAAAAAGCTCATCAGAAGGGAAGCTTTTCTCAATGAATTCGTATCCAAAAATATGAATAAATTCGTTCATATTGGATCAGCTAAATTGAATATTTGAAAAACAAACAAACACTAAATAAAGTTATAACACCAAAAAATTCGAAAAAAAATCATTTCATTCATTTACTTGACGGGCTTCGTACCTCCTGAGTGTCTCTACTATTCGTCACCGGCTTATTGTCATTGTACTCTAAAGTTATGTGCCTTAAAAGGCTGTTAGGTACATCTTTCACAATATGCCACTTCACATTAAAGCAACCAATCCACTTCTCCTGCTGCCAGTAATCGACAGTTTTATCAAAATCAACCGGCCCAACCATCTCCGCAGCGCCGACAAATTGTCCACTCGTATTTACCTGCAAATTTCAAAGAAAAAAGTTCAGAAATAAAAAATGAACAAATTAACGAGTAATGAACAATTTGATGCTTACAGAGAAAAACAAAAACACGGGGCATCCATCAGCTTTGTTCATGGCTTCCTTGTAAGCAGAATCAAGCTTCTTATTCCCACCGGGGGTGCTGGCCCAAACACCGTACTTGATGCTCCTGTGTATATCATCTTCGCTATATGATTTGATGATAAAAAACTTTGCATCTGCGTACTTTTCAGGAAAATCAGCTCGGTTGTATTGGTCTCTGTTTGGAACAAGATGATTATCCTCAACTTCTTCGCCCGTAGGAACAGCCCCGTTAAGGATTTTAAAGCGGTTCACCCTCGGCCCTCGATTCAGCTCGCTCATACCGTCAAAATTCTCATAGCCACGTCCGTAAAATCCATAAAAATTCATTCGAGAATTATATAATTGTGATCCTAAAGCAGCACAATCTCTAAATGGATTACCATATTGGCCATACATGAGGTTAGTAGGATAAAACCTATTTAACGTGCCAGAACCTGCTTGTCCCATCGAAGGGGTTGTTCCACAATTTAAACCCTGAGCAACAACAATTTACGCACTTTGAGTTGAATCATATGGATTCTATATGTTCATTATATGAGCAAGAAACACTGTAAAGTAACTTGTTAAAGAGTGAAAATATGGTAAACTACATAATAGATAAGAGAAGCTATCAACACCGTGTAAGTACTGCAAAAGCAATAATAAAAGGAGAAATTTACATAAGTAGCGTGCAATTCTTATAAATTTACGTATCTCAGAACAATACTTTCTTATTTAAACGCATAGCACTTTGGTGTTTTACATCTATGCATGAAAAGGAGTATTTCAGTTTTACGAGTTGTAATAATAGTGTTGTTTTTTGTGATATTAAAGATTTGAGTGCTATGTGTGAACTATGTGTATATGAAAGTTTAGGTGTGAGATGTGTAAATACATAAGAAAACATGTTCATGAAATTGTTACTTAACAGAATAAAGTTATATATTGCCTCAATTCATAGCTTTGCAAGACATGCAATACATATCATGAGTTCAGGAAGCAATCGTACATTCTGATTTCTCGTTGACATTGAATGAAAATTTTGTGAAGCAGTTGAAGACATGGTATTTGGAGTAGCTGAATTAAGATTTGGATAAGCATATGTGGGGCCATAATACCATGGAAATGGTGATCTCATTCCATCGAAACTTGAATATAGAACACTTCTACCGTATGAATCATTTGAGGGAAATAACAAACTTTGTTGGTTATTCTTTTGCGAAAAATACCCACTGTTTGCATTAGAAATTCCATTAGGAAACGTATTTGAATTTGATTTGTCAGAACCAACAGTTACAGAAGGCTGGTCTGCAGCTACTTCTCCCTGATACTGGTAATATGAAGAAGGATACTGGTAATGTTGAGATCCATAAGATATGTTTTCATCACCCACCGCTGGAAGAACGGAAGCAGACCAAGGGTAAGAACTATAAGGTGAATATCCATATCCATGGTGATACATTTCACCATAAACCCCCTGTCAAAAACCATCAAAACTAAGCAAAACAGTTCATCTCAGAAAACTGAAATTGGTAAAGAAACAACAAATATTGATTAGGGAAAAGGCATGGAATCAAATTCAATTCTTGAAGCATTGACCTTGAATCATCTCCACATAGTTAATCCTTCGATGAATTCTAAATACTAAAATTCTGATTCTCAACGAACAAGAATATGATTAGAAGATTTATCAAAATGAATATGTGATGCACCGAAATAGGCACAAGGATATAGACACAACACGAAACAGATACAGGACACGCCTATTGTTAAAAACATAGATTGGCATGCTTTTGATATTGCATTTTATATAGAATACTATATAAAAGTTGCACAAATTAAATAAACATGAAAAAACCAATTAAAGATAAATGAAAATTGACCCAAAAAAACACATTTATATATAATTTAATGATCGATCCTCCAGCTAAACTCCATGAATTTCATTATAATTTAAATGACAACAAAGATGTTGCCTTTTTCATTATAAGAAGAATAGATCAACATTTAAAAAAGAAAAATACAAAGCTTATCATGACTGTGTGAATAGATTTGATGACGGGAGATTACGTGCATAATCATCCCACTCATAAGATGAATCGTATTATTAAAAAATATACTTCTTTCAAATGGAACGGCGGTGCATCATGGTAAGAAGTTTTTTTGTATAGTTCGTTACAAATTCTTTAAAATGGAGAACTCACATTCGAGATCTCAGCAGCTTCGGTATTCAAATAGCCATTGTAGTCATCCCACTCGCCCGCAAAACCATCGTAACCTGAAAATTCACCCAAAAATAATCAATTCAACGATATGAATAATTAGAATCCCTCGCAAACCAAACGACAGCTCCACAGAAGTTATGAATTTAATAAAACTATGCACAAATAGATATCCATAATTAAAGTTAAAATCAATATGAACACAAATTACTCCAACCTCCATAGTAAAAAGCTGTTGATGGGTATCCATTAGGTATAAAGTACATATTAGGATCCATATACCCAGGAATCACAGGGGTCGAAAAACGCTCCAACGAGGGCATTTGAACCTTCGGAGCTTGTCCAGCGTTCACAGGTCCATATTGAATTGCAGAAGGCTGACCAATTCAACAATTCGGTATCAAAAAACAATTGCGAGACTGTCCTCCCAAGAAAGACAGAATCTAACCTAATGATCTAAAAGCAAAGCAGTTTCAATGACAGCCTAACCTTCTTGGGCACGACTGGAACAACACCGCCTTTGCTCTTTGTCTCCACCGATAGATTCTGCAGTAAATCTGTCGATTCTATACAAGAATTATGAAGGAGCAAAGCATGTTCGAACTATAAACTAATTTAAAAAAACACGGGGAAGTCTAAAATAAAAAAAGCACCGCACCCAGATAATACATATACCCTTGCAAAACCCCAGAACAGAGAAAACATAGCGCATAATCAACGCGCGTAGAATTAAAATAACGAACGAAAATGGGATCTAAATGGAAGGGAGAAAAGAGAAAGAATCTGTGAAAATTTAGGTTAACGAAGCACGACAGAAAGGATACGGTCAACGGAGGCTGCAACGGCCGACATGATCAGATCTTTCCCCGCGGAGTATGGCAAAGCAGCGCGGTTGAATCCTAAGAAAACCCTGAAGCGAGCGAAGCTGAGAGTGCAATGAAAAAAGAAGAAAACCCAAGGAGAAAATGAAAGAGGAGAATAAGACAGAAATTAGGGTTTTTGGTCTTAATAAATACCACCGCTTCAGCTCTAATTTCCAAAAATAGTTTGTATTATATTATTATTAGAAAGGTGGAATTGTAACATATTTTATTATTAAATTATATTATATATTATCAAAAATTTGTTTATTTATTGTATGTGAAATGCAAAATGCAGAACGTTAAAACAAATCAATTTCTAATGTCAGCTTATACAATTATGATGAATCCTAATTCTTTAAAATTCTAATTACTGAATTATTATGAGGTGTGTCAACAAAATCATTATATCGTTTTATGATTCGTATTTTATGAGGCATTTTAGATTTTTAAAATCATGTCTAAGAGCAAATGAGGTGTTTTATCGACAGATTCTATTTAAGGATGTGAATGAGTATATTAGAAGTTGTGATGGATGCCACGAGATATGCAATATGACGCAGAGCTAAGGGAGCCCAGTCCAAGCAAGAAATAGGGAGACCAGTTTAGGCAGGGCGTGTTTGAGAGGACCAGTTCAAGCAACATCAACGAGAGAAATTAAATGAGACTCTGAAGACATAGGCACTGTTATAGGTTGTCATAGGCACCCTTTCGGGTCACTGCTTTCACAAGATACTTATCTCCCGTGTCACTGCCTCCACGACACACCCATTCCTTTAACTGTTATCTCTTTAACACGCCATTATTTCTGAATCATTGTTTCTACTGCACATCCATTCCTTCGGGCCACTGACTCCACGACACGCCTACCTTTTTTAGTCATTTTCTCCACAACCCACCCAATTTTCAAGTCGCCGCTTACATGTCTCGCCCACTTTTTTGGGTCACTATGTCTAAGATACACCTATTATTCAGATCGCTGCTTCCACGACACGTCCACATCTTCTAGTTGTTGTCTCAACGACACACTCACTCTTTCAGGTCATTACCTTCACGACATAACTCTTTATTCTGATAGTTACCTTCACCACACATGCACCATTTCGGGACTGCCTACGACATACCCATATATATATATATATATACATATGTGTGTGTGTGTGTGTTACGAGTCGTGGTCTGTTATTTGGTGGGGTTCACTATAACTCCCCTCAAGTAGCGCGTTTGATCCCCCCGTGATGCGGGTTTCTACAATATTAAGTACATGACTCAGACACTCTATCATAAGTGCCCGAACACAAAAGGAAATTTGTATTTGGGGCCCATCAGACTCAAATACCGATTATTTTTCTAATATATATATATACATATATGCTCACGTCCCGACTCATTGGTGCGGCCTCTGACATAAATCCTTGGGTCGGGGGTTCGAATCCCGTGTCGGACTCTTAAAATCAATTAAAACACAACTGAGTTTCAATCCAATTCAATCCAATTAGGAGAAGCACTATATATATATATATTGACTTATACAATATCTTAATCTTTAAATGATATAAAAATATCATCTGCATTAACTTTATGTTTTATATAATCTTGGCAGTTTAAATATAAAATTTTATAACAATGAGTACATATATTTAAATGTTAGATATAAATATGACAAAATTAAATAAAATGCAAGTAAAATCTTCATAAAAATTTAAAGAATGATCCACAAGATTCTTGGCTATATCAATTATATAAATTCCTATTTGAAAATATATATATAAACATGCTGTCTCAGAGGAAAGCCCATCCATCATGCATGGGATGCTCCTCCCAAGTCCCAACTTCAATAACATGAAGTAGAGCCTATGCCTATGCTTGCGCCGAAGGGAGAGGGAGCTCACCGCCATTAAAGTCCTCTCTTTTTTCTCTGTCTTCTTCATCACGCCGTCTCCTGATCATTCTTCCTCACCTCCTGTGCATTCCCCAATTTCCAGAATCTCATCTTTTGTATTCTCCTGCAGCGGGCGACTAGTTCGCCATTCATCGGAGGTGAGTCCCTTCTCCTCCTGCAATTCCATCCGTTTCTTCAATTCCAAAAGTGATTTTATACTTCTTTTTTATGGGGATAATCGGGGTTTTATGGATTCTGTGTGGATTGGGTGCATTTGATTTTATATGGAAAATTAGGGTTGGTTCCATGATTCTCTATAATTAAAATGCAAGATTGAGTCGTTCTTTTGGAGCTCATTAGATGATGATATTGTAGAGTAGATATTCATTTTGTGGAAAATTTTTATAAGAATTATATTGCTATGTTATGTATTTTGAGCATCAGGATTGCTTCCATTCTTAGGGGACTGTGCTCTTTGTTCTACCTGGTTTTTTATTAGTATTTCAATGAATAGATTTTTGGTCTTCTTTCAGATTTTATGGGGATTTGGTGATTCTTGTAAATCTAAATTTCGTAAATCATGAGAGAATTCAAGCCTAAAAATTGTTTGGCATGGCTGCCATTAAAATATTGCTAGATCCTGATATACTATTTTGACTGTTTGTTTCAACTTTGAATCAAAATGAAGCTGAAACAGGATTTATCAAAGCAGCAATTCAATAATTTTGCTTATTCATCTTTTTTTTTCATGATTAAATCCTTTGAAAATTCTCTTCTGTTGCAGAACCTTCTGTCTTCGGAAAAATTGCAGCATATTCTTGTTGACTTTCTCATGTTATTTGCTTCAATGAATTTGATTTCGAAAAGCTTATTATAATTCACTTTGGTTTCTTCTGAAATAGGAATTCTGTCTCCTTAAGGAACTCATTTATGGATCATTGTTCCTGAGAAGAACCGGACATTATCTTAATTTTTGGGATGCTTAAAACATTATCATGTCTGTCACAAAAGGAGGCACAGCGAAGGATGAAAATTTTCCAATTACAACTTCTGCAAAGCCGCTTATTGTGCTTCATCAGGTCATTGTTCCTTCCCGGGAGCTGGAGAAGGAATCTTCTCCTAGCAGCAAATTTGCAAAATTTATCTCTCTGCAGCAAGGTAATCAGAAACTCCGAAGAAAAGAAAGTAATTACAAATTCTCTGAGGTGATTTGTGCACAAGATAAGTCCAGTTTACCAGATGATATTTCCCTGAATGTTTCATTTGATGAAATGAGAACCAATGAAAATATAGAGAGCTCCTCCAGAATCACTTTCTCACCAGATGAACAGTTAGTTAATCACCTAAACAAGTCTCTCTTCCGATATGAGACAGCAAACATGAATCTTCCTCCTCCATTTAAAAGGCATTACTTTATCAAATACTGATCTGGAAGCACGGTTGCCCGCCGTTCAAAGATTGAATTTTTTCCAATTTCAGAGCTTTTTGCCTTTTCACGAACATATACTATTGCCTATTAGTGATTCAGCCTGTTCTTTCATGGATTCCCAAGGCCAAAAAATTCTCAATATATTTGTAAAGAAATCATGTGATACAGTTCGAATTCCTAAACCTCATACTTATGATGGCTTCAAAGATGATGTTGGAGGGAGAGTATATTCGATGGTGAAGAATCAGCATGGATGCCGCTTTCTGCAGAGAAAATTCAGGAGTAGTCGTGAAGAAATTGAAGAGATTTTTTGGGAGATCGCTTGCAACATTGTTGAACTCATGACTCACCCTTTTGGGAATTATCTTGTTCAAAAGCTTTTGGAGTTATGTAATGAGGAGCAAATGACACTGATGCTGAAGGCAATTACTGGAACAATTGGAGAACTGTTTAGAATCTCCTGCGATATGTATGGGTATGAATAGATTTTTTTTTCTTTATTCAGATTTCAATAGTTATGTTTACTATTTAGCATATGATTCTTACCTATTACACCTAAACTTTCATTTTTACAAACATGGTGCTAAATTCTTTAATATCACATTAAAATTCACACTATTACCAATTTTTTTAGGTGAAATACACATTTTGGTGCATGAGTTTAAAAGGGTCTGTTTGGCACAGCTTCTCAGCTTTTCAGCTGTAGCTGTGCTGTCTCAGGTAGCTGCTGCGGGAAAGCTGTTGTAAATTGGTCGTCTGTTTGTTGTGAAAACAGCTGTGGGGCAGCTGTTTCTGGAAAAATGATCATTCTGCCCCTGTTTAGTAAATTTATTTGTAACAAACTGTGACATCAATGTATTTAATATTCCATAAACATAAATTCTTTTCAAAACATAATAAACAAACAAAATTAATCTTTCTCTTGAAGTGGATTATTCACCGCATAATATTATTCCAAAATCAAGTAAAATTTTTTAAAATTAAAATGGGCCTGAAGAATTAATGAGATATAGAAGAAATTTGGGGTTTTCATATTTTAAGCATCCATCATTTTCTCTACCACTAATACGCGGGATGCAAAGGTTACCCAACAATCCCCTAATTTAATGAGTTTAATGAAAGGCAGTTTGGAAATGGTAGGTTACGGGTGCAACAATTTTAACCATTCTGCACAAAAACATTTACAAGCAAGCATTCAAACATTGTTAAAACCCTTTCATTTCAACTCAAGCAGTATTTAGTAAATCCAGTAAAAGTGAAACTCGCTAGCAGCAGATTCCCAAGCCATCGTACCTTCTCCATCAGCTTGGAGAAGTGAAATTTTCATTTCCTTTTTGGATGAACTACCAGATTTTAACCAAACTTCACCTAAATACTTGTGAGTAAGCATTTAGAACTCATAATACATGCTCGCCCTTCATTTTAAAATTTCAAGCTAACAAAAGAATTGAAACAACCAAGAATTCCTCTCTTAACAACCACCACTATACCGATAACAGGAAAATAAATAGAGGGGGCAATCATCAAGAACATCAAAGAGTCGGCTCTGTTGAAAAAAAAAAAATCTTACTAGTGTGAAGAGAAGAGAAGGAAGAAACCCTACACGTGAGGAACTCATGAGAAGAGAGGAAGAAGCGGCTTGGTTGCATGAGATGCGCCGGGGAAGAGTAAGCCATCAGAGAAGAGGAGGCGATGGGAGCAGATCGCGGTTCGTGAAGAAGAAATGAGAATCGTGGGGTAGGGTAATTGGGTAAAAAGCGAGAGAGGAATCCGGGCCACGGGTTGTCTTTTCGCGTTCGGGGTATATCGCGGCCCGCCGCATGCGCACCACTGCTCCAAATGCCATTTTTTTGCTGCGGCCGCCAAACAGAGCTTAAAGCACCAAATTGCTATGTTGGGAGATGTAAATCATGGAAACATATTCAAGAGATTTGAAATAAAATTTTGAACATATGCACACAAAATAAGAAAACATACTAAACACCTGATTTAGTAGTGTTTCGTAGCATATCATTAGTAGGATTTAGCCATGGATTTAACTTAAATCCAACCAAACACCAAAAAAATAAAATTTAAATCTAGTGCTCCATCAAATCTAATTTTTCTCACGTTTAGTTTTTTTTCTGCATTCCTTTACTTTCACAACGTAAATCCGGATTTAGTAAATCTCAAATTTATTCCTCCATCGTTCATGTGATCTCTTTAATCACCGACTGAATTTGATAAATCCAAATCGGGTTTGATAAATCCTATTTAATGTAAATCTAAGGTGCGCCAAACACCGCCTTAATTTGAAAAAAACCGAGCATGGGAAAAAATCACGGTGCCACAACATACCAAGAAATTGACTCTGAAGAAAATGAGGAGAATTATACAAATTACACCACACTCAAGTATCTATGCACTTTGGAAACTTTAAAACACTCCATCATCTCCTTTGCACAAGAGAAAAATAGAAATCCTTCACCTTCTTATCAGCAAAACCAAAACTATAAGGGAAAATTTGTCAAAAGTTGGTTACTAAAACCAGGACGCTGCGATGGTGGCACTAGGGCGTTACATCCAAGCGCTGCAATGTCGTGCTCGGGCTCTGAAATTGGGCTCAGCTGCGCTATCTTCCGGGCCCTGCTCTACAAACCATTACAAACCATTACAGAGTGCACAACCCCACCGTAACACCCACCATCAAGATTTTTTGGAAAAATTAAAATCTCTGAGATGACAATTGATCAACACATTTAAAGCTCCTCACGATAACATTCTTTGTATGCAAATATGAAACTTTAGGGCGCGAGATATGTAAACAGATAAGAGTTGTTCGCCACATATGCAAATTTACCTACTGTTCCTTGTTTGCCGAGTGATTTTCCTTTTTTTTCTTTCGTGAAGTGCAGAACACGTTCTGTGCAGAAACTAATTGAGACTCTGAAGACTCCGGAGCATGCTTCCATGGTTCTGTCATATTTGGAGCCAGACATAGTTTCATTAATGAAGAACATCAACGGCAGTCATGTTACACAACGGTGATTTCAATATCTTCTAAATTATAGCAAGGTGACATTTTTTAATTTCTCCACGAACAAACATTTTTTTCTAAATTAAACCTCTTTTTTGTTTTCAATTGATGATGATGATATGTAATATTGTCAGATTTCTACAAATCAATTTATGATTTTGCTTGAATTCAGGTTTACTGTGATTAAGAGCACCTTTTATGCTTCTATCTGTTTTTTAGAATCTGAATGATAAGTTGGTGCTATTTATATCTATATGTGAGATAAATTGACACTTTTATTAACTCTAGATTAAACTAGTCCTTTGCAAAGAGTTAGGTGACCAATTTGACAATTTTCATCTAATAAAAAAATGATCTGATTTCGAGCTGAGTTGGGATTGGCTCAAATAGAGTTCAGGTGGCTCAAAATCGACTCGTGGCTCGTTATATTCGATTTTGAGCTGAGCCAGCTCAAAATTGAATCGAGCTTGATTCAGCTCGAAATCGAATGAGCGATTTCAAATTGAGGTATTTGGATCTTTTTCAACTTGGGATCGACTCGATCTAGCTCAAAATTTAAAATAACTAGCTAAAATTGAGTTATTTGGATTCGTTCCAGCTTGAACTCGGCTCGAAATTGACTCATGACACGTTATATTATGTTGTAAAATTTAGGGCGAAGAAAACACAGAAATCGACACAAAACCTGAAGAACATAGAGCCTACATCCTCGGGAGCAAAACAACGAATTCACTATTTCAGAGGAGTTACATACCCATAGGGTTACACATCTATTTATAGATAAAACCCACAGATAATTATACACACGCTCTCGCTCCCCCTAACCCACTATTCCAGGAGACATATTTCCAAATCTAAGAGAATCCAAATTCCTGGTATATGAGCCATACTTAACAATTCTCCACCTTGGCGAATATCTAGCCCCTTAGAAAAAAATCTCCACCTCGCGAATATCCAACCCCTTAGGAGAAAAAATCATGGAGTTTCTTACATCGAAGTGGATTCCAACTAGTAACTGCAAACATTCAACAAGTTCAAGTAACACAAGAACTTATTGAAAATACCTGACTTGGTTAAAATATCTGCTGCAATTTCATCATATGATCTGACAGAGTGAACTTCACTTACAACTATACTCCCCAACGGTTTATAAATATTACCATCAGGTTCATAACTCGTAATATCTTCAAAATTCCTTGTTGTGCCAACAATCTGAAGTTTCCGGTTCTATCGAACTTCATTATCTTGAATTTTGCACCAGACATTGTCATTTAAAATTAATCATGCAGTGAACTTTTTTTGTCTTGTATTAAAACAAAACACATCACAAATAAATTCAAATAAACTTGAAATTTCTTTTGTCAATTGCAATAATTTTCTCGCAGTTTCCTGTTATTCGTGAATCAAATTTTCACATGAAACACATTTCCTGTTTGCACAAAAATTCGGCTGAATACTGCGGACACCAACCAAACTCCACTTGTCACAATTCTCCTACGACAAACCTGCGAAAAATTCGCGAAATTCGTGAACTCCACCTGTCACAATTTCATCTGCGACAAACTTGCGAACTCCTCTGGCTGAGCACCACCTGTCGCAACTGCACCTGCCGCAACTCATCCTGCGACAAACTTGCAAACTCCGCTGGCCGAGCACCTATGTTCCTTTTTTTGCAAAATGAGGTTCTTGTTCACGGTAACTACACGCGAACACCTGTTCACAAACTCCACCTCGCCGAATGCCGTGAAAGTTTGTGAACCGTTTTGCGTCGAAGCCTCGACACCGCCTCTATCGCGAACTCCCCGAAGCAGGACTCGCGGAACTACCGCAGTCTTTTATCCGAACTGCTTCGGCTTCTTGTTCGCCACGAACCGCACGCGACCTTTGATCCTTCTTTTTTCTTCCTTCTTCCTGTGTCGATCTCCTCCGCCCTAGAACATAACATCGCTTTGATACCAATTGTTGTGAAATTTAGGACGAAAAAAACACAGAAATTGACACAAAACCAGAAGAACATAGAGCCTACATCCTCGGGAGCAGAGCAGTGAATTCACTATTTCAGAGGAGTTACATACCCATAGGGTTACACATCTCTTTATAGATAAAGCTCACAGATAATTACAAACACTCCCTCGCTCTCCCCAACCCACTATTCCAAGAGACACATCTCCAAATCCAAAAGACTCCAAATTCCTGGTATACTATATATATTATAAATAAAAAATATTACAGTCTGAGCACGAGTCACTCTAGCCAATCCATGTACGACTCATAATTGGCTCGAAAAAAATCAATTCAAAGTTTTGGCTCGTTCATTTAGATCTAATCTCGATTCGAGCCGAAATTTTTGAAACGATTTTTGAGCGATTAACGATATTCAAACTAAATTCACAGCCATTTCCATCTAGCTTGCAGCATCTCATGGATGTAGTAATCTCTCTTTGTATTGAGTTGGCCAAAGATCGTCAAGGTTGTTGTGTCCTTCAGACTTGTCTCACACATTCAGAGGGCGAGAAGAAGCTGAGGCTGATGACTAACATCTCATTTTACATGTCTAACACCGTTCCTAAACTTTACTTTTTATATTTATACCATGCAAAACTTTTTTATCACAAAAAAATAAAACCACCATTGCAGCTTTTGGAGAGCGAAATGCACCTTCTCATGGCATGCATGTAAAGATTAAAGTTTAGATTGTTGGATATGTAAATACATAGGAATTGAGTGGTGTTTATGTAAATCTTCCTTATTTTTCTTTTCTTTGATGCTTGTTTTGCAAAAATATCCCCCTGGATAAAATCTTAATTTGTTATGTTAATAATTTTTTTTTGGGGGTCAAAAATCACACGCCAGCTTTCATACAAGAAAGTTGCTGTAGTTTAACATGTCCGGTTGAAAAAAACAGAATCTTATTGTAGAAATTTCTAAAAATCAGTAAAACAATAATTCTCTAAACATTTTCTAAGGCTGTATTGCAAGATAAATATGCTAACTTAGTGATGCAATCAGCTCTCAATGAATCCAAAGTGTTTCTGCAAATTTCTCTTCTGCTTATGTCCCTATTTTACTCCCAATGTTTGTAAAAGAATCAAATAATTCGCCAAACTCTTTTAATAGAGGCAAAAATAGACTTCTATGACTACTATTTCAACCTGTGTTAAAAGAGTCTGAGAATTAAATTGTGATCTTATAGGCTCTGGGACTTGAATTACCCCATCCAAAAAGAAAATATTATTTTTGTTGTCTGCAGTTTAGGGACTAAATTGTATTCTTATAAACTCTAGGACTAAAATGACCCCATGCATTGTTCAGACTTGCGGCTGGCAGCGTGGTGCGACCTACGCAGCCGACCTTACGTTCGGTTTACTGGACTTAATACTTTCTCCATACAAAGAGTTACAGGATCATTTTAATACTTCACTCATTTCATTTATATGACATCAAGAACTAAGTTCTCGTGCTTGTTGTTGAAAGGCGTATCGAGATAGCCATGTCGCTCTCGTGGCGACTATTAGACGCCACGCTCCGACGCTCTGAAATAGCTATTTTGTGAAGAAGGTTCTTTCATGTGCCTCATTCTCCTCTCAAAGATCTAAACTATTTTGTTAAACTCCTGGGAGCTATTTTTTCTTAGCTTTGTTTTACGAAAAAACTGTTATATTTCTTGGTCACTGTTTCCTTATTGCTTTTTAGAATTTTTTTTTACAAAAATAACCTTTTTATAGCCAATTATATTAAGAGTGCGGTATATGTCACATGGTTGGATAGGTTTGTAATACACATGGCAGCTAATCTCATAATTTCATATATAACAGAGGTGATCAGTAGATGGTTGTAAAGCCAAAGGTTAAAAGTGTAAATATTTAGTTAGTAAAGGGCAAATCTGTAGCTTTTTAGTGTACTTAAGCCTCTAGTAGTTTATGAACTGGTTTTATGCTTCATAGCTTGGTCCCTATCGTATGAAATATTGTTTGAACACCGCATTGAAAATTAGTTATTTACAGAACTAACCTCCAGTTTTTTTTTATGACTTTCTAATCTTTTTAACCTTAATAAAAATATTCATAAGAAAATCATTTGAGCCTCATTTTCTTATTTAAAATAATAAAAATTTTAAATAAGTATTATTAATTATTATTTGAATTTATAGAAATAAAATATTATATAATTTTTGTTGGGATAATTATATGCACATGCCACGTGCAATCATTTTCGTAACTATTGTCTTGATGCATTTATGTGTGTCACGAGAAAATCATTATAGATTCACACATTTGAGTGAGATGCATTGTGTTAAATGTCACATTTACTTTATTGGAGTGCATTATTTTAATTTTTGGAGTGAGTTTTACAAATATACATATAGAGTGAAGTTTCAAAATATTTCTCAATTATTTATATGGTGTTGTTTTAGTCGTAGAGTTTATAGAAGTATCAAAATAGTCCTCAAATTCTTTAAATTGGGGTTGAATAATTTAAAAATAGTTAGGGATTATTATGACAATTCTATAAATTTTGTAAATAATTAATAATTATTTTGACTCATTTCTCTATACATATCTAGCACTTTTATTTTTACATTTTTAGGGCTTAAATTATTTTAGCACCTCAAAATTATCATAATTACAAACTTTTTTTTTAAGTTAAATATAAAAAATTAGGAGTTGGATTTGTAAATACAAAAAATTAAGTGGCATTTATGTATATCTTCTCAAAAAGCATGGTATTCATCGCTAATAAATAAGGCGTCCATTTTCTGAAAACGCCACTCCTACGAGCTGAAAAGTGTTTCCATCTCTCCTGCCCATCGGATGCCGAAGTCAGCCTCTTCTTCTTGATGCCTTCGTCCTCCCGATTACTTTCCGGCTTGGAGACTGTGGTAATTCTCCTCTTCTTCCTCTTATCGAAGAAATACGGCTTTCTGGTTTGCTCTGTTTTATGGTTTGTTTACGGGCCTTTCATTGCTGCGGGATCTTTCTTCTATGAATTTCTTTTGATTGGAAATCGAGGAATCTGTTAGAAATTTAGAGCCTATATCTTTTTCAAGAATTTATTTATTCTACTTGATATTACTTCTAAGAAACGTTATTAGTTAGAAATCAAGAGAGATTGAATCTGTTTTTAGGGTTTTTAAGCTTTAGAGACGTTCTGGTTTTGTACCCTTGGTCGATCTGATCTTTGTTGTATGAATGGTTTTAGTCTTGATGTTTTCTCCAGTTCTCCGATATGTGGGGATGAAGCACCGACAACGAAGGAACAGTGGGGTGTTTGTTTTTGTGGGTTGCGACTTGTGATTTCTTGATCCTGATGAGTGATGATCGTTCCCCTTTGATTGATCCAAGGGTCTGTTTGGATTCAACTAAGATTTAATTAATCTTGCAAATCTATATTCAGCAAAACATGGAGTGATTATGCCTTGAAACTTTATTTAACATGATAGATGTTAAATATTATTGAATTTGATCAAACTATTTGAAATATATTGTCAATGTTTAGGATTCAGATAAAGGAGAAAATGATGCACTGTGATAACTGGCATAAATCTCTTAAATATTACTTCCTAGGAGATTTATTTAATCCGGTATTTAGTCTAAGATGAGAGGAAATGGAATTTTAGAAGATATTAAGAATTATGTGGCTCAAAAAACTATTAGTCAAGAGACTTGAGACATTTAATCGTTGCATCTTTCTATAAGAATTATGAAGCTTTATGTGTGTGTGTGTGTTGACTTATTAAAATCAATTCATTGATAGCATTGAAAGGCATATATTATGTTCCATTGAGTTTCCAAATTCTTTTGTGGATTGATTTGAGAGTTTTTAATTGTAGCAGGACTGCATCAAAGATCAATGTTGGGTTAGTAATTTTTACATTGTTTATATAGATACTTATAAATGATATTCAAATTGAGGTATCATTTTCTTAGATGCCATGATTCTAATCGGCTGGATATTTATTGAAATTATTTAAATGTTAGAACAATAGAAAAACTATTTAGATGATATACGATTCAGGGTTAGTAAAACAAGAGCAAAATACATTATAAAACAATTTCAAATGGTGTGATATACTGATATTAATAATTATTCATTAGTATTATTAGAAGATAATATGATACTTCGTTGTGATGGGTATATAAGGAAAATGAATTATATAGGGGTAGGGGTTTGGTGCTCAATTGGGGGTGCATGAGCACTTACAAGTTCATTTGTATTGTTTTCTCAATTAAAATCCCTCATAATCTAATATAAGATGAAAGCCAATAATATTGAAATTAAACATGCATATCAAAGAAAAGGTTATTCCAAAATAAATTAGCAAATCAAATGCTTATCAATGCATAAGTTGTTATATAAGTTAAATTGTGCTAATGTGAGTGATCTTTTATATTTAAGCGCTAAATGTATATGTTTCTTTGTTATCAGTACAATCAATTAATCTAGCACTACTTACATATAAATTGATTTAAGATGTTTAATTACTAAATTAAGGTAGTGTGGGAGTAATTTGTCATGAGATCAATGTAATACTCTACTTTTCTTGCTGTAATGATTAAATTCACAATACGCTAAAGCTGCGAACTAAATTCAATGTAGAATGATATTGTGATAAAGGGGATATTAGAGATATATGAGAGTACATTTAATTCTAATCATAAGTATATAAATTTACTCGACACATGAGCACAAAATTAATCTGTGCATGGACCACCATAAAGATATTCAAACTAGGGTTGATATTGTGAGATGCTAAATTGCATAAACCAATTTGAGAAATCTGAAATAAAACTTTGAACATAAACACATAAAACAAGAAAAAAATAAAATATCATATTTATCTCCAGCTTCTCATTCGCTGCAATGGACTTCGAACCATCGTCAAACGAGGTCTGTCGGGATAAAGCTAATGATGATAATGATGGCATACATACATATATGAATGCATGCTTGGTTGCATAGACTTTAGGTGATATGGTTTAAAGCTGTTCAAGCGAAACTCAATAGGCATGATGCAAAATTTAGATTCGTATAGAAAATTCCTAATAGTGAAGGTTGAAGGTGATCTATAACTGGTACAAAAATTAATCAAAAATAAATTGAGGAAGGATTGTATTATAAAATAATTGAATTGATATTTATTGAATATCAAGTAATTAAAAATAGGCTTATGTGATTTGGATGCACAAGGGTAGAAGTTGCACTTCCATAGTTGAGTGGATAAAAATAGGTTCGTCGGAGTAGGAAGAGAATGGTTAAACTAAAGGTAACATTGATTGAAGCTGTTCAAAATAAATTGCGAAAAATTGTTTTCGCACCTAAAGCAAAAATCAATAAGCATGAATGAAAAATGAAGATTCACATAGCGAGTTCCATTTAATTCATCAGGCTAATAATATGTGTATATATAGATAATTCTTTGAAAAGTGTCATTAAAAAATTTAGTTCTATTTTGAAATAACGGACTTACCCTCATGAATAACCCGTTTTTGTTTTGCAAGAAATGACACTTTATTGCAAAATTTTTTTGTCATTTATGTAGGTAGTTTAAGATTCACTGGAGATATTGTCAGTCACTGTCCGTCTTTCTTGAAGGAAAGCACGATTCTCCTTTTCTCTTGAAGGCACCTCAACTTCTTCTGCCCGAGCATAGTTTAAATTTTATTCGCCACAGTTCTTTGCCAAGAATGGCCCAGGAGAGCTGGACGGAGATCAATGAGACTGAATTCCAAAAGCCCGATGCTCGTATTCTCTGCACGAATAACTGCGGCTTCTTCGGCAGTCCAATGACCAACAATCTTTGTTCAAAATGCTACAGAGATCTTGTGATGAACGAACAAGTGTTGGAATTAGTAAAGCCGCCTAATTTATCACCTTCTTCTATGGTGGTAGAATCAGTTCCAGAGCAAGTAGAGGAGCTGAATGTGAAAATTACAGTGAATGTTGATCTGAAGGCATCGGAAGATCCACTTATCAATCAGCATAAGAACCGTTGCTTTTTGTGCAGGAGAAGGGTGGGGTTAACTCCTTTCACATGTCGATGCGGGAGCACCTTCTGCTCCACTCATCGTTATCCCGAAGCTCATGAATGCTCATTTGACTACAAGTATGCTGGTAGGGAGGCTATAGCCAAAGAGAACCCTGTTGTGAAAGCTGAGAAGATTGAAAAGATCTGATGCTGTTGGGATTGATTATGGATGAGATTGAGGCTGTGATTCCTATTCCATTCAAGCTCTTCCTCAGAAATCTTAAATGTCTGTAAGTTGCTACTATCCTGATTGCTGCTTGTATTTTTTTAAAATCATAACTATTTTAAGCAGAATTCTTCTCTGCTTTGAATGTGTGGCATCGCTATTTCCTTTGTTTTTATCAAGTGGCCAAGTTTATGTTGTTTTGCCCATTTATCAACCACTGATGGGTCTTCCCATGATTGAAGAATATGCTTTGGGGTATTCTTGCGACATTGTTTTTATTGTTCTAGTTTCTATTTTGTTCTTGTGATGTTGATTTTGCCTTACAGCTTTTGTTAATTAATTTGTGCGCTTTGAAGATTTTCTTCAATTAGATTTTACTAATCATTCTTCGTTTTTTTTTTCTTTCTTTTTTGTCTTGTGCTTTCTTTAGTTATGTGTAAGAAGTGTAAAGTGATTATTTTTAGGCTTGTTTGTTCCGAATAACACTGCTATTGTTGGGTCCCAAGCCCCAAATATGAAAAGTTGAGGGCTGCGTTAGGTAGCCGATAACCAACATAAAATTTTTATCAAAACAAAAGTTAAAAAATGTGGACGTAGTCCTAATAAGAGTTGGGCATGTTGTATAAAAATTATCTTAATTTATTTGAATTAAATGAAAATATAACATTCAATAAGACAAAGAAGAAAAAGAGTTCATGTAGCCGATCCCACTTAGTGGGATAAAGTTTTGTTGTTTTTATTGTTGTATGCTTCAAAACACACTATGAGGAGTCATTCAAGGGATGTTTAGCTGCAGGAAGGATTTAGCATTAGTAGGATTTAGTAAATTTGGATTTATTAAATCCGAATTTACCATGAATTGAAGGTAAAATTCATACCATGAATCACAAATTTTATAAATCCATTGAAATTCAGTTTTTATATGTTTGAGTGGATTTAGTAAATCTTGAAGCTAATCAGACTTCCTAACAGCCCCTCAAGATGGTACTCTCGCATTAGTGTGAGTGTTTAGGGATATATATAATGTAATAAATGTTGAATATACATGCACATTGTTAATTTATGTATAACTTGTTCATTTATATTAAGACAATATATACTACATCTCATACATAAGTTCTTAGATAATAATAATTTGTAGCATAAGATCATATGTCTGTCTATATGATAATTTATATGCCATCAACAAATTTTCATCATCCAACACAAATCTCAAGGCATAACACGGATCTCGATGTACTCTTTTGAGCAAAAAATATTCAAACTCTAATAAAAAGTCATTCAAAGCACAGATTTTAACAAATTTATAGTCAAACTGAGAGGCTTGATGTGCCCAATGGTACCAAAATAAGCTCAATCCGAGCCAAATCAAGTTCAGATCAAACTATTAAACTACTTTTGGAAGCTTTTCGAGCATATTTAGAAGGTCAAATGAATGTCGAATATGAAGAGCTTATAGTTGAATCGAGCGTCTTGACAAAACGAATCTAACGAGTTTATGATCGCTCTATTCCAACATTATTAAGAGACTCAAATATTCACAAATGTTGAATTATCAAAGGAAGTTCTCTTGACCTTACAATAAAAAGTGATTCATATTTTTGCATTAATTGCATCTGGAACTTTATAAACAGAGCCTCACCCCTGTCATGGAGGGAGGAGAGAGCATTAGGCTTGGGGAGGATAGCTTGAAGCTTTGAGAAGAAGTCTAGCACCACTCATGTCGCTGTCTACCACCACCGACCATCGCAAACCACCACTCGTCGATCGTCGTCAACCACCCGCCGACGTCCACCACCAACCGCCGCCAATCACCTCCCACCGTTGCCGACCGACGTTGACCACTACCAGCCAGCTGCTACCAATCGCTATTGTTTTCTGTCATTTCCTTGCAATAAGTTCATCCGTAGGTCAACGTTATAACTTGAGAGATCTTCTAACCCTTTTTTGTCTGTGGGAGAAGTTGTTGCAACTATAATTATTATTTATAGTGGAACTTTTCAGTTGTGTTAGGCCCCGTGATTTATTCCTTTTGCGAGTTTTTCACATAAAAAACTTATGGTGTTTCTACAGGTTGTTTTCTCTTTTCAGAGTGTGTATTGAATCTTCGTACGACGCTAAGACGATAATACAGTATTATACTACCGCAAATTTTCTTGCATGCATCAATAATATATAGAAAATTTAGAATACGATATGGGTTATCAAGATTCTTATCTTGTCCATAAATCTATTATCGATGTTTTTCAGTTGTCAATATCAAGAGTTGTTTCAAATGAACTTGTAGACATCTAGATTTTAAAATTTTAGAGCCCTAACAAACTTGAACCAAATAAATCGTTTGGTTTAAATGATGAGTTGACTCGAGTTCGACTTGCCGTTTGCTCTCTCCATTGTGGCACTGCATGCAATAAGGTAGGAGGGAGTAATCTTGTTTTAAATGATGACTTGACTCAGTAGCCGTTTGTTCTCTCCATTGTGGCACTACATGCAATAATAAGGTAGGAGGGAGTAACTTGCCTTGAGTTGCACATCATCTCCTTTAAGTTGGGTCGGCATGCATTTGTTATGATGTTTTTCATCCAAAATTATTTCATCTTATCACCATGTGAATTATTAGTGGTGAAATATTTCTCTCATTGAGGGAACTACTACATATAAAAAGTAGTATGGCAAATTGCATCTAATAGTTGAAACTTCTATTTTTCATCCCCAATATACTTGTGATGTTGAAATCTATGTAAACCATATTTAGATCATTCATTGGCATGACATTGATGACGACCATCATTAGACCATCGCCGATTATCTAGGTTAGCTCGAGTTCAAGTAAGCCGACCAAGCCATCCTAAGTGTAGCATCGATCGATCACGCATTGATCAAAAAATAAAATTTTCTTTTTGCCCCTCACACAACAATTTTTATGTAGTTGCGATACATAGAACTTTAATGTTTAATGGTTATGTTATAGGTATGCATACATGAGTGTTTATACATGCAATCTGAATATGCAAATTCTATGAACGCAAGTGAATATAGTATTTGTTAAAATTATTGAATAAGAATTGATATTATATTAACACATGAATGTAGTATAACATGTTATATGGTATAAGTAGTATTTGTGTAAATGTATATATATATATATATATTAATTTCTTATGTAGTTACATATCTAATATCTAAATCTTCAAATTTACATGCATAGAACTCAAATCTTTAATATCATATAAAAAAGAACACTTTTATTTAGTTTTTAAGGTGAAATGCACATTTTTATTATTATAATATGTTTATATTGAATTTATTATTATTATTTTGTATTAACAAAGCATTAAATTTTATTAATTTTTAAAAAATTTTAACCTAATTTTGAGCTGAACAAGAACAAAAAGTATCAACTAATTTGGAATCGAGTCAAAGATAAATATGTTATTTTTGAAGTGATATGTAAATACATGAAGAATTATGTGGTATGCTTATAACGTTTAGTTTATAAAGATTCATTATACTTCTCCCACGAATGTGGAAATATTACATGCAAATTTCTATAATATTAAAATCTAAACCATTAATTTTTTTTAAGTAGCATTTTGCTTTTTCAAATTTATTTTTTAAAAACCATTTTATGGGGAGATACGAAATTAGTTTTTTGGTTGGATGTAACGTGAAATTTAACTGCATTTTATTTTTAGAGTTCAAAAATAAATATATTGTAACATATATATATATATATATATGTATGTATGTCTTTTAGTTGTTTAATCCATTTATATATATATATATATATATTTACAAAGAAAGAAAATTAGTAAAAGTGAATCAACATGCAGTGAAATTTGTTGCAACCAGAGTGAAACTGAAATGTACATTAATATGTACTTCAAACCCACTTTGTTTAAAACTTATTTTTAAAAATGAAAAAAATATATTTTCATACATACCACTCAATTTCTGTGCATATATATATATATCTAATTAAGTGTTTAATAAAATAATTAATGCATAAATTTAAATTTGTCAGAGAGAGAGAGAGAGAGAATAATTAGGTACTTTAATTAATATTTAAGTACTAATAATGAAAAGGGAATGATAGTGCTGTCCAATTCATAGATAGGAAATTATAATGTTTAGAAGTAATAAATAAAGATGCAATCAAATCATCACTTGATTGTCAGAAGTTCTCATTAGTCCAAATCAACACTGTGGAGATGTTGATCAGTCTTTTAATGTCCAAAGAAACCCTTTTTTTTATATATTTTTTTTATTTTTATGGAGTTATTATATATACATACCACTATTCTTATGTATTTGCATGTCAATACTTAAACTTTATTTTCTTGTTCATGTATGAAAATATGTATTTTATTTTTTAAAGTTGTGTGATTTGAAGAATTTAGTTGGTATAAATGTAATTAACTACATTTAGGTTTACGATATATAAATACATATAATATAAAATGTGAAAATATAGCTTTTCATGCTTAAGAAGAAGCAGGACATATGTAAAGAATTGAGGTTTAGGTGTTAGATATGTAAATACATAAAAAAAGAGTGGTTTGCATGTAAATCTTCCAATCATTTTATTTGGACAACTAAATATCCAAGTGTGTAGGGGCAGTTAAAGCCTTCCCCACTCCCTTCTATTTGCCAGTCTTTGTATCAAATTCAATCACAAACTATTCAAGATAAGTATTCTTAGCTTGACATATATTGTTTTGATTATCTAAAGTTTCTTTCATGCACTTTAATGAGTAGACATTAAAACAAATTAAGTGTCATTTTAAATTCCTTTTGATAGCTCATTTTCTCTCACACAAGCATCATTTTTTCATGAATAATTTGTTTTTTTTTAATGAGAATGATATCCTCCATGAAGTGCTCATCATGTTCGATTTAATCGAAGTATGTAGCATAATTGGGCTTGTTAACTAGCCGACCTCGAGCCGAGCTCAAATGGATTGAGTTCAGATCAAAATCGGCTTATATTATTTACTTAGTTATTGCTCTTCAGATCAAGACATAATAATATTTGCTTTGTCTATATATATATATATATATATATATATATATATATATATATA